ATTTCGTTCCGAATCGTTTTTCCTTAGCAATGGTTTATTGTTGTTTATAGATGTAATAAATAATCGTACGGGTATCATAATTTCAACAGTCATGATTATAACATTTAAATAATTATTAATATAGATTTGTACGTAATATTAGTAATTGTTAAACACCAAAGCGTTAGTTTGTTTTAATGATTTATATCTAAGCATGAACAAAAAAAAATCAATAAAGTTTGGTGGATTTTCGCTAAAAATTATTAACGATCTCAATATTTATAATAAAATATAGCTAATAATAATATTGTTTGTACAAAATATAGGTAATATTAATGAAATTAACCGAAAGTTAAAATTATCAAATATAAAGTATATTAAAAATGCTTTTGTCCCAAAAATGTAAATATTGAACCCATTATTTCATGTTTCAACTATACATTCCCAATGTCCTCGAAGTCTATACAAAACAGGTATTTAGCATTAATAACGAATTAAAAAAATAATTATGTTCTAAAGATAATAATAATATTATATCAATGGTATTATAAATGTTTACGAATACACTCTATTGACAGGTACCTGCAAGCGAGCGTATATTTTTTATTCAAACCGATATAGACATAGTCAACTGATACGGATTTTTTTTTTTTTGTTATCGTTATTTTTTGCATTTTAATATATTTTTTTTTGTTTTTTATAGTAAACTACATAAATTTGAAAAAATCTTCAATGAAAATTCACCGGCCGAAAAATGTCTTTCGCTTAAGCCAAAGCATGCAGGTAAATAACTACAATATTATGCAACTCTGATAGATTTTCAGGCAAACAGAATTGTTCGTCTTGTCGTAGTTCCCCCCTTGTCCGTAATACACGCGCCCATGATCGCAATAATATATTACTACAATAATTACCCGGGTGTTTTGAGCTTCATAAGGCGGGCGTCTCTCCGGCGCGAATCTTACTGCCTACTCGTTCGCCGTCGCCGAGTTGGGCTGGCAGCGGTACGCGTACGCATTGACGGTCAGATTGCCATCGAACTTCGCACAGGTCATTGCATGATCGCATTTACATCTAATTATAAACCGACAAAAACAAAACCATAAGCGTATAGAATACTGATGTAATTATAATTAATGTCACTCGAAACACACGTATTTTATTCATAAAGTAATCGATTTGGCGGTTGTACGGAATGTACATTGCCCAACCACACGCGGTGATTTGGCTACAAATTGTCGGCGGCACGCCTGTAGTCTCGGCCGGCGAAGCAATTTCTCTCTAGAATAACACGAAATACCATTGATTTACCGAACTCTGAAGGAACACAAAATGATTCGGATTGTAATATTACAACGAATTTACCATTTTCGGAATATGCGCAGAAGCCGACAGTGGACAGCAAACAGAAGCATACGTATACCGCGAAAACGGTGACCAAAAAGCCGTTTTTCTTGGGACTGCGTTTCAATGCTCCAGCCATCATGTTATGTTATTTCGGTCGAATTTTCGATTGCCAATCGGTTAACTAGGTAATACCGCTGCGGGGCTTTTTATTTCGCTCGACAGCGGGAAAAATCGAAACGGTTTAGTGATAGGTATAAACGTAAGACAAACTGAGAGCTGAGGAGTGCTGTGTGAATAACTGTGCGTATGCGTGTAAGGGTGGCGAGTTGAGCTGATTTAAATTGAGACGAGCAAATGAATTTTATATAATCAGAATCGGCTCAGGAAGGGAGGGAGGCAAATGGAAAGATCCGCTGGCTATTGGCCGACGTTCGAATCGGGTGTGCGTCAAAAAGCCAAAAATAAATCAATCAGTCAGTGGCGTCCAGAGGTCTTTTAAAAATCAGTGCAGTTATGTTTGTTGACACCCACTCACACCATTGGAAAAACTAGTACTCTGTAGCTTTCCACGAATTCGAGCGAACAATGTTTAATGTACCATACATTATCATAAGAATTCCCTTTGAATATTTCAATGTACAGTAAAGGAAACACATATTTTTTATTTTTTACGTTATGTCAAGACAAAAAAATAGTTAGTGCTTTGTTAACATGCTGCAAACATATTTTTATCGATTTCAAATGTAAATACATTAGTAGTTAATTAAATATATATATATTTTTATCAAAACATAATAGATACATAATTTACGTAAATTGTCCTCTTAATCTATTCCTATGATACAGTGTGATAAATGGTTTAGTGATTACATTTAAAAAAAAGCTACTTGAGGTTTGTATATTATTATATAAAAAATAAAAAATGCAATATAAATGATTTGAATACTGCCGATAAGGGAAATGTAATCTTAGCATAATAGAAAATTATATAAATCGATAAATGGTATTATCTATTTATTAAATTCATCGTTATTACTTGGGTCGGCGGGAAACTCGTGATACAATAATTTGATGTAATTTATTTTATTATAAGGAAACTGTTGTCTGGTGTATTCAGTAAGTCGTGAACGCTGTCGATGTATTTTAGAATTTTAACAATATGTTCGATAGTCCCTTAAAAAATAACAAAAATAATAGATGGTTCGTACAAATGTATTAGAATTCAGAAGAAGGTTACACATTATGTTTGTCTGTTCACTGGTTCAACAAGTGTTGGAAAAATTCCTTTTAAAAAGGAATTCGTTCCCGTTCCTTTAAACGTGCCTTTTTTAAATTTTTTATGAATATGTACTATGCGAATTCATAAAAAAAGATACCGGAGACGAGTGCAGCTACTGCTGTAGGTGGAAAGTTAGGAAGGTAAGATAACTAAAATTAGAAACTATTCTTATTTCTTAGAATCTACATGTTTAAAATTCTAATAAATAAATAAAATTTCCTAGTTCCTACTCTAAAATATGAAAAATGTAAAACATATTACTTGAAAGGTTAATAAAAATTACTTGTAAATTTGACGGTTGTCATTATCAAATAAGTTACATTATTTGTTAGCATTTTAAACCATTATCCCCGAGATACCATTTATAATACGGTTATATGTAATTAAATTAGTAACTAATGAAGTGATACCAACACTAAACAGTTTCTAAATAATATATTACTAAAATAATGCGCGTTTCATTTTTTTTTCCTAATAGGAGGAACAGAAATTTAATTATTTTATCATAATAAGACATATTATATTGTTCACAAAGTATCACTATCAATTGAACTCCACTCAGAATCGTTTTTTCGTTAGCAATGGTTTAACGTTACTAACAGGTGTACATTAAATTACCTATAGGCTATAACAGTGGTTGCACCCGAGTCCATTATCCTAGGACACTTTTTTTATTCAGTTTTTTCATTGTTATTTACTTGTAGGTTTGTTTTATTAACATGATTTTCATTTTATATTTTATAATTTTATATTCTTTAGTCATATATGGAGTGAGAAATAAATTTTCCGCTTCCTTTTTGGAAAGTGGAAAATCTGATCACGAATTATATTTTATTGTGAATATAATATTATTATGGCTATAATAATAGACAATAATAGGTATTAACTTTTAAGGGGTCAAACAACGGCAACCTTAAATACAATCTTGGTGGGACCCTAGTTACTGTTATTTTGTTATGTAGTTTATTCATGTAATAACTATTGTTAGATTTAGTAAAAATGTTATCGACAAAATAAGAAATACAAATTGCACACAAAACTAATTTAGAATGTCAGTACGGGCTTCGGTGTGGTGATGTACAATGCGATATGCAACACACACACTAATGTTCACTTACATACGTAACATTGACATGACCCGGATGCACCTGCTATATAAGTTGCCTAACTTTTACTTCTTAGAAAATGATCGACGAACTAAAAAATGACCTTCCGATACACCAACTAGACAAAATTTGCTTACAGAAAATATGTTACTAATGATAATCAGAATAAGATTTTTACCAGAAATAATGTTCTAAATTGTTGTTTATAGACAGAAAATAACACACATAAATATCGTATTAAAACAAATACATTCCTCGCTGTGCTAAGAATTTAAAAGCACACATTGAAGTAAAACTAATATACAGACGCATACTAGCTTCTTATTTTATTCCACGAATTATTAAACGGGATCTAAACTTTATGTAAATAGTGTGTTAAATTTTATTTTTTGTAAGTTGCCCTCCTTCAAATTAGTCCCGGAATCTTTTCACTATCAGTTCGCTTCCGAGTGACTAAGTACCTTACTTAAATGCCAGGAGCGTAGATGGAAGAGTTGACCCCCCTCCCTATACATAATTTATACCCGATCCTTTGCTAAGTACTGTTAATGGGCTCCGTTACTTGTGTGGCCCACGGTAGGCCTCTTTTATAATCACACCCCCACGCCTCACGCCAGTGCATCGTGCATGTGTTACGAAAGACGAAACTTGCGTCCGAAACATAATACGAAGTCCGTTTGGAATTTAATACCTATGCACGAACAAATTGTGTGGTCATGGGCGATTCTCGCAGACTTCGTTGCGAGGGGAATTTTCAGAAACCTTAATACCTAGAAAAAAATAAAATAAACCTGCGCTACACTAAGTACATCCGTTGTCTAAAGATACATGTACGGTACAAGTATTTTTTAGATTATAACCAATGGCGGTTTTTTGGCAGTTGTACCGTGTATAATTATTATTTTTTTTTAATACGGGCTCGAAAGGGAGGGCCGCCTTTTCCCTCCCACTAGAAACGACCCGTGCGTGTGGTTTGAAAAAAAAAAACAAAAAAAAAAATTCTAAAAATCGAGCCAATCTAGTATACGACTTCGGCGAGAACCGCATCATAATATTGGGTATATAATAATAATAATAATAATAATATGCGGCGGGAAGGATCAGTTACAATATTATCATTATATTATTATTTTGGACCAGCCGTTCGCCGTACCGGCTCAGCGAGACCACGACCACGTCTCTGTGGAAACGCTCCCTCGCCGAATAGTACGTATGACGGCCACGGGCGGCAGCCCAATCGCGTCATATCGAAGGTCGACTGTGCGCACACCCGTACGCTCGTACGCATACACAACATCAGCGCCAGTCTTACCCCCCCGTCGTCGTACGTACGTTACTCTGGCGTCACTGTTATTTAATTTGGTGTTCGGTTGTTTTTTTATTCTCAATACTTACACAAGATAATGTATATATATTAATATATAGGTAATATTTTTTTTTCATTATCAGCTACCGATTCGAAACTTTTTAATTGTTAATATTGTATTTTTTTTTCTACAATTTTACGGTCGCGAAAAAGTGCGTGTGTGTCCGTAAATTCCCGTCATAGTGTTTAATATAATAGTATTTTTATTGTAGTGTACCTATTTTAAATTTTTTTTTCTAAATTATTTCATTATATCATTATAAGTAATGTATTAATTGGTGCCGGTGTAAATTATTAGTGCTGTACGTACGTAGGTTCAGCAGGCTACGTAATTTTACTATTTTAATTTATTTTTCGTGAAAATGTTGAATTAACTTTTACTCGTTTTTTCGTGGTGTCCGATTCAAAATACGTTTGGTAGGTACTTGTAGTGTGATTAAAATTTAAAAGAAATCCACGAAAGTTGTTCAAAAATTTTGATGAGTGTCAAAAGTCATGCAGGTAAGCAAATTGCGAGGGAAATTATTTTTTATTTGGTAAAAAAACTGATTAAAAAATTTACGTTGTATTATTTTTGATTGATTTTCCAGTACTTTTTATATGTTTTTTTATCACATTTTTCAAATTTATTTTAGTTTTACCTTGTTATTTTTATCATTTTTGAATATTGGTGTTTTTTTACATAGGTTATTTGTAGGTAGTATACATGTAACAACTTATAATATTTATAATTATTTATCTGTGTAAATATAGATAAACTATTTTACTCTTTATTTTATTATTATTTTATATTTTGAATAAAGAAAAAACAATTTAGATATATGGATACCTGTTTAATTGTTAACAATATTTAAGAATTTTACATGCATATGGATATGTTTTATCTATTATTTTTCATCATAATATCAAGGTACCTACTGAGTTGGTACATTTTTTTTCAAACCACAAATCTAGGTATCAACATGGAATTTTTGGTGTAGGTATCACAATTTGTAAGTTTCTACTTATGCATAGATACCTATAATATAGTTTGTTGTCATCGGATGATTAATGAAAAAAACAATTATTTACCTAAATAATTATTTGTGCAATATATTCATTTTAGGCCTGTAGGTTTGTATTATTTATATTATGAGGATGATTTTTTAATTTAAATAAAAGTTAAGTTAACATGGATCAAACTGTTATTATAGTACCATCTATACATATTAGACTAATTATTGTTATTTTTTTTAATATTACAGAAAATCAAAGCTGTATGTTTGGAACGTCCGTCATGTGTCGGTCATACTCTTCCATATCAACTGTGCAGTGATGGTAGCTGCGGCAGCATATTCGGACAAGGAAAAGCCTCCATGAGTAATCTGAAAAATGCCTCGCTCTGCCTTCACACACTTTATGTCGGTCATCTGATACGGCATGACGACCGAGTCAACCGACCAGCCACTGCAATCTGCTGGCCCCTTGTTCACAGGTCCAAACGCTCAATATCAGAGCGCATCTAATGATCTATCTTGTAGTCATGGCGTCGTCGCTCGATCGGCGGCTGCCGTTAACATGAACCAAGTGCCGAATGGTTACTGTCACTCGTCCGATAATAATCAAATCGTTACCAGTGAGTGCGATAAGACTTATCATTGTCCTACCTCAACTGCTGTTGTCACCTTAACAAATAACGTTGTTTCAACTCCGGTGACTTTTGTATCTTCTATTACTGTACCAACAGGATGGAAAAGAATTCATAGCAAAGGAGTCGTTATTTATATAAGGTAAATTTTCTGGTACATTTATTACACTATTGAGTAGTATTTTTAAATTAAATATAAAAAATTTTATTTATAAAATAGATGGGTAATTCTAATGCTTATAAGTAATTATAGCTACCTATTTAACCTATTATTGACTTTTGTATTTTAATGCCACATTTAGGTACCTATGCAATGTCATTCACTTGTATTAATTGTTATAGTATTACATATCTGTATGAATAGCAAGCACTAATTTCAAATGTTGTACATAAAGATTTCAATAAGAATGCTATATATTAAAGAACAATATTTTAGTTATGTTTTTTTACCTATTGATGGTACCTATTTTAAGTACTGTGAGTGTAATCAATGACATTACCTAGGTACCTATTATTTCCATAACATAAAAACTCCAAGGAAACTTTAAAAAAATACTTTAGGTTTATGAAAATTTAAAATAGTATACATTGTAATTGTAGACTTTTGAGTATTAGATATTCAAATAGCTATTAATGTACAATAATTAAGTTAGTACAGTTAAGTAGTAATCATAACTATTATGAATCAAATTGACGAAATTAAAAAAATAATATATTAAACATTTTGACCTAGCCTGACCTAGACACTTTGAGTACTCAAATCTAATATTAGGCATCTTAAAATATAGGTGCGATAGATATCTTGTGCTAAATTATTATATAACAATAACAATATTAATTTAGAAAAAAATGAAAATTTTTTTCGTGAGTTTTTCCGACTCGAATTTAAATAATTTATTTAAGTTCTTATGGTATTTGGAAAGGTTATTGAATCGATACGTTGTGTTTCAAAATTAAGTTCCAATGATTCAAAATCCACATTTCAATAGTGTTAAAACGTTTAGTTCTTAGAACTTAGAGATATTTTCGTACATTATGCCAGACGTTATCCTTTGAAATCAACCCTCTTGGTATCACGGTGGGCTATTGGAAATATCTGCTTCTGTGTCGGCACAAATCTGACCTATAATACTATTTTACGCAATGGGGTGTCATTGATTTACTGCTCTTTAGGATTCGTCCTTTTCTTAAATACACGGCCGGGTTTCAATACAAACCACCTGGCTTCCAGGTTTAAAAGACCTTTTTTTTTTTCGGCCAAAATTACACCCTAATATAATATTGTAAATTATACCGGACAATCCGTATATGTATATATATAAAAAAAAATAACACGTTCACGATTTCTATAGAAGTATAATACACCGTGACCGCAACCGGCGGCTACCCATTTTACAATTCTGTTGTTAAATTGTACAAATGTGAAGTGTTAGTAGTATGGCTATATAGCTTATTATAGATAATGCATTGTTAATATTGCGTAAGGAGAATTACGGAATTTCGTAAAGGTATATTTTTTCTTTAAACAGGTAGGTAGGTAGGTAGTGTATTTAAGATTATGAGCGGATGTATTGGTTTTACTATATGGTTTAATCCTTTTTTCTCTCTTGAACACGAATTTCGTTCAGAACTCTTTCTCAGAAGACTTTCTAGAAAATATTGTAAGACGTTTTAGATCTAGTTGGTTCTTTTTAGAAAGGTAAGTGTTCATATTCCTTGTATTTTTTTTACAAGGGAGACTTTCCTTAAAAAGAAAATCTTATGAAAAAATAAATATATATTTATTAAATTCGCTTTTTGACACAATCGATTTTGCTCCTTTGTTTGTAGTTCAGAACCTAACATAACTCAGAATCGTTTTGTTTTCGTTGCATTCGTCGTCTACTTTAGTATTTTTAAACCGATTTACCCTATAAAATATCCTACCTTCCAAACTTCTCATCTATAACAATGGCCTATATACCTATGATCCAGGTTTTATTTCACAATTCATTTAAAAAAAGTCAATACAGATCATGACGTCTAGGCAATTCAATTTATTTCTACACATTATTATTATTGAAAACCCCGTTTCGTAATATATGTATATGTAATAATATTCCTAACGCTTTAATAGGTATTCAAATACATAAATAACGAGTTGCTGAATTAAATCAATATTTATGATCGCGGAGCTAGAGTTTTTAACCACCTATGATGTTTTTTCTACCTGCTAACATGATTTCAACAAGTAGATTAGATATGTTTTAATCATCAACATTAATGCTGGTTTCTGGTAGAATTTTTGTGAATTGAAATTATTTTTCGAAATGCCTAGTATATATTATAAGAATAGAAAAAAACTAGAGAAAATTATATTGAAAACCGATTTTTCATTAACCGATCAAATTATTGTATATTCTTTTGATTATATTCATAGGAATTATTAGATATTAAAATTATTAAATATTTTTAGCCACTAAACAATATTGTTCACTCGTATCCTTCGTGTAGTACCTATGCAGTTTCATGATTTTTATACAGTTTTTATGCATTTATTTAAAATGTACTTATGTGAATGTGGCATTACCAAAAAACTAGTAATCTAACCTTCACTATCAGAAATCCGTAAGATTTCGACCTCTAAAAATATTTTATATAATTACCGACAACCGATTCTAATTCAATTATCATTAGACTACTAAAAAAGGAAATACGAAATTAATGTTCATGGTCACTAGCAATGAAAGAAGTCGTCTGATACACCTAAACGTCCACCAGTTGAACAAAACAAAAAAAAATGTGTCTAGAGTTATTTAAGGAATAAAAAATATATTTATATAAATATATATATATATATTAAATTGAGTGTAATCGCTTACGACTGGTTTATTATTATCATTATTTTTTTTTTAGTGATCCTCTGGCTTTACGTGTGTTTGAAGTGATTAACCTTGTTGTAATAAACCAGTTTAGTTGGCCACTGAAAGGGTAAACATGCTTCTAAGGTGTCTATTCAAATCAGATTTAATCGTATTAAAAGAATTTGTTACGTTGTTGTCAGGTTAGGAATACCTTTAAAGATATAGTTTATATTTATTGTTACATAAAAACAAGTTCTAAATTCGTTTGCGTTAAATTCATTAACAGTTAAACAGTTATTTATTTTTATTGGCTTTGCATACAATATATTATCATATTTTTCACGTACTCAATTTTTAACGCGTAATTAACATTTAAATATATTTATTCTATTAGTGAATTCTTTAGGTACCTAAATTGAGTATTTTGCGTGTCGTCCCTTTGTGCCATAAATTATTCCTCGTAAGTACTAATTTTGTTACTTAAATGAAAACCTCATCGCCCGTATTATTTATTTAATTATATTATATCACTTGGGATTATGACAAGCGCGTAAAATATTAAAACAACACAACGAATTATTGTTTGCTGGAAGATGTTTGATTATTTAATTGAAACAAATACACATATTATTATAATATATTGTGAATATTTACTGTGTACGTATAATACCATTTTCAAGGGGATTATGATTATTGTCATTGACTCGTTTCCCGTACTTAAATATAATATAACATGCAACGGTTTAAAATCCTGCAGTATTATGACAAAACAATAACTTTTTTATGAGTTTCTCACAAACGACCGTCTGTTTTGTTTTAATTTGTCAGAATGCAAAACATAATTAATTAAAATGTTCATTTAATATAGGTAGGTATATTTTTTGTGTTTACATCAAGTAAATATTTTATGCTTCATTTAATTTGTCCAACGATTATGCATTTCTGAATTACTTATTTTTAAATCTATTATTTTTGCAATTGAACATCAAAAATTCGTCCTATTTTTAATAATTGTATTTTAAGAATTTTTGTAACTCGTTATTCTTGTTGCTTAAAAAAAAAAAAAAAGTAATAAAGTAAGTTGATTTTTTAGTTATTTCTATTCCGGGTATGAAATTATACTCGACACCCATAAAACGCATATCTTCGAATTTCCTTATGGATATTGTTAGATAATGATGATTTATTGTCTATTAGATATATTAAATAGGTTATAGGTCCGTTTATAACTATTTCCCTTTTGTTCAACATCAGTATACTGTTTTCAAGATTATATTTCCAAAATAAGACTCTAGATGTAAACAATATGATAATATATTTATATTGAGAACGGACGTATTGGGTAAAGTGGCTCGAATAAATAAGTTTATTTTTTTTTTATGATTTTCGGTAAATTAAAAAAATTAATAACGATTTTTCAAATCATGAATATATTCCTAAATATCCCATGATAGTATTAACCCTAGTCTTAACAATTGGTCTATAAAATATTGCGATTTATAGTTGTCGATGATCTTGTATTATATATTAACAATATTTTAGATTCTGTTATCTTAGATAATATTTTCTTTTTTTCTTTTTCTAGACTGTGGACACGTTTTTTCCTAGTAAACTTGCTCTGATTTTTACGTGTAGCAACTTTTCTGAAAGCTCAAGTTGTCTTGATGGTACTTTAAACAGGCTATTTTTTGATTTTTGACGTCATATTTTAAATAAAATCATTTAAGGGGGAAAAAACGTACAATTTCACGATTTCATTATTTTATAAAAACACGGACGACGTTTTCTACCAGAAAAAATGATTTAATCGAACAATTACATGTTACTTTTCAGCCACTTTTTAAGTGAGCTTTGAGCTTTTAAGGAATTTAAATTGTTGATAGTTTTTTTGTTGTAATTCGGTTATAAATACACGTAGAGACTTAAAACTTGGTAATAATACTTATATTGGACTTATCTAGACGTGGTAAAATTTCCAAAATCATCGGACAACTTTTTTTTTTTAATAAGGGTTTTTAAATCAAATTTAAACGAAAATCGCAAAAATTATGTGTTAACAAACTGTAAACTGTGCTAGAAATCGTCTTTCGTCAAGTAATAGTGTATCGTTGCTTACAGATATAAATGAAGTAACCTTATGTATCCTACCTTCCCAACTTCTCATCTACAGCAGTGGCCGCTCCCATCTCCAGTATCAGCTCTTTTTTAGTTGAAAATTATTATATAAAAACCTGAAATTTCACCGATTACTTATATTGTTAAGACTTTCTAGAGTTGGATAATTTTTATAAAGTTTTACACCTTTTTGAGCTTTTTGTAGCCATTTTAAATTGTCGAATTTTTATAGTTTTTATTTGTTGTTAATGTGGATATATTTTTTCTCGCCTTCTTAAATATTCTTGAAAATAAGATACAAAGCTTATTAAAAGTACCTAACTCTTATACGGCCATAAATGAATAGTTATGTAATTATTATTTTTCGAATGATGTTAAAACAACTTTTATGGCTCAGCAAAAATGCTCAAAAATTTGAGACGGAAAACACAGATAAGATAAATAGACAATTAGTCAGATATTTATAGTTAAATATTTTCAATTTAAGTTTATCAAAACATGTTTAATCGCGAATTTCGTTAAAAATCGTTTTTCATTAGAAATGATTTATCGTTTTTTTTTTTTTTTTGACAGATAAATTAAATTATCCTACACACATTATTCTATCTTTCCAACTTTCCACTTACAACAATGGCACACCCACGGTGCGAAGTATTTTGATTTGTTTATATATTTGTTTTTCCTTTACAGTACGATATCAATATTAAACGAATTCGAATAATTGATGAAAATGTATTTAATAAATAATTACAGAAGTATTAAAAAAGAAAAAAGAAAAAAAGTAAAGAGCTTTTATAATAAAACCCGATTCGTTTAAAGTGGCTAATTAAATCTAAGCGGGCGTCTACCGACTCTGATATTATATTATAGTGTTTGTTGTTGTAACAAAAAGGGCTGTTTCTCGCGATTTGTCGTCCTTTTTATCGAGTTAAGGGCCGCTGCCGCCAGGTAGCTCCTTCAGGGCTGTATTGATTACCGGCTAACCGAGTCAATTAACTGTCGGCCGTGCCGGAAAGCGTCCACGAGTGACGTCACGTTATATTAAAAGCATTCCGCCCACCCCAGGGACCGTTCGGCAGCTTTTAAACGATTTCCTACACTATTGCAGGGTTTCTCAAAATCGCCGTTTCGATTTTTCTACACAACGCGATCTCTTTTTGCGGGCTCTATTGTGCGAATAACAATTGCGTGCAACAACCGCAGCGTTGATGATAATATTATCTACAATATTGTGCCTACTGCTGAACTGCAAAACTGTTATTAATTATACACGGTTTTATTTTCTCCGCTTGTCACGAGAATATAATACGTAGGTACTTGAGCGTTCCGTTGCAAGTTTTTTGTGTACCTACTACTATAACTACGTTAATTTTCCGTAAAGTAACTTTAATTTTTAAAACAAAAATTAACATAAAATACACACAAATTATAATAATAAACGTATTTTAGTGCTCCTGATTTGCGGGCACTCGAGTTAAGTGAGACAATGGGCCGCCGTAAATCCTCGGATACAAAATATACGGGATTTTCGGGTTATAGAAACGTGAGAGAAGACTGCTGCTGCAAGAGGGCGGATTTGATGGATGGGCTTTGCCGCAGCCTTACTTCTTAAACTGCGTTAATTTCGGATTTCGAAGTGCCGCTGATTGTGCGACGGTTTAATTTGGCTGCGATACGGTTAATCGACCGTCTACTGAATTATACCGACCCCTCTTTTACTCGGATACATGAATTATTTAATAATATTACCTCACTACCTACCGGCTATTTATTTACGTTTTAATGGCTATTTTTATTGAAACGTAATAATGTCGGTGTGAAAAAAACAACATACAAATTGCGCAATATTTATATAAACGTGTTAATTATATAGCCGCGATTAATTACGACAATTAAATCGGCGGCCGGGCGGGTAATCTGAACAGTTATTTTATTTATTATTTTTTTTTTAATTCACGAATAACGATATTATTATTATTATTATTATACTCGACGATCCGTCGACGATCCGCTATCTTAACGATAATACGAGTATAATAACGTACACGCTACTTAAAAATGTACAATAATAATAATGACTTTCGTTTTAACACGCCGGTCGTAAGGTACCTATCGTTAAATTGTTTTTTTTTCCTCCTTACGACACGTACAATTTATTATTATTTATTTATTTTTTTTTTTTTCTCATTTCTTTCTACAAATTCGATTAATTTATCGCGCGACCGTCGTGTGTTAATAATAACGAATTTCAAGTGGGACGAGCTCGTTCGATTCGGCACGAGTGTAGAGCTATATAGGTGTACCTCGTGTCGTCGTCGTCGTCGTATCTATTTAATCGCCGCCGCCGCCGCTGCTGCCGCCGCCGCCACCGCCGCCGTTGTCGGCACAACCGAGTCAATAATGTTATTTTAGAAATACGCGTATTTTGATACGCTGTTCGCGGTGGCGGCGCGCAGGGATTTACCGTCCGTAAACTCCGATTACACCGCGCTCGCCGTACAGGGCGATTCTTCTTTTATCCGGGACGCGGGCCGGAAGTTATTCGATTGCCGTTTAATGTTAATGTTATTCGCGATATCAGTGCCGGCGCCGCCGGGCCGTTTGTTCCGCGTGCACATTTTCCTTTTTTTTTTTTTTTTAATTTGTTGTTTACCCCTTCACTCTTTATTGCTTACCTACTATACTTACCTATTAGCCCCCCCCCCATCGGAGTATCTCATTATAACCCGCACTTTCGAAACGAGACGACGAACGTTTATTTTTTCTACATCGGATTTCGACACACACGCGTGCAACACTATCAATAATAATAGTTTACACGACGAGTCGACCGCCCAACAGTTTCGAGAATTTTGACCCGGGGGAACATATGTAATATTGTGTACTGCGCATGTGGTGTATATTATGTATCCAGGTACGGGGAATAAGGGTATTATTTTTTTATTAGGGTGAAAAAAATCACTCTGTATATATTACGTACGACGGGTGGCCGGCGATTCCGCCCGGTGTGATCGCCGCCTCCGGGTCCGTCTTATTGATTTACCCCCTTGGAAGAACACACGCGCACACACACACACACACACACGCGCGCGCGCACACACAAACTCACATTAACGCTCGCACACGGTCGCGCGACCGTTGTCGTCCTCGTCCCCGCACACGACGACGCGCGGCTCTAGTTTTCTTTCGGGTTGTGTAATGTTACGACATTTGATCCAATAGCCGAGGAGAGGGTTTCTCTCGTCCGCCCGGCAAACCCCTTTATACACCCGCCCCGTCCGCGCAGCACCGGCGGCAGCAGACGACTTTTACCCGGATAAACCCCGTGTACGTGTACCCGTCGCGTCGTCGCCGGCACCTAATGCGCTTTATTGATGTTTAGAGCCTTTTGAAGAGCCGTTTCCGAAGTGTTGTACACACGCACGCACAAATAACTATATAAACGCCCCTTCGCACCACCGCCGGTTGAGCTCTCTTTCTTTCTCTTTCTCACTCTCTATCTCTCTCTCTTTCTCTCTCTCTCTCTCCGTCTCTCTCTCTTGTGTACTTGCGTGACGACGCGGCCATACAAATTAATTTCCGTCACTTACTGCTCGCCGCACCGCCATCAACAGCCACGATCAATTTTAGATTCTGAACGTACCGCGAGGTCGTATCGGTTTTACCGTTACGATGTGTGCTTTTAAAGTTTACTCTTTATATTTTTTTTTCTTGTCTGTAAACAACTTTTCGACCTGAAATCTATATTACCTACATCATGAGAACCTATTAGGAATATTAATTTATCGAAAACGTTCGGAATCCTCACAGATTTAAAATTATTAATATTATTTAAACACGATTTGTGTATAGGGTATTTTTATATATCATATATTTATATCTGTACGGGATGTACGCGAGTTTTACAAATGAAAAACCATTCTGAGCGAAGTTCGATTAAATATATTTTGATAAATTTTAATTGAAAAATTGTATAAATTGTTAACAAAAAAAAAAAAAAATAATAATTACAATAATAATAATAAATAAAAATTAAAACATTGTTCGTGTTTTTAATGAGTTTTCAACGTAAATTCAAACTTAATTAAAATTTAATTAAATTATAAAATTTTCATCCCCATAAAATCAAATCAAAAAACTTAAACATTTTAAATGGATAATAATGATTGATAAAAAAAATGCTAGCTAATATTATACAAGTATTGTAGAACCCGTTTATAATGATATTCAAGGGACTAGTTTAAAATAGTCATAATAATCGATTATTGTTGTAAATTTGTAACCGAAATAATAAAATAAAATTTAATATATTGATTATGTATTTGTATTTATATGAACATAATATTGTAAAAATTTAATACAGTCATTACAGATAACAGATTTTTCTAATACAACTAAAAATAACTGTCACAACATCAGTATAGTCACTATACATACGTCATAATAATCGATACAAATTAGTACATACAATGTAGGAGCAGTTTCGCCGGGACCTTCAATCTAAGGTGATTACAGCCTATATGTCACTACAACCGGTGTCATTATTAACGGCATCTATTGTATTAGGTGAAAGCCCTCCGATCTCTATAATTCTTTTTCGCTGAAATAGAAAAGAAAAAATAATAATTAAAATAAAAAAAACGGACAACTTCACTTTATTGTATATAATTACAAATTTTGAATTTCGAGTTCTCCTTTTCACGCCTCTTTATGGATCATTTATGTTACCAAATTTACTTAATATTAATTGTACAATGTGTAAGTGTTCAACAAATAGAAGGAATTAAAATAAATGAAAAAGTAAGTTACAAATTAGTACAATAATTTAAATTTATCGAAATCAGAATCGTTTTTCATTAGCCACGATTTTTCAGTGTACCTATGTGTGTATCAGTGTATCTATCTATGAATTAAATTACCCTATGTATCCTACCTTCCTTATATCCCATTTTATACCAGTGGCGAGCGGCCTAACTCGTGTCAGACGACAGGCGATGCCCTGGGCCGTTCTTCGCAGACTGGGGTTCGATTTCTTCTCGTGGTATTTTTTTTTTATCTTTTTTTTATGCATTGAATATCACATACATAGAAATATATTTGTTTTAATATTTATGTGCACATAATACTCGTTTTATAAAACAACACGTGCAATCGTAATTTTTTTTGTATTTATAAATCGCAATACAGTTTTTCATTTTTAATTCATCAAAACACGTTTAACCGAACTTCGCTCAGAATCGCGTTTCGTTTGCAAACATATTGATCGTTGCGTACAACCGATGTATACATTATCCTGTACTATATTCCCGTCTATCGGCTTACAATAGTGGCGGCTCACCCATGTCCCACGATGGTGAGATGATGAAGTACACGCGCTCGCGAAATAGATGGTGCCTGAAGTACGCGTCGGATCATTTTTTTTTTTCGCATTCGTTTCGTATTCCGTACACCTAATTATTATTATTATTATTATTATTATTTATTTTATTTTTTTTTTCTCGTTATAACTACCTACGTTGTTTCCCGTGAGATCCGCGCGTCGTCGTCGTCGTTCGGTTGTATTATTGCGGCCGCGTGTCCCTCCCCGCCCTCCGCCGCCCCTTAAATGGCAATGACTAGGTAGGGTACTACCATACAACATATCGTATCGATGCACTTTTGACAGGTCCGCCGCCGCGGGCCGCGGCGGTCGAGAAGTGCGCGCGCGCGCGAGAGAGAGAAAAACGAAAACCGGTTGTTATAGCTCGCGCTCGAATTGTGCAATTGCTTGGCGGCTTGGCGGCGGCTGGCAGTGCAATATTACCGTGGCGGCTGCGGCGGCGGCAGCCGCCGCCGCCGCCGCCTCCCCGGTATACGCTCTCTCGTACGGTTTATTTTCTTCTCCGTTCATCGCCGCCGCCGCCGTGAGAGGAGAAAAAGAAGAATGCGTCTGTAAACCGGTCTACACGTATATTATTATTATTATACATAGGTATACTACACACAATGTATAATGCAGGTATAGAGGGGCGGACGGCGTGTGGTGGGGAGGGGATGGGGGAAATGAGTGCAGGCCGTTTAAATATTATATACGTACACGAAATGCAACGGACAAAATGTTCACCTCGCGCCAGCGCGTTTCTATTATAATAAGCATTAAGCACATTACACGACGCGTATTAAAATACCGAAACGTTTTTTTTTTTTTTTTTCTCGTCGTCACGTGTAATATAAATCCTATCCCAAAAGAGTAATAAAACATAATTAAAAACAAATATTTATATAGAAAAACGAAACAGATATCGCCCGTGTTCTGCTGCTGCTGCTGCTGCTTCTGGTACACTCATATATACCCACTTACCCGTTATACGTCATCGTGTCGAACGATACTTAGTATTCCAATAAGGATTTCTCCCGCTGTCCAAAAGTCCCCCGTAATACAAATATCGTAAGTAGGTGTATCATAATGACTACTCAGATTTCGAAAAAAAAAAAAAAAAAAAAAAAAAAACCAATACAATAATACGCGGAGACATTGTGATAAACGAGTTACACTCGTCACTAATGGGAATCGTTTTTTTTTTTTTTTTTTTTTTTGAAATTTTTGTATACAATATACATTAATTTTTACAAAACACAACTGTAGAAACCGAATTGTATACTTATTTTTTAAGTTTTGATCGCGTAACACGTGTATATAAATATTTCCAAATTCGTGGAGCCGACTGCTGCACTTTCGACATCTTCCACTATCCAATATTCCAATTCGATCGGGTCTACTGATCCATTAAAATAACACACGATTGTGAACGCACAAACCTTGAATTTAATTTGGCTCTGGGTTAATGTAATACAATATAATGGATACATCATGTAAACTCTACCGGTTGGTGTAACGGTGTTAATAACTTATGTAAACTCTACCGGTCACAAAATTGGGGGAAAAGGTTGTGTGTGTAAACTACTCTATCGGACGTAACTGTAAAACGATTAAGAGAACGGGTACTATGAGTTGTATGACGTATGTAAACTCCACCAAAGTTAGAGTTGCTTTGTTTACTTAATAATTTTAAATTATACATGCTAAATGTTGTGACAATGTTTGGCTGTTGGTTACTCAATCACGCCAAAACGGCCGAACGGATTTGAATGGAATTCGGCAAACAGCTAAAATATGCTCTGGATTAACACACAGCTGGGGAATACTCTTTTTATCCCAATAATGCGCTCCTGTGAGATAATTTACAATGTTGATGGTTTACAATGATCGATAGTGCAATAAATACATTTTTTCTCTTTACTTCGGTATAAAAAACACGAAATATGTCATTAAATTAGCCAGTGTTTATTTAATATTGCTACTATTATTTCTCTCTTCAAAAGACAAAGTAGTACCTACTTCGTTGTTGATTAAGTCATAAGTATTATTAGTGCTTTAGTTCATGGGCCATTAACTTTCTAAGGGTCATAAAAGGTGAAGGTTTTCGCGTCGGCTTCGATTTCATAAATCATTTCGGTGACACTATGCTACTTTAAAATTAATCCAGATCGATAACTGTTCGATACCACGAGGAGCTCGGACCCCGGTATTTTCCGATTGATCACAGAGTACAATCAAATTACGTCGATAAATTCAATGTAATAGATCGTTGGCGATTAACTCGTAATATGTTTTCATATTACCTGTTTGATTGATCGTGTACGACCGGTGTCGTTTACTATCACCTATTATATTATAATAGGATATATGGTTTAATATAATAATTTTAATAAAAAAGTTACGATCTTAAACTATTTTTTTATATTTTTATTTGATTTTATTAAAAGGTTAGCTTTAATGTTATTGTACAAGCAGGTACTTTTAACTTGTTACCCTTTCTGCCGGTGTATACTCGTATTTTAAAATAGTAATAATACGTTTATATTAGGTGTTTTTTGACTGATCATGTTTTAAGTGCAATTTTTTTTGCGATGTCTATAGATATTAAATGCTACTATAAAGAAATAGTATAATATTTATTGCTAAATAAAAAAAAAAAAAAACAAGGTATTTCAACAATTTATTGGATATTCGAATGGCAGTTATAAAATTATCAATGTCTAACATCATTGTTAAGATGATCTAGTGAATCAGTGATTTATTACTATCTGTCTGTATTAAATACGCACAGAATTTATAGCCATATACTCATAATATTCTATTTTTAACAGTTCTCATAAATACTGCAGATACCGATGCGATAAAATGATTTCGAAAATAGTGATATTTAGAATTCAGTCATCCTAGACCGAATTCTATATAATATATATTGTATAGAATTGTTTTTAACTTTCAAATTTCCCCTACACTTTAGTTATAGAAAAACGACGTCGCTAATTTTTGTTCAGTTTCTTTAATTTTTCATTTATTTTTTTTTTAAGTAAACTAAAAAAGTAACTTAGTTTACTTCCAGTAAACACTGGAAAATGATCCTCGAAAAGCATATTATTATCACTTATAGGTATACGATTTCTTATCTATATATAAAGTAAATATGTATGTATTGTTATCTATACGTCATAGATTATTTTCGCCATTATTATTTCTTTCTTTCTCTCTCTAAACAATACAATAATAATATGCATTTTCATTTTTTATTATTGTGAACTAGTATTTGGGTACACTCGTATTAGCCGTCGCATTTGTCGTTTCGCCCAGAATTTTTAAATATACACAATATAATATAAACCCTCTTTTTATTGTTGTTTTATCGGTTTTATATGGGAAAAAAATGTATATATATACATGTATTTATAATATAATAATAATAATCAGACTTCGTTGCACGCTACTTATATTATAATATTTGCACGCGTCGTTACAAACATTAATCTTTACGCGTTTTTTACTAATATATAATATTATAAATGTGAAACAAGCCAAGGGGAGACCAACGGCGCGTGCGTGTATAGTGTGTGCGCTGCATTTAATAATTATACCGTAGAAATTATAATGACACGGGTACAGTGTATTAATATTGTGAAGGTTATGAATTACTATTAATAACGTTTATTTTCTATTTTATCAATAACTCCGTGTATTATATTAAAAGTCCATTTCACGTCGGTTCGTATCGAAAATAAATTGGACACCGAAATAGAATATAGAGCGAGTGTTGATAATTGCAGATATTAATATTATTACGTTCTTACATAATGCATACCAAAACTGTATGCACGACGGATCTTAATATTATGCCTACTCGACTTTGTTTCAACAGATTTCGTTTTCTACAATTTAATTAATTTGACGATCTATACGATCGATATAATGTGTAGTTATTCATTTGAAAAAAATGTATTGTTATTACTAAAGCATTGGCAATTATTAAATAAAACATCGAAGAATAATGTACGTTATTTTAGTTATTTCAGTTATTTGTATACATTTTATTAAACACGTTGTTTGATAGAAAAAATTAATTTTATAAAAAACTTCGATACACCTGTAAAAAACCACACATCTCCAACGGAATTAATATTATGTACTATGACTTGAAATTTAGTACAAGTCAAATTAAATAAGTAAATCAGTGGTAAAACGTATTGTTTTAAATATTTTTACCATTAGATATCTGCAGAAAACTATAGGCGCGCATAGTATTGTGTTTTCATATCTTCATAAAATTCTCGTTACCATAATTCACAAAAGCGTTTCGATAATTAATAATAATATTAAACGCATTTTTTTTTCTTTTCAAAAGTGACTGTGAAATCTAAAAAAGAAAATCGTTTTCTTAATAATAGGTAATAATAACAATGGTATATTTGTTAAAATTCGTTGAAGAAAAAAAGGTACAGTTTATTGTTTCGCTTTAATAATACGGACATCCAAATGACGGAATAGGTTCCGTTGTCTGTATAGTTTATAAGTATCCGTTTCACGAAACGTTATCCATACGTCTTGCAGTGTGTAATTACGATAAGTGGAGAAACCGCGGTTCCATTTTCGTGAAATGGATACAAACGTCGTGTTAATTTAACTGAACGGATAACAACGCGTTATGGACGCCACACGTACGCATAATATTAGACAGACACCCATATTATAATTTTCAATACGGTCGAATCGAGTATTACGAGTATTAGCTGCGGAATAAATGTCGTTATAAAATTTCAACGGTCAAGTATTATGATGAATAATAATATTATTATCGTGACGTTTCGAACGCGAGTGCAGCGTACCGATTTATCAATTTTGTTGGGGGAATTGGCTGTACGGCCCGAGCCCGTCCTCGCGTATTAAGTTCTACGGATCGTTTTAATTGCGACTTAATTCAATAAACGAGACGGCAGTATAGTTATTACGGGGTAGTAACGTTCACACTGCGGATCCTCCACCCGCCGCCACGTCGGTACAAACGTGGAAATAATAATAATAATAATAAAAAATTACTAAAAAAAAAACAGGTACCGTACACGATCTAACAATATATAACATAGGCATAGCTTTATTATTATTAACGCCGCTCCGCAGACGGCCCCGAAATACGAATTTGATTTATAAACCAAATAAGGTCGTGTCGCGTGACCCCGATAACTCGACGTATATAGTGTATTGTAATAATAATAATATTATTATTATTAAACATATATATATATATATATATATACATTTTTTTTTTTTTTTTTTATCAACTCTACGCCATCATAATCGACCGAGTGAGGTCACGTTTGTAATGAACCTTTCGTGAGAATAGAAAAATAGAAAAAAATGCATGTATACAATGAAAAGTTATAAAAAAAAATAATATTATATTATACCTACCGATTTAGGATAAAACAGTCGCCTATATGTATTATGTTATTATTATACATCGAATATTATGCATAGAATTTTTAGTTCGAGCTCCATATTTCACAATATTATTGTAGGTATCTAGACGCGCGGTGTATTTTTTTCATTGCTATTATTAACAAATTAAAATATCAAATATTAACACTCGTATTATCCGCGTGCGTTATATAATATTTGGGTGCCAGTTATTTTCGATGTTGTAAAATTTAAGCAGTGCCGGCCGGAAATTTGTTTCAATACATCTAAAAACACTAGTCTTCTAAATTTCAAGTTCGATTAAACATATTTAACACGTGCCGACTTAAGCTCTAAATTCTATGAAAAAGGGTAAAATTTATAATTTTCGGTGTATACATAGTCAATTTTTAATTTACGAAAAAATCGTGTAGAATTATTGTAGACCAAGGACTTATCTACAAATAAGTATTTTTTTCGTTATGGTAACTCTATCTTTTGAAATCAAGAAAAATATATAGAATAATATGCCCATTGCAGTTTATATTTCTTGAAGAATTCTTGATTTTGTTTTTCTGCGATTTTTTTTTTAAATTATAAGGATACCAATAAATAGTGCATAACTATTATTTTAGAACTGTGTGTTTCCTTAAAATATTTACTTGTAATATTTTTTCAAAATATAAACCCTTTCTTGTAAAATTAATGAAAATCAATTTTCAAATTTTGTAAAATAATAAAAAAGGGATAAATCGCGTAACTATTTTATTTATTTTATTATAGGAAAAAAAATGTTAAAAAAATGTAAACTTAATTAAATTTATTAAAATTATTTTTTATTAAGTAGGTAAGTTAAATGTTGGAAATGGATATTTTTGACGATAATATATTATTTATACCTTATATCTTATGTTCACGTAAGTTGTACAATTCGAGAAATTGGATAAATAATGTAATATTTTAACACGTTTAAGATTCGTGTTCGCTGGTTTTAAATTTTCAACAAACCCTCGTAGTTATTCTATTATTTTCTTCGATTCTACGGGAATACGTATAACGAACAAGTATTTTTTGATAGGTTCTATATTTACAGCTTATTTGTTGTTTTTTTTTGAGGGGGGGGGGGGGGTGTTTGCAGGACGGGTACGCGACATTTTTCTTTTTTTAGATTAAACATACACACACACACACATACGAGCATTATTATTGGTACCTACTTTCACTTAACAAAATAATGAAATGTACACACATTGAGTATAATACCGTTCATTGAACCTTTCACCGTACACTGTGTGGAATATGGCGCATTGTTAAGCTATGACTAGGCTTTTGGCCTAATTGCCTGCCTACCTGTGTATATTATATTGTACTATATATTTTTTCTATACACCGCGAAATTCGTGACGGAGATTATATCGTGTACATAAGTATCGTATTAATATAATATTATAGCAATGATTTCGAAGAAAACCGTATTGTATACTTTATTATTGCAGGTCGAACAACCGCCGTGCCATAATAACATATTATCGATTATTTTGGAATACACACTTTAGGTACATTTACTAGGTGTATTGATAAGATAACGTTGAAATAGTATAGTAGTTATCTATTATTTTTAATTGTTTTTTCAATCGTTATAGTTTTCATTCTGACTGTAACGGGGAATGTATACCTATTGGTTTTACCGTGTTTTTTTTTTCTGTAAACGGTTTCGCCACCAAGTAATCCTGCTCCGACCGGCTTTTCTAAAAAGAATTTTCAATCTAATCGGTGCATTGGGATGTGGTAATTTTTTTTTTGTCATTTCTCGTAATTTTTCTAATAATAGGAAAACACTGGACGTTATTGTTAATTTTTGGATTACTTTGATAAAAAGGATAACAAACATCATGACTTATACTATTATACTCTGAATCATGTTTTCGTTTGCAATAATTATCTTCGCATACAGTATAATGTAATCTAAATAATTACTTTGTATATTCTACTTTCCTAACCAATCACCTTCAACAGTGACCTACCCGCGAACAATATTATGTTTTTGTACATAGTGTACAATATGTCGACAAATATCAATACCTTCGTACAATTTTGATTGAGTATTTATAAGCCGTTTACTGTTTAGAGATAAACGGTATATATCTGTATATTATTATTTAAAATAAAACTACGAATATTAGCAAACATTGTCCACGGACTACCTAATGAACTATCTAAAAACTACTTTGTTCGTTGATTGACAAATATTAAGTAAATACTTACTCAAATAATGTTTAGTTTTATCTTGTAATATTCGTGTTATTGACGAAGTTTAAACATCATATTATGTTTAACTATTATTATACCTGACCTGCAACTTGCAGTGAACTTGAACATTCTTATACGCCCACTATATATACCTGTAACATGGTAAATAACAAAATCGTTTAGCAAGTCGTGACGTTCGTCAGTTTCACGACTGTCACAGTCGTGACGACCAGACCTATTTTAATTGGCTCGAGATGGCCAGTATCTGCACGACCAATGTCCATCATCAATTTCTCTAAACGTATACGTTCACCAACTCGTCCGATTTCTTTATTTAGATTTTTTCTTTTCATCATAAATAATAAATATTACCCTGAGTCTATCGATGAGTTATTTTCGTAATTTTTTTTTTTTTCATTATTGAGGCGTATAATAATTTGCATGTAATTATGATTTATTAATATTTGTATTTAAGCATCTGTGTTATAAATTTTATTATGATAAAATAAATATTAACGATGGACGGTTTTTATTATAAATTAATTAAAAAGTTAAATTATTAAAGAAGATGATGATGCTTATGGCCTATAGATTCTGAACGGTCTGTTCAACGAACCGAAATATAGCATTATTCTGCCTTGGGGCTGTGTGTTTGATACGATTTAAAAAAAAATGCTGCATCGATGTCAAATAGAATTTATTATTATTGGATAAGATCATGGAATGGTCGATTGGTCACGATTTTGACCTTTTCACTGCGATTTGTTTATTGTGCCTATGTACACATAAATACCGGTCGGGTAGTAATATAGAAATAAACCATCATAATATTATTAATAACTGTTTATAAACCAAATGTTTCAATAAAATTAAACTATTGTCTTATAACATAACATTATTATAATATTACTGCTGTTTATAATAATTAATAGGTAGGTAATAATATTTATCTTATTTAGGTCTAGTATGTCTATTTGTGTTGAAATATATAATTCATTATAGAAAGGAAAAAAAAAACACTATATAATTACTTCCTTTATTCTTATTACGACTATTTTACTTATTATTTTTAATAAAAAATAATATATTACGCTTTGCATTGGATACAAACCGCAATAAATGTCAAATGTTATACGCACAAAAAGTTCGAAGTTTATGGGAATTATAATTCCAAGTGTGGCTTAAATAGACTTATTATACAACCGTTACAATATTTAAATGCATATAAATTATAAATATATAATATGATCGTAAATTAATTGTTTATTTTTAAATTTGAATTTCTATTACTGTATAATAATAATTATTCGGTTATTATTACCAAACAATTATGAGTATCTAATTATAATATGGAAGTATTTACCGTTTATTATTCATTAGTTCGTTATTATTTTGATATTATGTATGCACTTTATTACATAAGATTACATAACAAATAATTAGTACAACTATGTAAACATAATTTAAAGATCAAATGGCATGTTTACATCTTATCTGTATAATATGTATATTTTAATTTAAATTAATAATTGTGCATGTACAGAGTACACGGAAATTTGGAAAATGTAATAACACTTATTCTATTCAATAATTTTAGGTTTTTTTTTTAAAAAAACTTGGTGTTGCACATATTTACTAATTTTGAATCGTTAGGTTTCTACAATTTGTTGAAGTTTACGCAATTTTGATAGGTAAATTAGTGAATCTCATTGGTTTTATTTAGTAATGGCAATGAAAACAATTTAAATTATCGTGGACTTTAAAATTTTATATGAAATTAATGATGTATCGTTCATAAATATTTATAACAACCATTTTTTATTTTTGCAATATATTTTTTTAAAATATCATTGATTTTGGGTATCTTGGATTTTGTAAAAATAATTTTTTTTTAAAATTTAAAACTATTATTTTTAAACTAAAATATTTAGTTTTAAAAAAAATACATAAAATAGAGGAATCGTAGTGTAAGGTTTTAATAATTTTTGCAAGAATAAAAAAAACTTAAAAATATTGAACAGAACGAAATGTATTGCATTGTCAGATCTCTGTAAAATACGTTGCATTAGTAGTATATATATATATATATATTTTTTTTTTTAATCTAACCATTACCATTGTGTTGCTTTCTAATAATTTGCATGTATGTCCAATTACAGTAGAAACCGTTAATAATAACATTCAAGGGACTAGTTCAAATTAGTCATAATAACCGACCGTCATTATAACCAAAATGGTAAAATAAAATTTAAAAATTTGATTATATGTATATATATATATATATATATATATTTATATGAACATAATATTGTATTGCAATCAATGTATCATGTTTTTATCACTAAATCGGGATTTTAATACATACAGAAAAAAAATTTTTTTATCATTTTAAAATTAAATTGGAAGTTAAGAAAAATTTTACCTTCGATACAAGTTTAATACCATTGCTACATAGATAACAAATTTGTATAACATAAAAAAAATAACAACGTCCGTATAGTTATTATAAAGACGTTATAATAATCGATACAAATTAGTACATACAATATGGGCGTTTTGCCGAAACCTTCAATCATTACACCCGATATGTCACTTCAACCGCGGTATCATTATTAACGGTATCTAAAGTGAATTTATTGAGAGTAGGTAAATATGGTCTTACAATAATTATATTGATGAACTCTTTATGTGGCGTTTCGTGGGACATAAAATTAGTATAGGGAGAAATTTCTATATGTAAAAAATGATGAAGCAATACCGCCGAAACCAGTTTATTAAGCAACAACAATCATATCACCGATATTCACTACCTCCCAGGTTTTGTGTTGATTAAAAACTCGAAAATAAATCGTATATTGTGTACAAGGTTAGACGATTTGCATATGGACAGTAGGCGTATTGAAGAACGCTACTAATTTTGAATTTTAACACCGAGCTTCGTATACAAATAGCCTGTTATTATTTTCGGGGCGCGGTTTTTCTTTCGTCATCTCGTGTTCTATTGTCTGTGTAATCATTTGTGATTTAATTTTTAAAAAACCAGTCACTCCTTCAAAAATTCTCAACATTACAACATTATTGCCATCGCATTGTTTTTTTTTTTTTTTTTTGTTAAGTATTCCCTAAGTACTCGTTTTGACCCACTTATACAAATGGAAGAACTTAAATACATGGTGAAATAAATGCCTTTTTTATTATTATTATTAAACAAACAATTCATTAAAATTTAAATGTTTGTGATAAACTATATTTAAAATGACATAATGAACATGCCAGATTTTACATACTTAATATAGATTCAATAAGGATAAATTAAAGATGAACGTTAAATAATGTACTTCATCGAATACTTATTCGATAATTTATACCTCTTATTTAGTAATAATTAAAGGATGCAGATTATTCGTTTTAAAGAAATAATTATGCACTATAACTAATGAATCATTATTTATGTTAACCTAAAAATATTGGTCGTAATTAATAAAAATTTCGATTTTCTCTTTCAAAAGTCTGATACATTTCATTGTTTAATATGTTTTGAATTTGTAATCAATTTGACTAGTTCTTGACATTAATTTGTATTACAATTTTTAACATTAATCAATCAAAATTAAAATGTTTAACATAAATTAATTCGATTAGTTGATTTGTACATGTAAAAAAAAAATAACAAATAAGAATGAAACACGTATAGAGATAATATATGCCAGATTTAATATAATGATTATGAGTTTATGATTTACTACCTCTGTAGGTATTATAAACTTGCAAGGGCCATGAATTTTCAACCCGGTCCGATCTAACAATTTTATTTTTAAGCCCGGTCCGATTCGGTTCAAATCCGGTTCGGCTCTAGGACATTTTTTTAAAGCCCGGTTCGATCCGGTACAAAAAATTGAAGCCTGGTCCAATTTATTACGAGCCGGGCTTTTAGAGGACCGCAGGATTTGCAGGTCTTTAGTAGGTACTTAATTGTTAACTCTCATTTAGTTTCGGTTATTTCACAAATTTGATTATATCATTAAACGCGATAATTTAAGGATCTTAATATGTTAATATAATTAATATACTTTTCGTTTCAAACTCAAGGACTGTTTAAAATTATATATATATATTTTTGATTCAAATTCCTTCGTGTTCAATGGTTCAATCGTTTAAGTTACAATAATAATAATAATTATTGCCCTGTAGTCATATTATATAGTAACCGGTTTTTATTATAAGCAACTATCAAGATTTATCGAATATATTCAATTTTATTAATATTCTATGACACGCATACAAGATATTAAAGATGCAATATTATTCGAATTCAAATTTTAAGACAAATATTTAAAGTTAAAAAAGTAAAAAACTACTTCAAATATTTACAATAACATGATATTATAATTTTTATTTTTAAACTGAATAAAATAGTAATATTTCTATAGATATACCTATATTTTTTTAATTAAATAGTTTATTTTATTTTATTAAAAAAATATTTCTTAAAGAATGTTATCAAAGAATCTAAATAAAAAAAACACCAGTTTTTATTTTTACTTATAAAACACGGTTAAATATTTTTTAATTTTTTAAAGGGAGATTGTTATTTGAACCGTTACATTCGAGGGTGAGCACTGTGCGTGTTTCCTTTTGATTAAAAAACTTCATGTTACCCTTAGTTAAAATAGTTGTAAAAATAAGTATCTAATTTTCAATGTGTTTATGTTATTATTAATCTAAACGAATTAATGATTTGAACTATATATATATAGTACAAGGAAATAATTTGTTATTGTTAGTAGGTATATTGATAATATTAGATATTATGGTATAATAACAAAACCATTTTTACGCAATTTGTTTTACTAGAACTATTAAAATCTATTATTATTTAAGTATATACCTATATATTATTCAATTTCGTTTGTTCGTTAAGTTCATAAAATATCATGTAAAAAAATAAATACAATATTCACATTTTTATTTATTGTTATTTTTTGTTATTTGTTACAGTCCGAGCAACGCGGTTCTAAATTCGTTGGATCAAGTAAAAATATATTTGCAATCTCAGGGTACGTGCAAATGTGGACTTGAATGTCCCGTCCAGTGTGAACACGTTTTTAATTTCGACGCAAAGGTAATACATGAATATTTAAAACAATTTATAACAATTGAATTTTCCCTTAATTTTTTATGCTCACCCTATTTATACTGGTTTATTATAAGCAGTGTTTATAGAGGCCTACTATTATATACCGCTACAGGCAGATGTTACTTACGACGTTATATTCTCTCTCTTTCTCATCTTTCCCAACAGCTGCTATTCCACGTTTGTAACTGATGATAAAAAATTCGGCACATTTATTGACAAACCAGGGATACCTAAACCGGATAAACCTAATACAACATTAAATTTATATTTTATGTACTTTATGTACATTATTTTTTGTACTTGTTAGGAATAGTTTTGAAATATTGGTTTATGATTTTTTCCTCGTTTATACGAGACTATTCATTTCGCATTTTTAGATTGTTGAAAAATGACGTCATACATCGTTGAACCGAGTAGGGTTCAAGGCTTTGAAATAATTTTTTGTCACCCTTATTTATAACTACCACATAGTTCTCCCAAGTAATTTTTTATTTTTTTTTTTTAAATACACTCTAGAGCCTTAAGAAAGGGGTGTTTAAAAATCGTATTCAATTAATTTTTTTTTTAAATATAAGTATTTATTTTCATTGTTTCTCTCGATAATTATTTTTACAAAATATATTTTGTCGATTTTGCTTGGGAAATGCATGGCATTAAAATTAATTACACATACATAATTAAAATCAAAAATAATTTCTTCAATTTCAATTATAGTACTATTTTAATCTATACAAATGAAATGTAAAATATTTAAAATTACTTATTTTAAAATCGAATACCTATTACCAAATATCAACGTACCTATAAACATTATGTTTATGATTTATTATTCATTTAAGATCGATACATTTATATAAAAGTCAAACACGACAAACATAATTGTACAAATTATTAATGAGGCCAGTTACCTTGGGTATAAAATATTTGTAATTGCAATGATTATGTTTTTTAAGAATTATATAACGAAAATAAGAATTTAATTTACGATTTTAAAGCATTATTTTATATTCATAGCACGTATTATAATACATTTTATTATTTCATATTTGGTACAAAATATTGATAATTTGAATCGTATAGACAGTGTTAGGCATAGATAATAGATAATTTTAAGAAAAAATTATCTAGATAATACTTAGATAATTTTATAAAATAACTATAGCTTATAGATTGTAAAAAAAAAAATTGGTAATTATAAATTTAATAGACATTGATATTATTATCATTAATTACAAAAAAAGTATATTAATTATAATTAATAGTTACTATTTTCAAATTGATGATATTTAGATAATAAAAATGGAAAATAACAATAAATTATTTAAAAAAAATGTTACAAAAAACCAGACCTAATTGACTATTGACTAAAACGGCCTATAGTTCAATATTATAATTTATAGTATATCAGTAAGTATTAAAACAATTCTTGGGAAGCACAATGCATATTTTATTTCCCTTACATGAATAACTAACTAAATTTACCTTACAATACTATAAAACAAAATATTAAATTAAAACTGTTCATAATAAGATATAATATCAAGAATGACCAATGGAAATAATTATCTAGATCATTTTAAAAGTATCTAGATGAGATAAAATATACGAAAAATGTATCTAGATAATGCTGAACACAGCGTATAGGCATGATATTGTAATCCGTGAAACACTGATGTTCAGAAAAAAAAAAAATGAATAAAAGTCAACAAGGGTTTGTAGAGGTATTTTTAGTGTGCACAATAATCGAGCGTTTCACGCGGTCGTTCGGGGTCGAGTAAAAGAGGGTGGAAGTGCCTCCACCCGGTGCAGTGTTATTGATGTTTTCAATGCACTGTGACTTCTTTCCCTGCACATTTGCGATAAAAAAAAAAAAAAAAAAAAAAAAAAAAATAAAACAAAACAAAATCCTACAATACGAAACCCGTATTATGCCCGCATTATGTACGCGTTAAATAGTGCTATTGTTTTCTTTATGCTATCCGGTATTACCAGGAAGGCAAGGAAACTATATTATTATCAATGCTTGTTTCATGACGATACCTACCTAATCATTATAATATTGGTATGATGGTGTATTATGTATATATATATATATGACAATCGTATAATAATTATCATAAAATCGGCATATTGTTCTTTGAGTATTTAATAATGAACAATAAATATATAGTCACTTGTACTAATCATGATTGCAAATTCTGTGCAAATTTAAACAATTTAAATATTTAATGACTGTCATTGGTAGGAATATTTATAAATATGTACAAAACACTTGCAATTAAATACCGAGTTTAAATATTACTAATTATAATTTTCGCAAAAAAAAAAAAATAATAATAATAATTATAATGACTATCTCTTTTCTAACCGTTTAACATTGAAAAATTAATTTTATGTACCTATATACGAACAATGGTAACTATTATACATACTAGCTTTTATTTTAAAATTTCTTGTTTGGTTTATTAGTTTATTTTATACCTAATCTATAGTTCTGTAAATAATATCATCAGTCAACATTATTAACGTAGAGTATTATTTATTTACAATACGTTTTATTCGTAACAAATCGCTTTCTTTCCCAGCAGGCATTAAGTTGATTTTTGTACTCAAATAACAAGTAAGAAGATATTAATATTATTTTTTATGGGTCATGAGATAATAATATTGTACGTGTGTGTATATTTGGTACGAGTTTATTATTAGATTGTGATTGGTAAATTTTTAAACACTCTGTTTAATTAATTTAATTTCCATTAAAACGAGCCGTGTTCGTGTCGTGTGCCGTGTATGTATGTTGCGCAGCGTATCGAATTTAATTTGTAAAACATTTAATTTCTAATTTTTTTTTTCCTCTATAATTTAATGGGAAAAGTTATCGCATTATTATGCACACGCACATATGATTTTATGTATAAATGTGCCTTTGCATATTACACGTCAACGCGTCATATGGCGGCAGTTAGGTGGCAGGTGTCTACTATAAGTATAACCAGGTGCTGGACCCCAAACTAACGCCGTAATTTAGACGGCATAATCGCGGGCACAAAAAAAATACGGTTGTTATTATTATTATACACATTTCATTATTTTATAGTTTACAAGTTATGCACGTAGGCGGGTTGGCGTACCTATAATACAGAGAATAACCATTAAACTTTTTTTATTAAATTCAACCGTGTAAATTTAGTTGGACATTTTATTTTAAATTTTTTTAAATTATAGGTTATCAGTTTTAATGATTTATTTATTCATTTTTATTATTATTTATAATTTAAACATAATATAATGTAAGGATATTCAGTGGTGACGGGTTTATTTTCCAGCAATGGTCCGTTTCGAAATTAGATGATGATAGGTTGGTAGGTGTAAATACCTTTTATATATAATAGAACTGATAATAGCCAATAGGTTTGCTCCTTGTATTTAAATATAATTGTTCATTATACGTAACCGAAGATAATATTATGTTTAATAAAAAAGCAAAAACCGGATAACAGCCGAATAAATGTGAAAGCACCTATTCATTATTTTCCTCGTCGGAAAACATGAATGAAAGCGGTACCAGTTTGAAAAGTGTAGAAATTGATTAAGTTTAGCAAATATAATATAACTTTAACCGTTGGGTTAAGTTAAACCGATTAACTAAAAAAAAAAAATGAATGATTTTATGATTTTTCGAATTTTTGGATTAAAAACAACAACAAAATAAATTTAAATCGTTGTGTAAATAGAATTATTTTACCTCACTGCGAATACGACAGTTCGATCATTTGAATTTAAATCTTTATTTTACTATTATTATGAGCTAAAGACATTTTGAATTGTTGTCGTATAATATATAGGTAAAACAACGAAGGCGAATCCAATTCTTTAAGTCGTTAATTATTAAGTTTATATACAAATATTTTGTGTAATTTAGTATTGTCTAAATAAAATAAAATACTCAAAACTACGATATTGGGTTGAAAAATGATAGACACATTAGTTTGTCCGCGCCAAACACAATAAAAATCAATTCATCTGTTAAAACATATGAACCTAACTCGGTTCGGTTAATAATAGAAACAGCAAATAAACCACAGCCTTGCTTGTCATTTGTGTCAATCATAAAGTACATAAAAATCACGGGACTCAAATATTTGTACGCACTTTGCGATGAAAATATCTGCGTAATACTTCTTTTGGCTTATAAATTAATCATATGGTACCATAACAAAATGTTTAATAATCAATTACTACTGTATTGTATATGTGGAAGGTTGAGGAGGTAAACTAATATAGATATAGAGTAGTTATTTAATTCATGTATGTAACGATAAATTATTGCCAACGAAGTACGATTCTGAGCGATTAAACACGTTTTGAAATACCATAATATTTACGATTTTCATCAAAATTTGAACTAAAAATGCTTATAATAAAAACGACTACATTACACTCAATTTTGTTTTTACTAAGTAAAACTAATGATGAATATTGTGGTAAATAGTCGAACGTTTTTTCGGAGTTAAAAAAATTCAACCTTATATTAAATTAAACAAAACTAAAACATCTTAAACATTTCATATGTCTATAAATTACCAAAAACTCGCCATAATGATTTACCATTAATTGTACCACCTATACAAAGAACTAATATTAATATTCTGTGAAATTTTTAAGTCTCCGCGATTATTTTTAATTGAATAACAACAAAATCGAAACCAATAAAATATGGTTATTGTGTATACATTTTCCTGTTTTTCCGACGTTTCTTCCTGGTTTTTTAAATCATAAGAAAAATCAAAAATAATCAACTAAATTAAATTTGCTAAAATAAAGTTCTCTTTTCGTTTTTTGATTGGAGTCAGATTTCTGACAGATAAATTGTTAAAAATACAAAAAAAAAAAAACCAACACAACACTCGCCACTCTCAAAATCTAAAACTGCCATCGATGATTTTTGAATAATATTTTACTAGGTATTTGCCATCATCGGCGTGTTTAGAAAGTATTTGGGTAGATACTACTTATGTTTTGTATTTATAACGTTCCAAACTTTCTAGAACTATAGCTAGATAGCTGTACTAATTTAATTATATTCATTAGTCATTGTGCATTCATATTTCCGTCTTAAGTTACATCATTCTTCCATGACATAATATATTACTTTTTTTACAAATAAAATATCTTTATTGTTTTAATCTCATATAACTATATTGGTACTTAATTATTGTTATTTTTGTAATATTTAAACTTATACCCTTTATTTTAAGATATTATAGAATTTGTCGTTTTTTTTTAACCATTATACGTTCCATCACTGATCGATATTTGTTTTTTATGACACGATGATTACAAAATTATTTGGTCTTGCTAACTAATTTTTTTCGTTTTGTTTTACGATTTTCTAAACATTTGCAATTATAGTAGTTTACACGATATTACTACCTACCATCAAGTCATTTTGTTTGTGAATTCTCAGAGTTATTTTTATACATGCGTATAATAAATTAATTCAAATTTTTTAAAACGATTACTTGTCGGCGACGTTATGACGAGAGATAGATTTAAAAATTATGGTAAAACGAGCGCCAAAAAAAAAAAAAAAACATCGCAAATACACAAAATGTAATCATCATTTTACTAGTAGACGTCGAGCAAACCGGTTTGCGTCGAAGCTCTAGGAAAACCGGTTATCAGACGTCAATATTCTTAAGTTTTGATTTTTTTACTTATCGCACTATTCGTTTATATTTTTTTATTGTGTGTACGTGCAAGGCCGTCAAAAATGATTCAAAGCTATACGTTGAATTATACACGACGACTGTGTAAATACGCGTTATTATTGATAAATATTTTATATAGAGTATTCAATTTTTTCTCTACATAAGTAGTATACCAATCAAAGGAAATTCGTTGAAGTCAGACTATATATTTGAGAGAAAGTTATTACGATGAATATGTCCATGTTGGACCGTATTTTGATCAGAATACATAAGATTGAAGGAAATTACATACCTAATATTTTAATAATTTATGGTACCTTACCGTGAAGATCATAATGTCCTCGTAAAAACAAAGCTCGTTAAGAACAAGAATCACTAATTTGAGATTCATATTGTATGTATATAATATAATATAAAAATATCTAGCCAGTGAAATATGAACCCCAAAATAACAATTGTTGAACTTAACGCGTTTTGCATGGTCGGAGATGATAATACAAACCTAAAAGAAAATTGGTCAAACGATCGGACATTATTGTGAACTAGAATGGACAGGTCACGCGTATGGAGGAAGCAAGATTCCGTGATTAAAAAAGTACGCTGGGAAAATCCATGAGGCAAAAGGATATTAAGTTGGCAAAAGTTTCGTTAGGAAGAGCGTATTAAGTAGCTATGACTTTCGGGTATCCTTAGGAGAGAAACGAGGAGATTTAAACGTAAAGAAGGTAGCAGTGAGTAGAGAAGACCGAAAGAGCCTTTGTTTGACAGGACGGTCGCAACGGCTGTGAAAAAAAGTAATTAAACCAATTACGCGCTGGAAAAATAAATAGCTATATTGATGTGAATAATATTATTATTGTAATTATTTCTAGGTTTCTATAATAGAGACGCGAACACTATACATAATAATCGTCGATAGTCTGTTGAAATTATACTATTTTTATAAGTACGCACGATACTGCAGTTTTTATTATTAATATTATTTACTCAGTCGGATCGTTTTTAGTGGGGAAGAATGCACATTGACGTCACGCGGCTTTAGTTTGTAATTTTGTTCTTTTTTTTTTTTGTATGTTAATCCTTCCATCTGCTGTTTACTTAAATCAACTTCTTCTATTATTAAATATATTTATTACCTAATCTATGTAAAACAAATAATTCTAGGAAATTTTACTATATTTTCATAGACATAAGAGAACCATCAGGAATCGGTTCCAGAACGTTTTAATGTCACCGTTGGGACATTATTTTTATGGTACCTATATTGTACTATATAATTTGATAACAATTATTATGAACTAACGAAATTCCGTAAAATATGATTTCATAATGATATTCCTTATGATGATGTGTCGTTGGTAATTTAATTATTAATTTAAAAACCGAAATGGGTATATTATTATATTGTGTATTTAGTTTATTAGTATACTGTGGTCAATAACCGTGAAGGTTAGGTTATTTTTCTTTTGAATGTTATTTAGCTTCAACGGAAACGAATTTTTTAAAACAACAATCAAATTAGGTACCAAAGACGTCTGTAACTGGCAGACCGAGACTATATTATTATAATATTATTCTGTCCCACCGTTTTCCCCCATATGCGTTTAGGTATTTGTCGGGTGGTAATTATCGTCTGTAACGATTGTCGAGCTCGATTTTGGATACACTGGGTTTTTTTTTCCCCGCGGGTTTAACGATATTTTTTGGAACGCGTTCAAAGCACCCGAATGATAAAAATATACACTGTATTAACATGCTATTAATAATTCGCAAACGAGCGCCAGCAAAACATTCGAGTGTTCAAATAATTTTGTCGGGCGATTTGACATGACACTACATAATATTATTATGATTGGTCTAAAATGGTTTTTTTTTTTTTTTTAACTAAGTTGAGAGAATACCAGTCGAGTTATTAAAAGCTTAACTTATAATTTACCTCATAATTTTAATTGCATTGTGAAAATAAATATATATTTCGTATTATCTTAATTATTAAAACATTCGAGTTATTATTTTATGAATTAATCAATTCAATAATAAAAACACAATGCTATGTATGGACCAGGAAGTATATAATCTATTACTTTAAACTGTTAAATTCTGAAATTTTGTTTGGAATCTATTTTCATATTACATTAATATTAAACATATTATTTAAATGTGTACTAATAATGAGTTTTAATATTTTTCGGTGAATTTGTAATATTTTTAACACAGGGAAATAACATATGTCATAAAATACTTAACGATTCTCACGATTTTTACATTTGTTTGTACACATGCACATAATGATTTATTTGATATATGACCTTGATTATTTTTTTTACGAAGTGTCATAATTATTATTAAGGCGTAGCCATTAACCATTCTTAAATCACGTCCTTGACAAGTCTACTATCCTCCAAAAAATTACTCAAGGTGACACTCCCACATATTTGCTATGTTATTAAATACTTATATATATTTGAATCCAATTATTTATACAAATCAAACTCACAATATTTAAATGTGATGAATATGTAAAAATATATGTGTAGATAAAAATATTATATATTATTATATAGATACTTTTTTAAATTTTAGGTCATGACAAAACCCACGTCCGGTCTAAACACTATGACTAACCTTTGTAATCATAAGAGGAAAATGACGTTTAACAGTTCAGACAATAGATTTAGTAAATATTCCTTTGAAATGGCAGAAAATCGAAAAAAAAGAAAACTTTCTGGTGCCCAACAACAGTTTTCATTTTCACCTTTTGAAGGTGACAAAGCTGGGAAAGAAAATTTTTCTCAAGTTCCAAATTCTCATCAAGTAAGATTTTAAAAATAATTTTATGTATTCCTTTTTAAAGTTTATTGATTTTTACTCATATATGAATAATTTCAAACTTACTTTTTCTTAGATGCAATGGGCAGATCAATCTGTTGTTCCTAGTCAAATGAGGTTTTCTTCTCAAGGAACATCTGCAATGTCTAATCCTCAATCTCCACAGTCCATGTTGAGTTCTCAAGCATCACAAATAACATCTCAGGGTATGCAGCACGTGGCGCCTAATTCCCTAACTTTACCAACACTAAACCAAAGTTCTTCTGTGATGTCAAACTCTCAAGGACCAATTATACCTAATTCCCAAAACACATCTGTATCAAATCTTCAAGGAGATGCGATGCCAAATTCTCAAGGAATAGTAATGCCTAATCCTCAAGGAACAATGATACCAAATGCCCAATCCCCATCATTGGGTTCGGGAAATCCAAGAGTTCCTCATTACCCAAATCACTCATACCAGCAAGACTTAGGATATGAACAATCATATCGAAATGGTTATAGGTATAATTCCCCTCAATGTAGATCTCATGAAATAAATAATATGTTACAGCCAGACTCTTTGTGCCAACCACATCACCAACAGTATCAAAATGATATGGTATCGCAAGATTATTATCAAAAAAATACACACAGTGAATATCAACAGGAGCAGATGCAATATAACAATAACTATGATAGTCAAAGAACTCAAGGAAGTTGTCGTTTCAATTGTTCTAGTCATTGTGGACACTATTGTAATACTAGTGAACAAAATTCAAATTATGGTAACCAAATAAACCCATATCAACAGCAACCACAGTCTCAGCCTCCACGACAAAATGAATCTACAAATCATGAATATTATCCAGAAATGTATCACGAACAAAATAACTATACCGAGTCTTACCAAGATAATAGGAATAATCTAAGACAGGAATATCCATTACAATATGAATATGAATCACAATCTCATTCACAATGCCACCATCATATTGATTGTAATTCAAAAAGTAATATTCCAACTTCAATTAATAATCAAAGTCCAGTAGAAGTTCCTCAGATAAGACCACAAGCACCACAAGTTAAACAGGTGCAACAACAAATAAATTCACAAAATGTACAGCAAGCAGTTGCTAAGCCAGTAAGACCTCAACACAAATCCACTCCACCTTGGCAACTTAATAAACAAGTATCCCAACAACAATTACCACAACAACAAATGCCAGAACAACAGATGTTACCACAACAGATATCACAACAACAGCAGATACAACAACAACAGCAACTACAACAACAACAGCAGATACAACAACAACAGCAGATACAACAACAACAGCAACTACAACAACAACAGCAGATACAACAACAACAGATACAACAACAGCAGCTACAACAACAACAGCAGCTACAACAACAACAGCAGCAGCTTCAACAACAACAGATACAACAACAGCAGCTACAACAACAACAGCAGATACAACAACAACAACATATACAAAAACAACATCAGATACAACAACATCAACCACATATATCACAACAACAATACCCTAAACAAGTAATTGAGGATCGAGTACCTCCCATACATCATCATGTTCCTCAAGTTTCCAGAGTAGAAGAAAAACCTCGTAAACAATTCAAACAGTCTCCTCCTAAACCTGTTAGTTTTAGTAGAAAATCTAAATCCCCATTTGAAGAAGATAGTTATCCATCGTTTTTAGATGACCCAAGTGGCTACTTGGCACAACAAACAGCATTGCTAAATAATACCATAAGTACTAATTCTTTTTCACCACTGTCTCCTCCTATAAGATCACAAAGACATGAAAAACCTAGGTACACAACAAATGTTACAACAATGGCTAGTGGTCGGACATCTAGTTCAAATACAATTACTTCAGTGGTGGCAGGTAGGGCTCATACATCTGTAGTAACAGTTAATACATCAGAGGACCAAGTGTTACCGCCCAGTCAACAACACTCTGTTACATCCAAAACACCTTTAGAAATGGTGCAAAGTGTTGTAAGTAGTATACAAGTACCAACTTCTACAGATAAATCTAATATTCAACCGAGCCATATTTTACTGACTAGTAATGGGCAATTAATAATGGCATCAACCAAACTACAAACACCCAATACTTCTCAAGTTCTCTCAACAGTGAATCAACAAGTACATCAACCAACTGTACTTGTAAATACACTTCAGGGAACCCAAGGTGCATTACTACTTCAACCAGGAAACGTAATGACTGTTGATCAAGTGCAAGTGCCTCAACTTGCTGTTGCTACAGGAAATATGGATAACATTGGAGCATTTTCACCAAGGGGTTCTAATAATCTATTATCCCCTCCAGAATCTAAACGTAAAACTATGAATTCTAAAAAACGAAAATCACCTCAAATATCTCCTAATCAGAACAATTCGAGTGTATTATTACAACACCAGCAACAGAATTTTAATCAACCAGTTGTTCAAACATTAATACTACCAAATAAAACTGCCCAATTTGGTAATCAACAGCTTATAACAAATGTGATACAGCCTGTTAGTCTTGTCCATAACCTTCCATCCATCCAACAATTCTTAGTACCAGCAAATTTAGGCGGTGTTGTTATGGCAGACAACACAATACTACAAGATACACTACAATTAAATGTTATAGCCCCCTTTTCCAATAGTGGTCAAACTATTTTACCAGCTGGAATGGTTTTAAGGAGTCCTCAAACTCAACAGAGACCTCAACAAAGCAATCAGTTTATTGTAAATAGTGTTGGTCAGTTGAGCCCAATTTTAGCAAGCTTGAGTCCTAATCCAGCACAGAATCAGAGTAGAAATCAGCAGCAAAATGACTACATACATGTGGTGCCATGTTCTATTCAACAAAATCAAGAAAATACTACTGTAGTTCAACAAAACACTACCATTGTTCAACAGCAGATGACAATGGTGTCTGGACAACAGGGAAATGAGCAAGGTAATTTAATTATTAACGAAAAACAAGGCCAAAATTATATTATTGCCGACAATAAGCAACAGGGATTTATTTTGAGTCCTAAAGATAAACAACAGTCAAGTGGCACACATTTTATTTTGAATAATATGAATTCTGAGAAACAAACTCAAAGTTTTATTATTACTAGTCCTACCCCTGGTGAAAAACAACTTTGCGGTAACTTTATACTCGAGAAAACCAATTCTACTGGGAATTTCATTATTACTACCACAAATTCTGATAAGAATTCTAAATTTGCCAAACATTCAGTGTCTACACAAACTGCTGCTGGACAGCAAGTATTACAAATTTCATCTACACCAGCTTTAATAGTAGCTACAAATCGTAATGCTTATGTGGGTAGTCCACCAGATACAACGACTTTAAGTCCTGTGAGTGGACAAAGTCCTACATCAAAACCAGAAATGCCTTCAAGTTCAGTAGCAGTTGACTTGGATGCTGCATTATCACCATCATCAACATTATCTGATATGCAAAATCGGCAACCAATGGTGCATTGTATTTCAAGTAGTAATGTAGTAGACTGGTCTGATAATTCAGCGGATGAGAGGAAGACCATATCCAATTCTTCAGACTCTCCGAATATGTACACCATTGAACATTCTTTTCCTAGATGTAAGTAATTTTAGACGTATAAATTTTGATGTTATTTTTATTTTTAAATTTATTTTAGGATACAATATCGTGAACATGGGTGTACTGGAAAATCCAATTTTAAGGTGATGATGCACTTCTTGGCTATTAAAACAAGTTCCTATAAATTAAATATACAATATGTAACTTAACTATGTATTTCCTAAATAAGTTTTGGTTATTATAATATATTAAAATGTAATGTAATAGTTCCTCTGGTTGAGGCATATATTACACAAATTTTATTTTGTATATATTACTAATTTTGTTATATAATTAACAATCGGTAAACCGGAGTTCTTAAGAATATATTCTTATTTGTTGTATTGTTAATCTGTATAAATCTGGTAATTTACTCAATAATAATCTATATATATATTCTATATCATACAAGTAGCTATAGAAATCTGTAATTTTTAATAATATTTTAAATCAAAGTGAGTTAACTAAAATAAGACTTTATTTAATTAACTTACTATAATTTCAAAGTTATTATTATTGATTAATAATAATAATAATAATAATTTTAAAAATAATTTAAAATATTCAGGAAGTTAAAAATTAAATTAATCTTAAACTCATTTATTGTTATTGTAACTATATATTATTTTTGATGCTTAATAAATTAAAATTAAAAAAATAAATAAAGACAATTTGAAATACCCATTCACTTATATATTGTATTTTGTATAACAGATTCCCAAATAATAAAAATAAAAGAAATAAAACAAGAACTAATGAAATAATCAGTTTTAGTACTGTATAGTAATATTATAACAACAATTTAATAATTTATAATATCTTTCTTCATTTATCTATAGTTATTTAACTTTATTGCCAAACAATTATTTGACAATAGTTCACTACTTAATTTTTAAATAAATTCAATTTTCCAAACTTTCTACCTTGAAGTTAAAATTTTTAAAATGTAGGTTATTACTTTTAAAAAGTTTGGGGACCTCTGGTATATAGTAATGCTTTACTGAAAATAAACACTTAACTTTTAAGAAATCGTACATTAACTTAGAAAATACATTTTTATTTAATTATTTATTCAATTTATAAAAATAAATAAAATATAATATTGTATAAGAACTTTGTCTGGAATAATTTGTACAGTTTTAAACAGGAATAATGTTGCATATTAATATTTTTACATAATCAGGTTTTAGAAAGTTTCACTGAAACCCTATATTAATTATAATATTAACAAATATAAATTGTTCATAAATGGCTTGGAATAATAAAATATGTATAGATTATAATTTTTTATCACTGTTATAATCATTTTCTCAAAGCTTTAAATTTTAAAATTGAACTTACCTATGTAAATTATCATTTTAAAAACATAATTTGTTTAATTTGTCACGTGATAATTTGTTTTGTGTTCTATAAATGTTTATAAATTGTTTACCACCAAATTCATTAGGTTACAATCTTAAGTTACCTGTCTTAACCTTATAAAGTTTTAATAAATATAATGTTATTAAAAAATTAAGTTATAAATATTTATAAAATAAAAACCAATGGTAATCTAATTTTATTGAAAATGTTTTATAATTATTTGAAATTACTTATTTTGAATAATGTGTTGCATTGATTAACCTAAAACTATTATACTAATTTTTTGACTTATCCCAAATTTATAAATAAATTATAAAACATTCAACCTTTGTCAAACTCAAAGTAAATATATAATACATAAATGAGAAAATACATTTTTCCAGCTATCTAATGTTAAAAGTGATTTTAAAATATCAACAAATTGAGGAAATTAAATAAATGATATACTCTGTATAAATATTATATTATTATTATTGTAAAATATTATGTATATAATCAAAATATTTAATTGTATTAGAAATACAAATTAGACTGTATATTTTTTATTTTTAAACGTAATAAAATGTTACTCGTTAGTACATTATTATTGTGCATTTAATGTTAAGAAAAATCATTTATTTATTAATTTTATTGATAAATTAATCGAAAACTGTGATTTTATGTTTCGTTTTAAAATAATTTTTTCTGATTATAGTTTTTTTTTGTATATTACTGTTTTATTATTATTATTTTTTTTTTTTGTTGCACGTTTAAATTTTTTAAGTTTATTTATTACTTTATTTTGAAGAAGCTCCCGTCAATAAAAAAGTTTTAATTTTTGATCATCACTTATTAATAGTTTTACCTAATTTATTTGTATTTTTCTTTTTAATTGATGATACCTATTATATTATATACCAAAATATTAATTATAGTTGTCTCTATTATTTATATTAAGAATTGTTAAAGTTATTATTGAAGAAATAAGGTGTACAGTTTTATATTATATATATATTTATATATATATATGTATAAAAAAAATTAATGATGTACAATATTCAATAAATATTCTGAAGTTTTCTTTGACGATCCTTTCTTCTTCTATCATCGTTAGTATGAAATACATTATAAGCTTAAAAAAACATAATATGAATTTATTATACAAATACATTTAAAAAAATGCATAACATGTAATTTTGAATAAATAAAGTTTACTGTTATTTTTAACCTATTTAGTTTTTACATTATGTTGTGTTTATATGTAATTCTGTCCACTATATTATATCCTTTTTTTCCTTATTTATGGTATCTATATTATTTTAAAAAAAAATAAATAAATGTATTAATAATATTAATATATTTATTTAATTTTGGCATGTGAAAATATTATTTGTACCTTTTTTTATTACTAACATGATGTAAATCACAAAGTATATGTACATTCGTTTAATTCTGATTGCAATCCCATACTAATAGTAGATTTAGTACTTAAATCAATTTGAATAAATAAAATCCGGTTTTATTTTGTATATGAACAACAATATTTACAGTGATGGTCCACATTTTAGATTCCGAGTGTATCGAGGAAGCTATTGGTTTTACTGAGCTGTCTATTTTTTTTTTCTTCTATATAGTCTGCGGACATGTTTTTTCTTTAGTAAACTTGCTCCGATTTTTACCTGTGGCATATTTTCTAAAAGCTCAATTTCTCGAGATGTTACTTTAAAGAAGTTATTTTTGTATTTTCGACGCCATTTTTTAAATAAAAGCACTTAAGTGGGAAGAAATGTAGGAATACATACAATTTCACGATATTATTATTTTACACCAATAACGGAAAATGTTTATTATTAGGAAAAGTAGTTTAATCTATAAATGCCAAGAAATCTTTTTTGTCTCATTATAATTTTTTTTTAATAAGCATTTTGAAATCAAATTGAAACGAAAATATCAAAAAAATTACGGCACTTCACATTATGTGTTACCGAATTAAGCACGAAATCGCCTTTCTTCAGCAATGGTTTATCGTTGTTTACAGATAAAAATGAAATGACCTTATGTATCCTACCTTCCCAACTTCTCACCTACCACAGTGATTGCTCCTATCTCCAGTATCAGCTTCTTTTTGTTACATTGGGGAGGTAATTTTTTATTAATAATTATTATTTATTTTACACATCTACTCAAGAAAAATTGTATAATATAAGGTACCTAATAGTTATAAAGACTTGCAATCAATGAGGAAGAGATGTTGAAAAACTATACAATAATATAATAATGGTTAATGGTTTCTATTATATTCATTTGTTTTTTTGTTATTCATTTAAAAATAATTGTAGATTACTTTACTAAATAATCATATTAGTTTCTTATAGAGTAGTAAATTGTTCAAAATATATTTTGAAGATTTTCAAGTTTTTTTTTAGTTAATGTGGATTTTGTTTCTTTGTAAAATGTGTAAGCTATTTATACTTTAACACACCCCACCCGATTTAAACATTTTTTTTTTTTTTTAATTGACGAGTTTTTCAATGCTGAAAATAATGATCCAATTAGAATTTTTTTGGAATCTATTATTTTAGAAAGTATAACAATTTGAAGTTTATCGTTTTTATGGTTTATCAAATCAACACATTTCATGTTAGATAATATACTAACGTATACCAAAATTGTATACCAGCAATTTCCAAAGTGTGTTCTACAGAACCTGAGGGTTACAAGATCTACAAATTCAACTTTCAGATATAAGACCCAATTTTAAAATTATTTAAGTCAAACCATAAAACAATTCCATTCATCACATTAAAAATATTTTATTTTTAATAATTAAATAATAAATATTTGTTATTTTAATAAGTAAAAGATTGATTGAAAATATTTTTTTTTTTAAAACCAATTGTATTGTAATAAACAATAATTATAAATATGTTTTGGAGTATTGATTTTTCAATAAATAAATTTAAAAAAAGAGCTGATACTGAAAATGGGAGCGGCCACCGTTATAGCTGAGAAGTTGGGAAAGTAGGAGACATAATGTTATTTCATTTATATCTGTAAGCAACGATAAACCTAAATGAACCTTGCTTGACGAAAGACGATTCCGAGCGCAGTTCGGAAATACATAATTTGTGCCGTATTTTTTTTTACAATTTTCGTTTAAATTTGACGATTATTAAAAAAAAAAAATCGGCCGATGATTTTGGAAATTTTACCGCGTTAGGTATGTCCAATTTAAATATTATTACCAAGTTTCAAGTCTAAACTAACCTCACTAACCTCAAAAAGGTTAGTGATTTTTCGATTAAATCATTTTTTCTGGTAAAAAACGTCATCCGTGTTTTTAAAAAATAATGAATTCTTGAAATTGTACGTTTTCCTTAGTTTTTTCCCACTTAAGTGTTCTTATTTAAAAAATGGCATTGAAAATCAAAAAAATGATATGTTTAACGTACCATGAAGACAACTTAAGCTTTCAAAAAAGTTGCTACACGTACAAATCGGAACAAGTTTGCTAAGTAGAAACATGTCCACAGTCTAAAAAAAAAAAATAAAAATTTCAGTAAAATTAATAGTTCCCTCGCTACGCTTAGAATCTAAAATTAGAATTGTTGGAGTTAGAGATATTGTGATTACATGAAACACAAACTTTTTCTTAAGGGTGCCACGGTGGTAACAGTTTGGGAACCGCTGCACTATTCAACCTTTTTGGATACATACAATTTTTTTTTTTTTGTTACTGGTAATTCATTCATTACTACATATAAAACAGTCATTACTTACCTAAACAATTCTTTAAACATCTAAATTGCAAAACATTTAATTATAATAAATAAAATTGCAATTATTAGTTCTTAACAACCAAGTTTGACAAAAATACTTATTACAAAAATAAAATATGTACTAATATACGTAGGGTATATTAGTACTCTACTATATTATTTTATAATATTGTGTACTTTTAATGTTCAGAAAATTAGTTAATGAATTATCTACTATGCAATCAAAAACATGGAGAATATCTCTTTGTGTCAATATTAATTGATTTAAACTGATGAAAATTTTTCAAATTTTAATTTACGGTTATTTAATATACTTTTAATTTAGAAATAAATAGATCTGATAAAATTTATTTATTTTTTTATGGTTATCATTGTAAAAAAAAAATCCAAGTTTTATGTGTACTTCACTGGAAAAGTAATCATTTTTAAATAAACCCAAATAATATGGATTTAAGTACTTATTGTTTAGCTTTCCCAAAAAATCATATTTAAATTTAACTATTTCTGGTAGAAATATTCAGTATTAGATTTAAAAAGAATCTTTAAAAAGAAATATATTGTATATTGGATTATAATCGTCTGTCATGTTCATACTGTTATGCAATATTATGTGTCAATATCCATTTATACTATTTGTAAAGGAATTTAAACAGATTATTATTTCATGTAAATCAATCAATTTGCTATGATTGTCAACAGTAAAATAATAATTTATTCTTAAGCATTGTCGATGAAAAAGAAGTAGGTATTAATTTAGGTTTTTTTTATTTGTAACAACTTGAAATATATTTATTCGATTTTTCATCATTATAGAGCAGTTATGAAATCAAATTAGTATTCTTAATAACATGAATGCATTGTACATTAGAATACTTAATATTTCAGTCTGCATTGGTTTTTTCTCATAACGAAGTTTTAAATATAAATAATATATTTTACGGACGTTTATGTACAATAAACAAAACAAAAAAACAAAAAACATAATAATAATAAGAATAATAAAAAATGAATCAAAATATTACGCTAAAACAATGTACCTATAAGTTTTTTTTTAACTCGTAATATTTTATAACAGCATTGAAAATATTAGGTGATTTTAATTATTACATGACAAAAATACGTACTAAATGTATAATTGTATATGGTACAAAAAAATCTAAGTAGGATAACAAACGGTTTCTAAGCATATATCGTATTGTTTTGGTCCCACTAATAAAGAATCTTAAAAACAAATCAAATAATACTAATAATAATTAATAATAAATACAATAAACATTATTAAACTATACAACACTGTTGGTGCGAAAAAAAATATCTACCATTGTAATAATTTAAATGATTTTGGGTTGGTGGGAAGTGGACAAAATAAATACATTATGTTAATAAATTTTAACTATGATACGGTATACATATGATAATAATAATTATAATAACGTTACACTTAAAAGATTAATAAAATAAAATGTTTTTGTTTCGTACGTCACATTTAAAAATACATAATAATTATTAGACATTCTGTAATCATCATAATGGCAACACCGAGTAAATTGTTGGGTTGATAATATATTTTTTTTTAAATTCTGATTGTGTATACATAAAATGAATTATACTTATCGCATTTTACTCGGTAATCTAAAAACAGAAGTCTTACAAAAAATATTTCCTTATAAATTAGATTAAAATAATTAATAAAACTAATCTAATTTTTTTTTTTTTTTTATGTTATAATATCTAAATTCGATTTATCTAAAATTAAATTCTGATTATTGAGCATTATGAACGACGAGAATTGTCTGTAACTATATTAAAAATAATAACTCCATTATAATATTATGTTATAAGATCATCCTACCTAACTACATACATACATGTATTATAAAATAAAATATAATAATTTTAATCCATAATATACATATAACATATTTTGTATAATATATATATATATATATAAAAAAAAAAACAAGATAAAATCTAGTTTAGAATTTATTATTATTATTAATAAGTTATTGCTACACAAACAATCAATAACGGTGGACTATAACAGAGTATGGCATTTAATTCAAGATGGCACCAATCTATTGAATAAGTGTTTATCACAGTTAAAAAAAAAAAAAAAAACAAAACAAAAACCAAAATCATGTATACAAAAATACAAAATAAATATTTATTTCAATGTGATTTGCAATTATAGAAATCTAACTATTTTATATCTATTAGTTTGAAAATTGAAGTAAAATTATATTTTAAACGTTGTAGGAGTACTATGATTAGCTTTTATAGAGTCGTTTGCATAAGCAACACTTAATCAGTAGGTGTTAATTTTTTTTTAAATTTAAATTTAGGTAGTCCACCATTGCGATTGGCGTAAAATATAAATATATATATATATATATTTTATAATATTCCTGTACATATAAATTTATTTTAAAAAATGTATTGCTTCATATGTATAAGATATAAAAATTGTTTTAAAAGAAGATAAATGTATATAAATATATGTATGACATATATTAAAAATGCATGATTATGTTCAAAGTTTTAAAAGTGGATTGTCAGACACAAATATAATTTATTTAGCTATAAAACTAATTAACTCCGGTGTAAATAATTATGTATTTATATATATGTATATATATTATAGACAATATAAAAGCACCTAACAGTACATCCTATTAATTCGATTGTCAAAAATAAATAAACATTATTTTAGTTAAGTAAAATCTGAAATTTAAATATTATTAAATTTTTTTTAAATTTTTTTTTTTTTTTTTATTATTATTATTTTGTAATTACCTATAAAGTAATTGTCAAAATTTATCTTAACATTAATTTAGAAAACTAATAGAATGTAATGAATCAATAATAATAAAAAAAAAAAAGACTGACGCACATGTCATAATATTATATACAACGTGGTTCACTGAATATACTCACTATGTAATAACAGTAATTACTGATTAGTGATGTGATAATAAGAATGCAATCTTGACATTTATATTGGCTATCCCATCACTAAAGTATTGGGCATATTTAGTGAATCACCATGTATACAAAAAATATTTTAATATTTGAAGCAATAAATTAAGGCACTGAATATTATATTGAAAAATGTAATCTTTACAATATCAAAGGTTTGGGAATATGTATATATATATATATATATATTATAATAAACTCGATTATGATTGTCCAGTTGATTTAAAATTGTTTACAAATGCATTATTTAATATTAAAATAAATAATTAAGTAACGGAATTATTAATACAGATGAATTGAACAAAATAATGAATAAACTTTTACTTTAAAACACAAAATTGATGCGTTGGTTTGATACAATAAAAAAAGTAATAAAAGGTAAATTATCAAGAGTAGCTATCACGTTGTTACCATCTAATTTTGTCATAACCCTGTACAAGTAAATAAACAGAAAATTAACCTCAGTGAATCAATATTTACTGTCCTTCTGTTTAATTTTTTTTTTTTTAGTATGCTGATACGAAGAGTAACCTTTAAAATTATATTTCATATAGCTATTTTGATATCACAACATCAAAATTGTATTATTATGGTTATATGATATGCGCAATTAGAAATGTTAAAATCGTTTTAAAATAATGACCAGAAGTACACAAGCTATAAAGGCATTTTTCAACAAGTTAGTGGCAGTGCGAAAAAAAATAAAATATCTGTATACAAAGGTAGAAGGCCCAACTTAATAAACTCGATCAAACAATAATAATTAACAATGATAAACATATTATATATAACAATAACGAATCGAAAAAGTTAAAAATTATATTATACACTTAAAAAGCTAACTGGTATATATATATATATATATATATATATATATATATTATATTTAAAAAAAAAAAAAATAATAATAATAATAATTTAAAGATTAGGGTAAAACAAGAAAGTGTAAAAGTCTAATTTCAGTCCTCGACAGCCTCTTCATTTTCGAGCACATGTTTGAACCAAAATGGTTGGAATGCATGTCCGTTGCCAACGTAGAACTTGCTCATGAATTCCACCCTAAACAAAAGTAAAATAATGATTAAATTGAGTTTCATCACACACAAGACAACGTTTTAGAAAATGTCTTCCATTTTGTAGACAATGAAAATCAAGATAATCCAAAATTAGAAAAGGCCGCAAATAAATCAAAAGTTATGAGTGTTTGAAAGTTATCATTTTTTGATATACATTTCAATGGTGTAGTTTTGGTTGTAGTCACTAAATAGCTGTGAAGCCAACTGTATCAATAATAATTTAAAATTATAATTTCAAAACAAATATTAACTTAAACATTTCTAAGTTATATTGATTTGAAAATTAACTATTTACAATTAATTACTTGATTATATTTTCGTTACACTAAATTTCACGATAATGAATGAATTATGATATAAGGTTTAGAACTGTTAGATGTTATTTTTCATTAGACTTTCAAATTATCAAATTAAAAACATACCTAGATTTAAACAAAAAATGTTATGAAAAATATTTAATTTTGGTTAAAATACCATCTCGAGTAAATTTCGGATAACATTTTATGATCATTAAAATTAATATTTTTTTTTTATATTTTAAAAAATGTATTGGAAATATTTTAAAATATATATTCACTCAGTAAATAGTGATAATAGTAATTGCCGAGCAAACAAGAAATTATAATTCTTGTTCCTAGATGAATTTCATTAATAATTGAAAATATTAAATATAAAACATGATATTGATTTGTGTTAGTATATTTCAGCGGTTTCCAAACTTTTTTTTCAGGCGGTGTCCTTTTATGGACTTAATTCAACTAAAGTGCCCTTCTGTGAGTACCGCGAGGAAAATATATAAAAAATCAATACTGATTGTCAATGATAATCAGCTTTTATAATTTTACTAAATATAATAAAATATAGGCATTCTAAACATACAAGCCGACTTAGCACATTTTTTTTTATAAGATTCAATTTGAAATTAACAAAAATTTAAAAAAGAAATTACAACAAATTATGATTAATTTTTATGAGTCATGGTGACCCTGAGAGTATCGCAGTGTACAGTTCGGAAACCGCTGGTATATTTTAAAATGCGGTAAGTAGATGTTGTTTAACAAATTTAATTGGTTATCTGTCACATAATATTATTATGTAGACATGATTAATGTTCTGAAAATATGTTAATTCTAATAAAATGTTTGATATAACAGATTCGAGTAGGTACTAACTTTAGAACAAACCGTGATAATAATTACACTATAATTTATATGTGGTCATTGCGAGGGAAAAGGCACATTTTAATTTAATGCAATAATCACCTACCTACGTAAGTAATAGGTAGATACTTAATAATTATTATCTGAACATTTTAAAATAAACAATTATTAGGTATAAATATTAAATATTCATATACGCGGAGAGTAGTGGGTACAATACATTTTGAGGAGTGCACATAAAGTGCAAGCATATTATTATGCTATAATGTAAAAATGTTATCTAAATAAATTTAGAAAATAAAAACACGCACCAGTGCAATCGGAGTGTGTGTAGGAATGCTGATAGGCCTTCCATCATGACTAATATTGCTAATGTGAACATTGACCACAGGGCGAACATGATGTACAATTTGATAGCACCCCAATGCGTGTCACTGGTCAATCCCATTCTCAAAACCATGTTCCACAACACTTCGGACAGTTCTGTAATAATATTAATAAAATTGAATAAGGAAAATAACCTACGTAAAATATTCCTCCAGTTGTTTCAAAGTACAAGATACTTATTTATGTTACAAAAAAAATAAAACCAAAAAGAGGCATGTTGGAAAAATAGGGGATACATAGTTATTTATTTTATATATGTACAAAACAATAAATTGTTGGTAAATTCATTGGGATTCTGAGCGATGTTAATTTAAATTTACAATTATATGATTAATTAAAAATTTTGATTTAATACTAATCAATAGGTTCAATATGCCAAGAATAGTCTAACGCATGTTCGATGAAAGTGGATGGACTCAGATTTGGATCCTATTACTGACATTTTTTTTTTTAAGCATCAAATATAGAATTATATCTGTTTTAACATTTAATTTCCTTGATATTTAACAATACTTATTTTTTCAATAACAGATATTTTCATAAGGGAATTGTAGTAGCTGAAAATATGTGGTATTTAGACCGAAAAGTTGAACAAAACTGTAGGATTTGATTTTGATGGAGGCGATTTTAAATATTCTAAAAATTGTATGTATTATACATATAATTTTATAAGAATATTGATATAAAAATACCAAATTGTTGTTTTCGATTAAAACAAAACATTATAAACTTGTTAATTAAAGTAAAATTTTAATTTTCCCAACTAGACAATTTTTTTAGAAAAGATTAGATCAAGATTTCTGGTAGAAGTGGTTCAATAGAAAAAAAACACATTATAGTAAAATTAATATACTTCTCGTTGCGTTCAGAATCTAAAATGTAGTTTTTAAAACGCAACTTTGTTTTATTTTTTAAAGTTAATCTTTTATATACTCACGAGCATGTGCAAGAGATAAGGCCCAAAGCCTGAGGTATGAAGCTGTATGTGAAACAGTGCTCAGCACATATTCAATTGTCTCAATGGACTGGTGTATGAATAGTTCTGAAGCTGGTTCTTCTTCTTCATGATGAGCTGATTCATTAAGCATGCCACTTAGTTCAGTTTCTTTCAATTCGATACTCCCATTTAACTCTCCGCAACTATCCGACTAATAAACGTTGTATGTTTGTATATATTATAATTTGCTACACAATAAGACATATAATAATAAACTCAAGAAAATTCAATTGTAACCTGATGTTTTTTATGGCGCCGTTCATATAAAATGATGTACAATGGTTTTCCTAATAACATCACTGGTATGCACATCATGGCGATAACAACAAATATTTTTTGTAAACGGTCCTACATTAATAAAATAAGTGTATTAGATAAAATTACATATAAATAAATACACATTTTTATTTAGAGTTTACACCATTGTAATAGTATTGTCTTACTTGTCCTTCAAACATATATTCATCACAGCCATCGAACGGTTTTGTGTGTTTAAAAAGCATCATATTAATAAATATAATCAGCACGGATGGTGCACATCTTGGACTGGTTTTTAGGGCTAATTGAGAATTTAAATTTTTATATTAATATTTATTATGGTCGATAAGAAAATATTATTATACAAAAATATACATACAATTTGTTGGACCATACCAAATCCATTTCATGAACATTAACGAAACCATATACAAAAACAATAAAACCAAAAATAACATTTGTGGTACAAACTGTAGTAGTATGTTGATCTTTTTGTGAAAATGCCTATACATTTAAACATTTAATAATTACATTTTAAGGAATATTTATTATTATTAATTATTATTGATTGCTTGTAATTTACATACACGTGATTAACAACGCTGAGTACAACACCGAACATCATATGAAGGACTCCAAAAATGATTGATAATTTCATTTTGTATGAGTTGAGAAATATTATTTTATTGACAGCGACCTACAAAGAATACAAACATTGTTGTAATACCCATGTGTTTTATTATATGATAGGTATATATAAATTTAATATAAAATTTAGGTAACCTGCCAAACTGGATCGAGTCCTAGTGGATATGGTTTTTGGGAATAATCTTTGGTAGCAGGATCTAATGTAATACTTTTGCTCTCAATGATAGTAATATTACTTTCATTGATGTACCAACTGGAGCCAAACAAATTTATGGACTTTGAAAACACATCATTGTATACAATTCCAGTATAAATTGAGAATAATCCCATGAGCAAGATTATGTAACGACCACCAAAAAATATGTTCCATATCTAATAAACAAATATAATAATTTGAAGTGCTTCAGAGAAATAGAATAATATTAAGTTAACTCCTTTTTAGCTTTTACACAATCTAAGTTTTATATTATATATGTATATCTATGTTAAGTAAACATTGACTATTATTAACTATAATAAATATATTTAGTAGCGGAAAAAAAAATGATGAAGATAAATTTGATAAACTGTTTTAATTGTATAATTTGGTCTGCTGTAACAGTGTACCCACAATGATTTATTATTAAAAAAAAAAAAAAACTAAAAAACTACTTAAAATTATAATGATATAGGCTAATCTTATATAACAGCAATGATTAGGTATTCTCATTATAAATAAAAGCCAAGATCCATCTGTAACACTTTGTTGATTTACCATGGCAACCAAATATAAAATTCACTATAATCCGTGATGTATGACAGACATACAACTAGTTAAAAATAATTATGCAACTACCTCCTAAAATTTGCCTAAAATTAACTTTGATGTCCAACAAGATTTCATTAGTTTAGTATTAAATTTCTTTATTGACAAATTATAATATTAAGAAATAAAAATCTCGTATCAAAATGTTCCTTCACAGTAAGTAATTTTCGAAAAACCACTAAACCGATTTTTATAAAATTTTGTATTGTTTGGTTCAGCTTGAGAGATAGGATAGTTTTTATCCCAATATTTTTTACTGCAAATGATTTTTAATAAGACAAAGGGTTATTAACAACTTCTATGCATGTAGTGCATTATATGTATTATAGTTTAATCCCTGTGCTTTGTGGACATATAAATGTAACAAGGTAAGGTATCAAGAATGAAAACATATATGACACTCTAGAACACTCTTTATCTATTTTTCATTCAATTTAATGATACGGGCAGAACAAAACGGGAATAAAGAAATGAAGAATACAAATTAGCACAGGCAAGGGACAGCTAGTGTATATGTATATATATACATTAATTTATACAATAGATATATTATTAAATGATAATTTCTGTGTTATACAAACTCATAAAAATGTATTTATTAAATATGAATACTTTAGAGGAACCAAAAGTGTACTGGATCATAATAGTAATGATTAAGTATTATTTTTGTTGAAAGGGTTTTTTTTAAGTCCAAATTACTGCCCTTGAAAAGAGATTCATTTTTAACACAATCATTATACATAGTAAAGGTAATTTCAGTACAAAATGTTTAGGTATTAAAATTAACTAAAACCTTTCACCTTTAAAATATTATTAATAGTATATTTATTTTCATGATTGAAATTGTTTATGAAAATGTAAAAAAGTACTATAAGTGTTATTTGTTCAAATAAATATTTTTTTTTTTTAAAATAATAATCAATTGTGGAACACATGAATTGGAATTAAAAAATAAAATAAAACACAATTCAACTTAAATTTTAGTTCATAAATATTAATAAGTAATTTTATGAAATTGGTGCGATACTAAAGAACTAATACATATTTGATATATTCCCAATTTTAATAGGAGTTTAGCTGAAATAATTTTTTACTGTTATTGGAAATAATAAACATTTAAACTCATATTATATAGCATAATCTTATAGCAATTTTTAATAATTTGAAAAGCAAATAAAAATACGCAGTAATATTTTTAGTACTATTTAAATTATATTGTACAGGTAAACATAAAATATCAAGAGATCATTGTTATAAGAATATATTTTTTGTTACTTGGAACCTAAGAGTAGTTAATTGTATACAATTTAACAGAGAATATAAATTACAATAAACATGAAAACTTTCATATTTACTTCATTTGTAGACTTTGTTTTGGACAGTTGTTGTTCGTATAAAACCATATATGCACTAAACACTGTTAAAATTATTCCGTGGCCAGCATCACCAAACATTACACCAAAAAGAAATGGAAAAGTGATAATAGTGTATAAGGCTGGAGAAAAAAAGAATATATATATATACATATATTTATATTATTATGATTACAAATCATATTATGACGTAATGATATATTAAAGTTTAACATACCTGGATTGACTTCTCGATAGCCCGAAACGCTGTATGAATCCACCAAGTTTTGGAAGCCCTGTGTGAACCTATTAGTTCGATTGAATGTTGGTGGATTTTCATTAGTATCGATTATGTTTAAAAATGAAGGTATTGAGCTGCCTACGGCTTTCTAAAAAATGAAAATGAAAACTAAATAGGCAAGTTTATGAATAATGTATTTAATTAAATATCTTACACTGCCTTCGGCTAATGTCTGTCTGATGAATGCCAAGTCCTTTATTGGTATCCAGCATTCACCAATGAGACACTTTTTGGTAACGTCCATGTTGAAAAGATTAAGGGTATGATAGATGGCTTTCATTTTCCGTACCATAACACCCCAATTATGCAATTCTTTTGCTACTGACGTTAAAACTCTTTGCCTATGGTCTCTGGTTTGATTTAGCACCTGTACACAAGTAAGACATTATTACTAACATAAATAAATAAATTACAAATTTTCAAAACTCACCATATTTAAATCTTCTAATCTTGTTTTAACACCCTTTAACATCTCCTGTCGTTCAGAATGAGCACTTGGGCAATTATAGAATGACGCATGAAACCCAGAACAAACTTTCTTAACACGTGATTTGAGCTGTTCCCCTTGGAAGAACGCAACAAACACAGTTTTGAAAATTTCATTTCCCTGAATTAAATATTTTTATAATTAATTGATTAATAATAATTATACAAACTGTAGTTTCAAAAAAATACAGACAGTAATAAAAAAAATGGTAAAATAAAACTCTTTAAAACTTATTCTTACTGATCGTATCCTTGTATACATTTGTGAAGTTATAAAAGCTATATTGAAAGTAAAATTATAAATGATTGAAATAACAAATGAAGCACTTTAGGGTATTTTTTCAATTTATTTATTCAGTAAACTATAGCTGTAAACGTAATAAACAAAAATTAAAACGCCAGATATAAATATAAGGCAATTTTAGATTTTTTATTGGTCAATTAACATAATTAGACATTTGTTTTAATTTTACCGTAGCTGGGTCTTCAAGTGATTCTTCAAGTTCTGCTCGTCGCAGAAAAACATTGCCCCGACTGATTCGCCATAACATACGCTCAAAACCAGGTACTCGTTCTCGGGGCACGACTCCGGCAACAAACCTATAATAAAATAAACCATCAAAATTGTAGTTATTTAAACTTCTATTTAAATTATGTTGACAAAATAATAAAATTAAAATTTACAACAATTTTTTATAGAATATTTTATATTTATTAGTTCTATTCCTAAGATTTTCATCAATTTATTCACACTAAATATTATCTATTCTGTTTGATAGTTTTTAGTAAAAAATTACTTAGATTCAATTATAAAATTAAAAAAAAATAATGTTTACTGTGAATCTTCCTACTTTTTTTGTATTTTTATTAATTTTGTGTAATCAAATATTACAGAAATTATTTAGAAAATTACATATTTAATGTAGTGTAATACACTACACTTATTATGCACTTATTCATTTTGAAAGTAATATCAAAATATTAGTATGGCTATTATCATTTTGTTCATTGTTCAAACATACAAATGAACTCTTGAAATGCCTTATGCGGATGAAAAACTGTAACACAAAAACTAGGTAAGCTAACTAAGGAGGTTTTTATAATTGGTATGTAATAAAATCCCATAGAATTATTCTGCTGACAATTGGTTCTTAGACTTCCGGAAATCAATTAAATGCTCTAAATTCAATAATGTTCAATTGAAATGGAAGAGAATTATAAAGGCAAATGGTAAACTTAATTTAATCAAAAATAATATAATATTTATGACTATGAATATTTCATATATTGGGCTTGTTCAATTAAGATTTAAATTACATGGTGACATTCTTTGTTTAGAAAAATCATGTTTAATACTTTTTAACATTGATAACAAAATTATTCTTATAAAAACAAAACAATTTGTAAAACTTTTAATTGATTGTGTAAAAACTAAAAAAAATGCTATAAACATTAAGTAAATTATACCCTCATATAAAAAAAAGAAGAAATTTGTTATTTTTTAATATGAAAGATCACCATATATTTTAGATAATTTTTGTTTCTATATTATTATGGCATGCATGTACACAAAATCATATTTTATCGGGGTCTATTGAACTCTCAAATCTAATAATTAAAGTTTGGAATTTATTGTGAAGGATTGAAAGAGCTCACTAAAAATTACTATTAAACTAAAGAATTTGTCAAAAATGTAATTTAATTAAAGCAATTAATTTCCATTTTCAATGGATTAAATTATTAAATTTAATATTTCATTTTATTTAATAACTATTGCAACATCAATAACTCAAGTTATCAAATATATAATATAAAATAAAACGAGGTAATTTTTCTCATTAAATCTGAAATTATATTTTTCTAAATATATATGAGTAAAATAAATTAAGAAAAAAAAAGTTATGTATGTTTAATGCCTGATTATGGCCTATGTATTTATTTGGGACACAAAAAAAAAAAAAATAAAAAAAAATAGCAATATCTAGATACACACAAACATAAACACATCATAATAATATTGACTGTTAACACAACATGCGACATCAATAGCTGGGTAAAACAAAACACAAAAACTGAATTTTTAAAAAACATATTTTATGATGTGGTAATTGATAAGTTTATTAAAACTTACTGGCATTTAAAGATTTTCAATTTGTATGTGTCACTTTAGCATAAAATAGTGACAATGACGAACTCAATTCTGGTCTTCAACGTACATCATCATTCATGTGTGTAAAAAGTATTTTTTTTTTTTTATGAGTTTGTTAAACTTACTTTAATCTCACAAAGAATTAGTGCGTTTGTGTTTTGTGTGTAAAAAAAATAATAATAACTACTCACCCGAGACGGCCCCGAGTGACTTGGGACTGACTATTTAGAGCTTCATCGCTGATTAGAGCTTTTGTCAGGGAATCCGTGCCTGATGCGCTGGTACCGTCTTGCTGTTGAAAAGAGAAACTCTAAAGGACAAATCAAAAAAAAAAATCTATTTCTACATCAAACACTACTGCAAAAAATCTACACACTAAAATGCAATTAATTAAACTACTTAAAGCCGGTGTAATATATTCTACAATAATATCACTGGATTAAAAAATAAGTAAAATAAAGTATTATTATAATATGATCAATGATATGCATAATTATAATACAAATATATAACACAAGTGCAATATTTAGCAAAAAACCAGGGTTAAACTGTGTTCAATTCAAATTTGGTACACAAAATATTTTCAAAATTAATTGGTTTTATTAATAGCAAAGTAAAAGCATTTTTTTTTTTTTAGTTTATAAAACTATATAAATATATATATATATATTTTTTTCTAATGTCTTTTAACATATTTCAAGACCTAAATAACATGCATTATTCTAAGCATAACCCAAAATTACTTACGTCTAAGAAATCCATATCAAGCTCAATGGATGAACAAGAAAACATAACAAAATTTTAAGTTAGAAACATTTGAGATAAAGTATATAAATTTAATATTATGATATAATAAAATATATTATGCAACAATATGTAATTGAAGAAATTAATAGGATGTACATATTATATTATTTAATATTTTCTAGGAATTTAAAATAATAATATTGTAATTAATTAATTATAAAATATTAATATAATATAATATAATATAATTAAAATATAAATTTTAATATACAAATTTAAAGCAGACAAGGAATTGTTTGTTAACTAGTTTTTATTTATTTTTTTTTTAGACACTTTATAGAACATATACATGTATTACATATAAGATATGTTAATGAACCCTTTTGAACATAATATTCTAAATTATAATCTATATGAATTTAAATTATCCTTTTAAGAAAACAAAATTAACCAATAGATACTAATTATGATAATGATATTTAAATATAACTGTAATTCCTTTAAATTAATTATTTGTTTGAAATTTATTTTAATCCATATTATATTCAAATATTATAAACAAATGTGAATTTCCAAGATATATTGACATTGCTTTTAAAAGAATATGATAACTATTATTAGGCAACTATTAGATATTACAGTTTACAAGGTTTAGTAATTTATTATTTCCAGTTTTTTTTTTTCATGTAATTTTATAATATATATTTAAAGTAATATTATTTTGGGCAATAATTTTACATAAAAATATTATGTTGTTATATTTATCAAATAATTAGTACAAAAACTTAAAATGGTTTATTGTGGCTTGCCTAAGTACTTCAAATTGATTAGTTCTTACATAGTAATGTTTGTGTACCAAATTTGACTACATAACATATAATATGAAACATAAGTACACAATGAATATTCAACAAATCAATCACGAAATACAAATGTAACAACTATAAAAATGTATAAATGTATAGTATGAATAATATATTATATCTCTTTGATTATAAGTATTATTGTTTGTGAAAATACACTTTACAAAAATAATTCTGTAATAATGTACTTATTTTACTAAGTGTTACTTTTTTTTTACAAGTATATTTGAATCTTCTTAATCGGTATTTGGTTTACAAAAGAAGTGAAATTAATGTCTGATAATGAAAATAAAAATATTATTTTAATACTAACAATGTTTCAAAAATCTACTAATATTATCTAAATTTTAAAAAAATAATCACTTAAATTTTTTTTATAAAGTTGTTTTTGTGAGTGCTTATTTAAAAAATTGTTTGTTCTTTAAGTGAGTAAATAATTTATATAAATAATAAATAACTAATTTTAAAATTATTCTTATACTTTTTTAACATATTGGAATCGCATACAAATAAAATGAGCAAAAGCAATAAAAACTAAGACAATATTATTTTATATCATCCATTAGAATTAATCGACTTCATGAAACCAAAAGCTAGTATTGATACATTATTGTTATTATATTGAAAACACAAATACGAATGTGAATACGAGTATAATAATAATATTATGATGATGACGATATACATTATCGTTGATTATATCTATTAATTTACCTAATAGTTATGAGAATATTATATTGATAGATTATAACGTTCAATATTATATAGTTACCTCTTCGAAAAACGCATGTGTCTTTTCAAGAACGTGTCTGAGTTCGGTGAGCTCAAGATAATTGGACTTTAGGTTGACGGCGTTGTGACTAAGCTCTAAAATTTCGCTCTCTGTGCGTTCTAATTGTGACTAAAAAAATATAATAAAAATAAAAATGTATACGCGCATGTTTCATAATGTGTCGTCTAGCTCTAAAAATCGACACGGCTAAAATAAATCTTTATTAATTATTGACCTCTAGGTTGATGATTTCCCGGGGATTCGGAGATAACGGGGACACGCAGCTCTCGGGTACGGGTACGTGCACGTGGTCCTTGTGCACCTCGGCTTGTATGTACCGCAACTTCCGTTCCAGTTCGTCGCAACGTCGTACTTCGCTGACGAACTTTCGCTGGAAGACGTTCATTTGGCTGTTCAACTGCAAAAAAATACGGCCAAAATGTATTAAAATATTATAACAATCGCGCCGGTACCAACAATAAAATACGGAGAATTTTAACGTGGTCTTGCAGGAAGCCCGACAACGAAAATCCGTAAAAAAAATTCTACCGAACAATACCACGGCGACAATAATTTATTACCGTGACGATACCATGACATAGGTACTTACGCTTTCCTTCGATGTAACGATTTTATACACAACAACCCTCTCCGCCAAATCGGACAGGTATTATACCACTTAACAGGTGGTTACGAGATTATCTGATTAGATTAGACATTAGTTTTGTAAACAGGTAGTTAAAGACAAAAAATGGTATACGTCATTTGTATACATACAATATACATGTACATTATACACACAATTTCGGGTAGGTACTGTTTTAATTTTTATACGATAATTTATTTTCGTAAACTAAAATATTATACACGACGGTATTTGATATTCAGAATTTATGGCTACTCTATTATTATTATAACAGCGGGGTGCGTCGAGTTCGGTTTGCGTGTAAAAACTTTGAACCACCTCGCTATAAGCCATGCTGTAGTAGGTAAATAAATCACCGAAAAAATATCCCGCCTGCCAAAACATAGTCTTAAGAAATGAAAAAAAAAAACATCTGCGCTATTTATGTGCAATGCCATTTATATTGCAGTAATCGGTCTGTATAATAATATTGTATCACCAATAAAGATAATAATGTATATTTTTAAAATTACACTTAAATCAGGTAGATAGGATGGAGCAAAATAAAAACTTAGATGACTTCGACAAGCAATGGGGAAAGAAAACAGATCGCGCAAATTTTTAAAAGTAGGCAAATACCTATTAAATAACGAAGGTAATTTGTAACTCGCAATTCGTAACTCTACAAAACATTTACGATACGTTTTAAATTTTCACTGTAAATGTTAAAATATGTCACACAAATAGATATTAAAAAAAAAAGCATTAAAACTTCGAAGTATACACAACGAAGAAATCCGAACTCGAATTTCGTTTATATGAAACTAACATATAGCTTATCTATAGCGTATCCCTCGTAGGACCCATCAAAACAAATATACCGATGTCGTAAGTTACGAGCCGTGGTATTAACTAATAAGCAAGTCATAATAAAAATAATTTTACTAAAATTGTATTGTTGTACGAAAATTATTCGAAAAATATTTGTTTAGTCTGTTTTCCGGTAATCGAATAATTTTTCCCGCAGATTGCTATGCGAGCCTGTCGGATCATAATTAACGAGTATTATAAATATTGTCAATGGCGGCTCGAAGGAGGTATATTATTGAAGCACGTGATTCACGAAAATCTGTGTGGATCGTGGGTGCCTGAGTGTCCAGAAATATAACAAATATGATTATGTTTTTACAAAATAAGTTATTAAGAGAATTTTAGACGGCAGAAATTTGATAATTTTAACGAATTTTATTCAAATTTAACAAATTTCAATACATTTAAGGTAGGATGGGAGTATTTCGGGTTGGGACGGATGGGTGGAAAATTAAATTGGTGATTCAAGGTAAAAAAAAACCGCTACTGCATATTGTACTACTTTGGGTACGCTTGGATCAATTGGTCAATTTTATTGATATTCATAAATTTGTCGAGACGTTTAATTTTTAATATATACGACACGGCTTTTTCACAGATAAAAAGATTCGTGAGTATTCTCTTATCGCGCGGTCTAAAATGCATGGCAAACACGCCGCAAATTTGATACAGTTAATTCGGGTTTACACAACGAACGCCAGGGTAATGCATTATATAATAATTATTGACCTATTACCGAGTTCAAAGATTAAAATATTATAATACCTATTATTTGCATTAGATACGCGTAATAATCTATATTATATATGAAAAAAAAAAAAAATAAAAACATATAATAATCGTTGATTTTATTTATAATTTTATTTTATTATGGGGAGATTAAAGTATTGTACCGTCGTCGTTTGAAATACGAATTAGAACGAAATTCGATTACGCACCGTCAGGTTTGTTGTACTTGGACAACAATAATCGACGACGCGACGTGTTGAAACTTAAACTATTTTAATAAACGCGCATTAATTCGAATTATTTTATTAAAGCATGTTTTTCATTCTAACTGATTCCAACCGATGTTAACTGAAAAAAAAAATGGATAGTACCTAGTTCACCAGTAAAGATGATTTTAGGGCCACTTTTCCAAAACCAGATGCTAAATTTGTTGTGTATTCTAGTTATCGATCAGCCGACAACTTACCACATCGATAACACTCGTTTCGAACGATATTATCACGGAGACAGTAGTATGTTATATGGAATTAATACAAAATAAAATAAATTACGAGATTAACAACACAAATAATAATAAAGTAAACAATGCGAAGATCTTTAAAGACCCTAAATATTATAAAATAAACGTTAGATATTCAAATGAAAATGTTGACATTACGAGGTGGTAATAGAGGAAAAAAACATTTATTAGAGTTTGCGGTTGCGACGGAAGTTTTGGATTTGTATTATTAACGAATTTACAATAGCTTTTGCCGAAGAATTTGGAATATAAATTACTAACGGACAATCGTACAGCGATGGTCGGAGCACAACAAATATAATTGGCAGTAATGCGGGCGTACGACTGAAATTGGGAGCGAATTTGAATCTGAGGGCACACTGACACGTCATAGAATTTAAATTTGTATCGTTATAAATAATACAATTTAACGTCATGAGAAATCGGGGTCAGAAATTTTATTGCGTTTAAATTAATTTAATAGGTTTCATAAATGTTGTTTAATTTTTTTGAAAATTATATCACTTTTTACAGCTTTATAACACAACGAAGCAGTTTGATTATATTCAATATTTTCCCAGGGGGCACGTTTACATCTTGCCCACTTCCCAACTGTTACTCACGGGCCACCCATCACGATGCGAAGTATATGCCGGTTTAGAAAATTATTTTTATATTAACAACGCCCACTTGTTTACGTAGATCGGAAATTTAACCTTATAATTATTTCAAAATAATATTAAGTAAATACCTACGCCGACGATATTGTAGGCCTAGGCAATAAAACAAAATTAAATCTAAATATAATAGTAAACATGTCTCCGTTTCTCTAAACGTACAGACTTTAGAAAATATAAACTTTTACACCGACATAATTTTGTGTTCATTAGTTTTTATTATACAAATATAGAATTGAAATAATATGTAAAATAAATACGAAATAGGAGCTTGTCTTATATATATATACATATATATATTATTACGATCTCCGACAAATGATAACTGTCGTTAAATTTTCTTTTATAAGAAATGGAAGCGAGTGTATTGTTATAATAATAATTTTTATACGACTAGGTTTAACGTTCACGTGATTCAAAACAATAAAAAGCGAATTTTTATAAGTTTTACAACGTGATGAGTTGCATACCTATACTTATTTAAGAGATTCCGAACTGTTTTATTGATTTGAGTGCATTTCGTAGGTATATTGTTTTATTTCACTTTTTTTTTGGAGCGACAATATAAACACTCGCTTAAAAAATTTCGAAGATAAGTTAATTATTATCACTGTAACAGTGGTACTTGAAAAGGTTTTCCGAAAAATTAACAATAAACGGTGTAAATAAAGGGCTAAGCTTCCACTTGGAATGACGGTTTTCAACGAACGCAATAATATTATAGTGTCCAGATAAAAAAAAAAAAAATTGAAATACAATAGGTACCCATACCGATTAGCCGTAAAAATATAATGGAATCGAACAATATTGTCTTTCAAGGGGAAAAAAACGTGTTCGATTGTGCGAAGAATGTTAGTGTTAATAATTTTTAATAGTTTTAAGATTATATCGAAATAAACGTCTACTCGAGACAACAATGACACCTAAATACACGTTAACACAATTTTTATAATAATAGGTACCTTTTAGACACTTTGTGTATTACGTGTTTTTAATGAAATTAAGCGGATAAATAAATAAAACTGTTCAGTAAAATAATAAAAAGCGGTCTTAGAATGATCTTATTTACTTCGATAATAATTTCGAATTCTAAAAAATATAATATTAAAAACTCGATATGTGTTTTAGTTGTTTTGGGAATCGAGTTGGTAATTTATTTGGTTATTTTTGTTGAAGCAATCCCTCTCTTCCCCGAGTCCGCAGACCTACTGACCTGAGTGTATAGTTTATATAATAACAAACACAACGTATACAATCGTTTTAATATAAAAAATAATATCGAAGTTTAATTATTGTTATAAAATAAAGACCTATGCCCGGTTGCATCAAACTTGTAGTTATCTGTTGGTGAATTATTTTTTGTACCTTTAAATATTCATATATAATAATAAACTAACGTTTGTTAAATTAACATGACTTGTTAAATTTACTACAGTATTGCTTAATCTTTGTTTTATATTTAGGTTATTACCAGTATACTGGTTATCGAAGAAATGGTACGAGGCAGTAGAAGTTAATATTATTATCCCAGGCTAGGGTTTTATCAATTATGAACAGATGGTAAATCATTATTCATTTCTGTTACGATTTAAAAATTAGATTTTTGCCGTTACAAGTTTATTTTAGTTTACCATGTTGACCAAGTTAAACCTCTGAACAATATTATGATCAAGAAAAATAGACCAAATGACTATTTGAAAAATGTCAAATTTAGATAACCGTCTGATGGTAAATTATTGTGATGTATATTATAATATAATAATATATGACATCGGAGATTACATTTTGATTTTGATTAATATATGCATAGGCAATGTATTAAGTATTACACGAAGTATTATATTAGTGGGTCACGATCTAACCGCGAGTCATTAGGTAATGATTAATTAAAAAACGGACAGTGTTCGCGTGTTGGGCAAGAAACTGTTTCGCGAATGGGTCTCACGGGGACAGGTTAGGCAGCGGTTAGAAATATTATTGGACGCTCGATCGTCTAGTTTCCTCCGTAATAATATTCTACTCGAAATATAGTTATACTATAATAATATTTAAAATTATAATATTGTTAAACACATTGAAGACAATAATTAAACTATAATAATATACCAACGACCTACCTAACCTATCTTATTAGAAAAACGATCCAAGGCCGACTATATAGTTTTAAATTTAGTGTGGGTACACAATTAGTCATTATTTTTGAATTGCACATGTTCGTAACCAAATATTTAGCGAGCAGAGGTTTACAAAACGCATCAAGCATTTATCTAGTTCTAGTTATAACAAATATCGTAAATATTATTCTGGTCATTTTTCAATGTCCCATTGACGTATTGGCCTATTCGAAAATTAAAAAAAATATATATTTTAAACATGTCGATAATAATCAATAATGAATGTGAATTTTTAAGATTTAAAATGTATATATTATTGATCAATTATTTTCAAATTTAATGAAATGTTGCTAAGCAAATTCACCAGGTTTACGAATAATAAAATTAGTTTTATATATATTCTATAATAAAACAAATTGTCAATGGATATAATCCTTTCCTTCTCCCCTCAAAAAAAGAAAAAGTTCAATTTTGAACAACTAATTTATGAGAATATGTTATTTTTCTTTGGAGTGCAAAGTCAGTTTCTATATTATCATCTCGCCGTACATCCAGATCTCGTGTTATATGATGTTCGTATTTCGATACCTAACCTTTCCAATCCAATCCTCCTATAGTTCTTTCACATCTTTCTTGCCTGCGTCTTCCCATCTCATTCTCGGTCTCCGAGTGGTCTGTCAGGTTCCTTTCCAGTACTATCTAAAGCAAAGAGTGTTGGCTTATCCAGACCCATTTCTCATAACTTCTATATAATGTTCGGTTTCTGATACAGTGATTTCAGTTTATCGTTATATTCTCCCTTCATTGGTATTAGAAATGAAATTATAATATTAGTCACCTAATATTATGATTATAAATAAGAGTTAACATTGCACTTAGTATTTATAAGGGTATCTTATAATAGTTCACTGTATAATATTTACGATATAACGTTGTGTAGAACCCATAAATTGTATACAATATATGTCTTCCATACTTACATATATTTTTTTATTTAAACAAAAATCAATTTGGTTTAAGTGATGTCATAAATAAATAAACATCAATAGGGAGACGTTCTTAAAAACGCATTAACGTTTAAAACTATAGCAAACACCATTAGTAATTTTAATATTTAGAAACGACAAGTATCGTTTATATTATTAGGTTAGGCATATTGTATAAAAAAAAATAATTTAGAACAGCAGTTTATTTCACGATGTCAAATTGATTATACAAATTGGATACTTAACGAAAACATTTATTACTTAATGGTATAGGTATCTAATGTATTTTATGATATAATGATACACTAATAATAAGAATTTATAGGGGAAACATGTATATTTGTTCCCCGATAATTCATTTTTGTCGAATTTAACAATTTACAATACCTATATATCGGTAGTCAAGAGAGGTTTATGATGTGACATTTAGAGTGGACAATTGAAAAAGAAAGTTAATTTTAAATATAATAATACGGTTTATAGGTAAGGTACGTTTGTTGTTGAACATATTATAACAATGTCATTATTTATTCATCCGTCAAATATATATTAGTATCGGATGCACGCAATACTTTACAGTGACCTTTTAAAAAACACAAACATATAAGGCATTTCATTGAGTCGAACTAGAGATACAGGGTGAAATTAGAAAGTACACCTACAATATATTATGATAGAATAAATATTTATAATTGTGTAGTTTTAACAACGTTACCTATATTCTCAAATGTATTCTCGATAAATAACAAGTTATAATACATTGAGTAGAATTATAATTTTCGTAATAGGTGCGTAGCCGCAAAAATATTCAAGGAAGGGTGTTATCAAAAACTTTCACTTTGATGGAATCTCAAAGCAACCTCTTTCTTCTCATTTGAGTCCATTTATATAATACGAGCATCTATAGTATAATATACAAAAAAGATAAAAATTTGTGTTGCCTGTATCAAATGCCAACAATTTGTAAATTTAAAACTTTAAATTTTGTTGCTAAAAGATTCTATACATATTTACCTCGTAGTTTATGATTACATAATTTTTAATTCCATTTCATAAATTAATAATGAATATTACCGACTTTCGAATACATAACGTCAACTAGACAATTTTATTTTCAAAATTTTTAAGCGAAATATCGATACTTATGCATTTATTTAATAGTGGAAATAGAATTTTATCTTATTGTTCTACTTGCAAGAAGGGTACTTTAAAATCACCTCGTTCACAGCCTATATGTGCGAGCCAGAATAAAATCATATTTATTTCGTTCGTAGAAACTATTTTACCAAAATTCATGTAAAAGTATATACCTAGTTGAAAAAAAAAACAATATTCATCTTAAATTAAATAGAAAAAAATATAAAATGTAATTATTATTAAAAATAAAAAATAAAAATCAAATGGAGAATACCTATGTTATAATATTATCAAACATATTGGTAAACGTTGATAAATTACAAATAACACCCTGTATAAACACACATATATATATTGACTTATGGTTGTACAGGAGGGTAGGCCGTGGCGACTTCATTAAGATATTAAAATATAACTTTTAAATACATTCGGACTAATGAGCTTATTCGAGTAGGTACCTAACCTAACTAATAAATATCTCGTTATTTAATTTAAAATATTAACAATGAATATAACTATAATTTTATCTATATATACTATTTCATCATTAATTAAAATACGTATTCGGAATACGTAAACTTTGTTTCGATGCATAGAACAGATCAGAGTATCTAATCGATACGGAGAATATACAACAGCGAAACGTGCAAAATTACTTATATTTTTATACTCACGCGGACGCCATTTTAATAATTTCCCTGAACTTTTGAAAGTAAAAAAAAAAAAATTATAATCGATAGAAATTAAACCTATATTTTAATTAAAAGAGGATTTTATAGTAGTTTTTGCGTGTTTACCTACAATACACTCATATTATACATATCATTATAATATGCAATTCCATATATATATAATATTAGGACGTATATTTTATTTCATTTAATGATTACAATTACGTATTTTTTTAAATATTATATTTCGTACCTATTTTACCTATTTTATATTTATGCCATCGCAGATATTTCCATTACAGTAAAAAAATCTAAATCTAAATAGCGGGTATACTGCAGAATACCTATTGAATTTAAATTGTACACCTTATAAATTTAATTTTAAGCGATTTATAAATATATTTACACGAATAGAAATATATACAAATTATCTTTAAGACTGTGTCATTTTGCTATCTAGTTTCAAATTATGTATACAAATAAATATTCAATATTTACCTATTGCAGGATACTACATTATCAATGCTACAACAATTGGGTGTACACAAACCCTAATAATGTAAAAATCCAATTCGAAATCTAAAAACTAAAATTTGTCTTTTTCAAATATATTTTGTAATTCCGCAATTGCTTTTAAAGTTTTAAATAAAATGTATTGCTAATAATAAGAGTATATTAACTATACAATAGTTATAATATAAAGAATACCTGTACTTATCTAAGAATAAACGATTCCACGTAGGCTTTAATGTTAAAAAAATACTTATTAAATGTAGTTAACAGTCAAGTAAAATATTTGAATTTAAATTCGGGACCTCAAAATAAATCCTTGTACACAGGCCTTAGAATTCATAATTGCGGCACTGTAATATTAAAATAAATATGCATTCGTTCGGATAAACATTTTCTAGTAAATGATAATAATGACTGTTGTGAAAATGGTAAAAAAAAAAACTAGTAGATGCGAAACAATAGTTGTAGACGATATACTTTAACCAATTTAATAAATCTATGATAATAATATGTATTGAACACAACGAGAACTCTTGGAAACTATGTCAAAAAAAAAAAATTACTACCTATTAGAACGAATAAATAATCTTTATAAATATGTATTTCAAAATTTCGTATAACCATATAAATTTGAAAATTTAGTATTTTTAAAAACGGTATTGATTACTATATTATAAAATGTATAATATGACAATAAAACGATATACGATTGATGCGATTATAGTAGATATTTTATGTAGAAATTTAAAAATGTTTGGTTAAAATTACTGATACGCGTTTATAAGAATGTGCTATTTTCTTTATATCTACAATATTTTTTAATGTTTATGTTTAGTTACACACATTCCCGCAGTTATACACAAATAAAGATAAACGTATTACAACCAAACAAACACAATAACAATTCATAGGGGTATAAAAATGAATAGTATACTCGTTGTTGGTCTTTATTGCAATATACGAATACTTTTTATGATAATCATGACTTATTATATTGTTATGATTATATTTTAAATTCTGGACGGTACAAAGAAACCGTTCGTTTAACAAAGCTATGCGCATTTTTTCGATTAATAATATTTACAAGTGCGTAAAGTGTATTCAAAAAGTGTTAACTACGATAGATGAAGTAATAGATATAATACGATAGCTATAATATTATATATGTAATTTAACAAGGGCAATATAGATACTTTAGAGATTATTTTTCGGAATTTTTGTTAAATGCTCGGAAAATAATGAAAAATTATAGGAGGATGAAGTAGTATATTTAGACTACTGTAGTTCTTAACTTGGGAGTTACAGTCGCGATTAGAGTTGCGCTTGGGGTGGTTTATTGAATGCATTAATTGTTATGAAATTCGAATAAAAAATATGTCCGCTGTTGCTCTTTGGATTCTGAGCACAACGATTTAACATTTTTTTTTAATTTTTGGTTTCTGTAAACGATTTTTGGAGCGGGAAAAATGTTTCAACCATTTTGATCACATCATTTATTATGTATAGATATTTGACTTAATGTAGTTGTTTTATTCAAAAAGATCAATTTTTTTAGCTCGATATTCATACAAAATCGAAGACTTAAAAAAAAAAAAAAAATGAAAGCTATGTAGGTAAAACGATATTTCAATTCAAAGCAAAATCGTTTATTTTCGAATGCAATTATTTTTATACATAAATGCTTTCCATACTTCAATAAAATTATTCCTTTATTTTACCCTCGCTCTCCTCTTCTCTAAACTATTGGCCAAATAATACTTTTTTTTTTTAAAGATAAAAGTATCTTAACCTTTTAGAATTAAAAATGAAAAAAATATTTATGTAATACATAATGGTTTATGTTATATGATGCATAATGTCAACAACTTATATTTACATTTTTATTTCTTATTATTAGTTCAAACTCGTATAAAACGTTAATATGTAAAGTAGACAGTGCGGGACTGCTAGTGATTATTTTTTTTTAAAATAATGAAAAAAGTAACAAAAAAAATTTAAGTAGTGAGAAACGCGACCAGTTATTTTTTTTAAGTAAATTGGCCTAGGCTTTCCAAATTTTCCTAAAATGTTTTGATGAACAACAACCTAATGATACAACTTTTGTCAATTGTAAAAATTATCTTAAAATTCTAAAATTTAAATCTAAATTTAAAATTTAACTAATATAATATACCTACATATACAATATAATAATATTAATAAACTTTTGAAAACGTAACGTTACTGTAGTTTGATGTATAAAAAGTTATAATAATATAACATATTATGGTTAGACGAATTTTCAATTAAAAATGTATGTAAAACAAAATATTAACTACCTACAGTAATTTTGATATTTCCTATATTGCATACCTATATTTTTGATACATCATATCTATTATACATACCATACCGATATCGAAATTAATTATTATAATTTATCAATTTTTTTAATCTACCATTTCTGCGTTAAATTTGAATATTGTTATAATATGAAGGTACTTCACCTAACCTAACCTAAATGATATCATCAACTAGCAGCGTGATGTATTTATATATATATAATAAGAAGCAGCATAGACTCATAATTTGAACGAGAGATTCAGTTTAATGATTATTTTTTTGCGTTTCAAATGATTAGCGAAAAATATATTAAAATACCAGCATTATAAAACACAGCTGCAAGGTGTTGATTTAGTAAACTATCATTGTTTATTGTGTATTTTAATATTTTGCAGTAGGGTAATAATACATGTAATACGAACTCTGCTATCGTTCTGCAAAATATTCGGCGATGGATATAAAAAATACAATATACTTACCCAGGTCAATGGATTAAAACAAATAAAATTAACAACCATGTAGTACCATAAACCTGTGCAATGTACCGCCGTTGCAGTCATCATTACTGTTAGAAAATGGCTACGGTTATTTTTTATAAAAATATACCATAATATATATTATATGAATTGCATAATTTTGGATTTTAAAGATTTTATAGATCTCTCGATCTCTTCAAGTTTTGATAAAAATATAAGGCAGGTAAATACAATAGTATGTATATGTTGTATATGTTTATATACATTATATATGTTTAATGAAGTGTATAATATAGGTATACCCCGTTTTTTCTTATAGCTGCGAGATTTTTTAAAAACCACGTAAAATTTTAAACTGAGTAATAAAAAAAAACAAAAAATTTTATTATACTATCCGCGTGTGTAATATAAAAAGTTCCGCTATTATTCATACAACTTTTAAAAGCGTTTATCTGTCAAACTTTTTTGTGTGCAGACGTGCATACTTACGTCTCGAAATTGTACGACGCCCACTTCTCCCATTGTGGCCACAGATGAGTAAGCGGCTTCTGGTTGTATGAAAAGCTGACATAAGGCCATTTCCTCGCTCCTGAACATTGACCCCATTTTCTGTCAATATAAAAAATAACCGTTTAGCACAGCGTTGTAACAAAAACAATCACATAAAATATCGTCTTAAATGTTTTTTCAAATTAAATTGTGTACTAAGAAATGTATATAAAAAAAAAAAAATTAACTACTACACAATTAAAATAAACAAGTATCTGAGAAGAAAAATCAGGTAGATTCATAGGTATCTATACCTACCAATGAGATTAATATGAGATTAATATTAATATTATTATTAATAATGAGCTACTATAAAACTATTTTATAAATAAATAATACATAGATAAATCAAATGAACGAACCGCACATTCAAAGTGAAAATTTAGTCGGGAAATGGAATATTTTATAAGTGCGCACCGATAATAAAATATTGATGTAGGTACTTCAATAATAACAATACAATTAATAATTTACGATAATATTGAAACGCCTATGATATTAAACGAGTTTTAATTCAATTTCAGTTTTCTATCGCCTATATTGACGAGCGATTTTAGATTAATTTATTTACAAAGTACATAAATGTAATTATATTTATTCGAGTGCAGCCTAAATTACAAACATGTAACGAAATTAAACACTATAGATTAATTTCATAATTATAAATGCTTATTAATAGTGTTACAAAACAGACAGAGAAAAAAAAGGAGTTTAGTTATCAAAAATACTAGTTAAATTGTATAAATTGTAAAAATTGTATAAATTATATTATATTGAATCATTAAATTATAGTTACTTATGCTGTCCAATACTCTTTATACAGAGTGATTCATTTATCATGAACCAGCAATTTTCTCGGAGATTTTAAGTGAATTTGATTTCGGTTTTTTTTTTTAATCATTATGGAATCGTTTAAGCCTTATTTTAATACTAAATTCAATTTTTTACCCCTCCTATTTATACCCGAAATAATTATTCACTTTGGATTTTTAAATAGCAACCCCTGCCCCATTCCAATCATAGATTCAAATAGAGAATACATTTTTGGAAATGTTGATATGCATAACACTATTATCAGATTTACAGTGTATAAATTATACAATTATAGTTTAAAGTTTCGACTAGAGGAGTAGGGAATAATAATAAATTGCGTATCTATTTTTAAATGATACGTTTATTATAGAGGGGGATTCCTATTTGAAAATCAAAAGTATAACCTTAATTGTAAGTTGTATGGAATAGGAGTAGGAAATTAAAAATAATTTTAAAATGAAACTTAAATGATTCCACAATGATTAAAAATAATAATAATAAAAAAAAAATAGGTATCCTTAAAATCCTTAAAATCCTTTGAGAAAATGACTGGTTTATCATACAATAACCACGCTGTAAATTAAATATTATAATATCATAATTTGTTTATTAGACTATAAAGAAAAATGTAATGCATATGTATAATGTATCAAAATGGAAATACTAACAGGTTCATAGTGTATGGACTATGATTTTTGGTTTCCCTAATCTCTTTTTACCTAAGTGTAGAATACAATTGTCGAATATTACTCAATGGTCTTTCACACGTAACAATGAAAAACCATGACGTACACAAAACTTTAAAAACATTTTCCTAAGTTTATTATTATTTATATAATATTTTTAATGAGACTTGGTTTGTCTTCTTACTCTCGAAAATGAATAAAATAGATAATAAGTTACCGAAACCGTCTGTCTGTAGCATCGTTATAATATATTTGTGACACAATCTTAATAGATATTGCGTCCACATAATAATATTACAACTATTATCGATAGCGGAATTTAAATCCGAATAAATCCATATATTTTATAACAATTGTACGATTAATTCGGGAATATTATTATGGTATCAGTTAATAACATTAATATCTAAATATTATTCGATATAACATTCAATTACAGATCAAATTATAAATATTATGATAATGTTTAGATATTTAATTCGCTATTTATATATAAAGATGCACGGTGGTCGTACAATAGCTTTTTAAAACTTATTATAGGTACCTAACATACTAAGTAGGTAGGTACAATAATTATTTACATTTTTGAGTTTGTCGACAATACGCAAGGTTCTTCGGTTTTAGTTGAGTTAAGGATAGTAAATTGCTGAGAATATTAAAAACAAATAAATCAATAAAAACGTATAAATTCAGTATAAACAAAAATAAATAATAAATTATACAAAAAAAAAAAATAATAAAAAGATGAGTTGAAAGTGTTGATGGGTGTGCCATTGTTTATAGGCGGGAAATTGAAAAAGTAAGATACATAGTTATTTAATTCGTATCTGTACGAAACGTTAACCCGTCGTTATATCGAATAACGATTCTGGGCGAAGTTCGGATAAACTCATCTTGAAATGCCGCGATTTTTAAGATTTTAAAAAAAGAAAATTACTGCATTACACTCAAGTTTTTTTTTTTTTTTGGTCACTAAATACAACTTAGAATGAACCTAATTTCAAGCATCTTGGTAGTAAAATTGTTCACTGAGGCAAAAAAAAAAAGGAAGCACTTATCATAGTAAAACACTAAAACCAATTCAATACAATAAAATCCTATTCTATACATATATGCATTCGTACAATTCATACGTATATTATACAAATATCTGGGATACGTCTAATTATTACTATTTATCACATATACGTTATTATTATTTTTTAATCTAATCTGAGCGGTTTATATTTTTACAGTGATAACTGATGAATATATTTAATCATGCAGTTGCAAAGGTTACACGTGATTAGTAAACCATTAAATTATTATTATTATTCTTTTTTTTTATCAGCTTGTTAAACATTCTCATTAGGTAGATATGATAAAAAAATTAAGTTACTTCAATCGAAATAAAAATCACACTACGTATAGTTTAAAAATTAGTAATGTTTCAATTTATTATTATAATCTTTTGTAGTATTAAAAATATTGAAATAACCGGACGGGACGACGACAAATTAATATTATTATTATTATTTATTAAGTACACATAAATATTTTACGTTTACGATTAAAAATTTAACTAACTTGCATTCATCGTTATATTACGCTGGTGAAATGGATTTATACATTAAATTCAACGTTCTTTTGTTAACGGCAGTTGGGCGATTAGGAGAGTGACTGGACGAGGATGGGAGAAACTTTTAAAAGGTATTCAGCGTTCATACCATAAAATAAAATTGTACCTATAATTTTACACATATAACAGCACGTGCTTTTAAGGTTTTTTTTTTCAAATCCAAGTATAAGAAAACCACTTTTATAATACAGCGGAACTTTATTGTCGATTTAATACTCGATGCAATAAAACACATTCAATCAGTATTTGAACGATTTCAGATTGCAGTAACTATTTAAAAGAACTATATACAATATTAGTTAGATAAGTACAATAATAATAGTATACGCGCATTTAATAGTAAAGTTTATTATGTCCGAATACGACGAATTTCATTACTATTACAAGGCGATGCCTTGAAACATTGCTACGGCGACATCCAGACAGACCGAAAGCAAAACAATAATTTAGACTCGTCAAATTAATAAAAAATACATTTAATTTTTACATACCGACCTAATGATATATTATAATTGGTATTATACGGTATAAAAGGGGACCTTGCTCTAAAAAAATATAAACATATATAATCAACTGCAGACGGGACTACAGCGAGTTCATTGATTATATCCGGGACACTACTGCACAGTCATTGTATACATCACACAATATACACATTACAAATTGTTGCAATATTTATTTTTTACTTTTTCAATTGCCATTTTAGCACACATAGCTTAAATTACTGTTTCTTTATGTTTCAAACAATATGCAAAACATATTATGCCCAACCAAAATATTATTCATCTTTTTCTTTTTTATCATACGCATAGGGTGTTGAACTCGTTTAAATTACTTTTAATTGAATTGTATACAATATTATGATGGTACGACTTGTCTTTATCACAATATTTATGCGTATTTTAGTTTGTGTAAAAAATAAAAACTCCGTTAAATCGTAATTGTAATTTATCGCCCCGCGAATGATGATAATTGATGACGAAATGAAATGATAAATTTGATTTATATTACATTATTTTAAGCGGGTAAATAATATATGTCTTCAGTTTTTTACATATTTTATCAAACATAGGCAATATTAAAAAATAAATATATACATATATAAGTAACCTTGTATTTTAGATGATTATATAAAGAGAAAAAACCAATAAAAAAGTGAAAACGCGGAATCCGAGTAAAATATTAAGTTTCGAATTATTAAATAACACACAGTGTCATAGGACTTGTTTTAAACATATTTTATTCTATTATTACGTTATATTGGTCTATATAGAAATTCAATATTATATATAATATTATATAATAACCAATCGAACTGAATGAAATATGTATTTAAATTTGTACGTTTGGGAAGCATTGGAACCTCGCGCGCAAAACGAATATAGGTATACAGAGTGTCTTCCGTTCATTATTTAGAAATTATTAATCTTTTCTAATATTTTATATTATACAAAAAAGGAATTAATTATTTCAACACCAAAATACATTTACACTTAAACTTAATCTATTTATAGAATTTTAAAATATAGATTGAGTAGTGGTTTCATCTCTGATAATAATTTATTTACGAATATTAACCATTTTAATAATTTTATTTTTACTTTATTATTTCATTAGTTATATTGTAATTTTCTAGAGTTGCTAGTTAATTAAATTATATATTAAAAAATTCCGAAAAAGTTAATACTTTTCGTGTCTTATCGAGGATTGATCACACTGTTTACACATATGTATAAGTATAATAAATGTAAAATATAGGTTACACCTGATATTATACGGTAGCGCTATCTACTAAATAGCTCTATATTTGCATATTATATTATCTACCGTTCGGTGTACATATATAACAGATACAATTTGAATGGAAAATTGAGTATATATATATAAAAAAAAAAAATGTTTAACGGATAATAATATAGATACCTCCAAATCCTCTAGGACATTTTCGATATAATAAGAAATTTATTATGAATATATTTCGATGGATAATATGTATAGGTATTCGTAAATTTTTGATTTTGATCGGAGTAAAGGAACTATATATTTACAGGGATATTTATTTACTATTGTAGAGTTAGGGTTTTTTTTTTAAACTCGTGAGCTATAAAGTACATTAAGTTTCGGTTTTTGATATTAATATTTATAAATTTTCTATAAAATGCAATTTTAGTATAAATAATATCATTATATAGTTATAATACAATATTTGAGTTAATGTTTTAAAAACCAGATGGAAATAATGTCATATTTTTTTTATAAAAAAAACGTTAAAATGTTTGCATAATAATAAATAATATAAAAGGCATGTTAAATGATTTAAACCAATGAATTTCAAAAAAAAAATTGTTCAAAATGATTTAATTATAAATTTATATAATATATTTGTGCATGAAGTTTGTTATGTAAAATCTAGAATAAGTTAACAATAGGCTTTAGAAATGGAGAGTAAAATTTGAAGGAAAGGAACTAAGGCTAAGTAGAAATAAAACTGTCAGAGGCGTACTGAGTTCTATCTTTGTACCGGGAAATTATTAAATATGACCTACTTATAAACATAAATCATAAGCATTTATAAAATATCAATCTACTTACCTACCAACTTAATAAATTTCAAAGCTTCAATAGGTAATTTAAAGAAATAGGAATAAGAAAACGTGTATATATAAATCAGGGTCTATGTGAAAAGGGCCCACCGGGAAATTCTTGGTATCCCGGCCGGCCCCAGTATGCACCTGAAAACAGTGCATTAACTTAGAGGAACAGGGCAAGAAAGCTTTCAATAATAAACGGTGACATAATAGGCGGGATTAAAAGTTTTAAGTGTAGCTAAGATTGTGCCTAGGAGTGTACCTTTTGTACAAAAAAACCGTGTCTTTGATGAGGATATGGAACATAGAATTAAGTGTGTTCTGATAAAATGGCGAGAAGCATCAGGTGTTTTATGTGACAAAAGAATTATAATGGAACTTAGAGTTAGGTTCTAAAAATGTTTGATGAGACTGGCTATGTTGTATAGTTCAGTGTCGGGTGGTAGACAAAAAAAAATGAAACAGAAAATGAGTGTAACAGAGATGAGAATGCTTAGGTGGATGAATGGAGTGATGGTAGAAGATAGGATAAGGAATATATAAATAAGAGGTAGCTTAGGTGTGGCTTTGATAGTGAACAAAATAACAGAAAATAGATGGTTTAGTCATGCCATGAGAAGATAGGAATCAGAAGCAGTAAGAATTAGATGAAAATAGACGTAGGAGGAAAGAGAGGGAGAGGAAGACCGAAAAAGAGGTGGTTGAATGCAATTTAGAATGAGATGAAGCGGGTGTATGTGAGAAAAATTTGGGGGGATTGGGTCAAGTGGAATTAAGATGGAGGTGACCGAACCCAAGTATTTTCTATTTGCGTATTTAGAACTGTAGTTTAATTATAAGTATAAAAAAAGTGTAAATAAATTAATAAAAAAAATCAATTTTGGTGAAATTACTATAAGCTATAATAAATACAGAAATATTAATATTATAATAAATTACAAACTATACATAGAAACTTATATATATATATATATATATAAAAACCGATTTAAAACTCATTAAAACTATACACAAATATTCATAGTTAATATATATATATATATATATATATATATATATATATATATATATATATATTTATTTATTTCAATGGGATTTGTAATTAAAAGAATAAGAGTTTTATTTATCAAACTCCAATGTAATAATCTTTTATAATAATTTCTAAACGTAAATATTAATTTTATAGTATAGTGTCAAACCAATTCATAATAAAGCAATATCAACCTTAATTTAATAACGTAATCGGTTTCTGTCAAAATTGATTTTTATTGAATTAAAAAAAAAACAATACTAAAATACAACAATAAATTAAAACACCCTGTGTTAGAATTTAAACTTTGCTTTTACAAAGGTCTCCCACAATAGAAATTTCCTATAAAAGTCTAACTATCTTAATAATAAATTAAGAATAAGCTATTGAATCAATACATTAAAGAACATATTTTTAATATACACGATAAGGCAGGATGCACTTTTTATTCATTTATAGAATATTGATGAATTTGAAGGGTTTTTGCATGTCTACCCGTATTAGACACAAAAGAAAAAAGTTAATTATTCCAATAATAATTTATTATATACTCATCGCATGTGTATACAAAATTTGTTCGGTTAACAATTCAATTTATCAATACATTTATAATATTATATTATTTTATACAATAATAATTTACGTATCAGCTAGTATATAGATATTATGTAGGTATAGATATTATAACTTGTATAATATCAAAGGATTAATTAAATAAAATAATAATATATTGAAATAGGGTAAATATATGAAGAACAATAAACAAAGAATATTTGTTGATCGTAACAAGTGCCAAAATAAAATTGTCACTACTATAATAATTATCGATGTAATTTCAGTTTTGAATTCTCAACCATCATATTGTACGAACGATGACCTCAGGCCTCGTTCGGATTTTTGCCAAATGTATTTATTTTTTTTTTTTTATGTAAATTAAACACTAACAAAATATATAGGTTGGTTTATCTCAGGTTTAAATTTGAATAGTATTTTTACTTTTCTTAACTAGGTATTATATTTGTCTTGGACAAAAAATCATTAGGTATTGTTAGTTATAAATAAAAAAAAAAAAAACAAAAACAAAAACACAAATATCTAAACATCGGGAAAAAAATATTTGTCTCGTTGATTAAAGTCTAAAATGTAAAAAAAAAGTTGTATAATCGAGAATAATTTTCGTCCGAACACTACACGTCCACGCGAATATGTTTCGTAATAATAATAGTACGTATATTAATTGATACAAAAGGATGTTAGAATTTACAAACTCGAATTCGTGTATATATATATATATATATATATATTTTAATGAAATGACAGTTAACGAAAGTAATACCGCAACCGTGTATATAACGGTTAATTAAAATGTCCTTCGTTGTAATTAAATTTAAAAGTCGAGGCTTCAAACATAATTTGATCTCACATTAACATAGCGAAATAAACAAAAACGACACGAACGTTTTGTCGATGCCGTGGCTAATGAATATTTGATCCCGAGGAAAGATTTTAGATAATTGTTGGCAATTTTTTTTTTTAAATTTAATTTCCTTAATTTTTTAGACTTAGTTGTACAAATGTGTATATTTTTAAAGATGAATTTGCTTGCATTGAAAACTTTACACATTTGACAAAAACCCTTCTTCCCTGGGACCAAATATATACATAAAAAATATAATATATCGTCTAAAGTTTCGTGTTTTATATAAATATATATATATATATATATATATTTTAAATAATATATATATATATATATATATATATATATATTTTAAATAAAATATTCAATTCTACAATAGCTCCACTAGGGTATTGTTGAATAATAAAAAAAAACATAATATAGTCAACATTATCAACGATATAATATATACAAATCCATTGGGCTCTTTTTCGTATAATATAGGTAGGTATACCTATATGACCTACATTTGGAAAATGATTTTAACGTATTCATAATGCTCAGCTAAGCTTAAAATATCAAATATAGCATATTATAATATTGTTTCAGATTCTGTGCGAAGCGAGGAATGCATTAGTCTTACTATGATGTGTGCTTATTTATTTACTTTCTGTGTATACGAACAACTTTTCTACCGGAAATCTTGTTCCAATCGAAAATTGACAAGAGCTTTTCTGTAGCATTTTGGATCTTATTGGTGCATTTTTTGTTTTTGTTGTAATTTAATTAAAAATAACCATAAAAATTGAAATAATCACATACAGATAATAATAATCTTATCTAAACACGGTTAGGTTAGATTTTTTTTTGCTATCGATAAGTATTTGCCATTTTTGAATCTTTTTTTTAATTGTATTTAGGTGAATTGTTTTTGCTGTGCAGAAATGTTTGAACATTTTACTCGAAATTTACTATAAATTGTACCAATGTAGTCCAAAGAAACTTCATTGTTATGAAGTAGTTTTTTTTTTTAAAAAAAGGTTTTTAAGTTCAATTTTAACGATAATCATAAGAATCACGACATTTTAAAAGAAATTTAATAGAATTTCACTCAGAATAGTACTGCGTTATCATTGATAGCATTGATTTATCATCTCATTCGGATATAAAGTAAATGCTTTATGTATTCTACTTAAGCAACTTTCCATTACCAACAGCGACACACAAGTTAGCAGTATCAGCTTTTTCTTTTTATTATAATTATTTTCATATTCATAATTTTTATACAAGACCTATGTACAACAAGGAACGAAAATTATAGCGTTTAGAATAAAACGCAAGTAAATTAAAACGAACAAATTTAAACGCGTATATAATTTTAACTCGTACCCTAAAATGTTATGCTATATAATTTGATTTCATAAACACGGAATGCGAATTAAATTTGAAAGTTATAAAGGTACTATACGAGAACAGAAACGATTGGAGGAACATATATTTTATTGATTTTACTGGAGTAAAAAAAAAAAAAAAAACGAAAAAAAAAACACGCATTCGTTAATATTTACATTAATATAATAACATGTTACATATAGGTAACTAACGTAGGAAAAAAATATATGAAATATTGAAAATATAACTCGATGTAATATATCCAGGAATCCAGAATTGTATATTTTTTGTAAAATATCGTATTTTCCGGGCAAGATTTTCGTATACTTTTGTTTTATTTTTATTTTTAGTTAAAAAAAAATAAATTGGATAGAGGGAATCGTAGCTCGAGATTCGAGTAATGATTACGAGAGAAAAAAAAAATTTTAAAATATCGAACAGCGAAGAATAATCGGAATTTAATTTATCCGATTGCCGCGGGACACCCTGTATATCATCGTGCTGACGTAGGCCGCGCACGTTTGGCCGTCCAACAAGCAAAAATGCCAACGGGACAAGTGGGGTAGTCTGTTGACGTCACGGGACTACACACTACTATTCCTCAGTCTGGGTCAAAGGGATAGAGAGCGTCCGTCCACCCGGGCCGATCCAATAAAACACCGGCGTTCTTTCGCCAGGACGTATATATTATTATATGTAATATAGACGAGCATTCATTTACGTGACACTAGTTGTTATTTGTTTTGTTTCGTTTTAATTTTATCGTTTTCTGTCGGGCTATAACGTTTATATTGTAATAATAAGTCACGAATTTCAGTATAGGTAATCGCCGTACGCGATGGCACACTACAACTGCATGCAGCACACACATTACACACATAGAGAAGGTGACATACTGTACAATATTTAAAAACGTATTACGACACTGAATGACCACAATATTATTATAGTAGTGCGGTTTCGTCGTCAGACACACAGTCAACTACTATTATTATTGCTATAGATACCTATATAATGTAATACCTAATAATACCCATGTTCTCCCAAGCCCCCGGATTACGTATTTTTGTGGTATGTGAAAAGTCAAAATAAAAAAAAAGGTTACATTAAATTTTTATAATTACAACAATAATATTATATTATACAGTCTTGGCTTTGGCCGTCTATATAGAATTCTAATTAGCACAAATTATAATAATAATAATAATAATATAAGCCAATGACAATAAATAGTAATGGTAAAAAATACGAATGTTTCAACAATAATAATAGTATAATAGTATTGTTTCGCGCGGTGATTAATGATTAAGAAGTATAAGGTTCCCCCTGTGATATTATTATTATCATCAACAAATAAAATACACTATAATCAACAAAACCCTGTCATTTGGTAGGTATAGTAAAAACTACAAAACAATATATATTATATACATAAATAAGGACGTGATCGTTGCAAAGTTTCATTTGCCATACCTATATCTATTTACGGGGATAGTCGAATTGCACCTGTTACCAGCTACATTAAAATAATTGAACTGCACTCGAGTCAAAATAGATTATTCTCCGAAACGGCTTGACAAGGTCAACAAAACGGTTTTTTAATTATCGATACACAAAACTTCACTTAATACACAAAAATCCACGGAAATTATTAAATTTGCAAGTGGGAAACGGAATGAGTAAAATCAAATTTTTCCCGAATATTTTCGTTAAATCATGTTTTTTCGGACCGAATAAAATTCGATTCAATCTTTATTATTTACCTCCGTATAAATATAGTGTAGTAATATTCAATTCCGATCGAGTTGTAAATTAATCATTTATACGCGAATCAGTGCAGCGGAGTTTCAACTTATGATATACCTACCATTATTATTATTATTTAATGTTATGAGTACCTCTATATGGGATTAATACCCTCGGTGCTTTTTTCGCCAACGGGTTTACCCTGATGAGATATAGAGGTGCGTTGTTTTTATACACTGTAAATTACGTTACCTAATTTAAAGACTGTTTTCGTTTTGTGTAATCACCACATAGGTACCGGAATTTAATTACGACGGCATGTTTACGTAGGATTTGTCCATTAGCGTCCAAAACTATATAGTGCCTTGTATTAATCGGTTTTCCTTCTCGCGTGATAATAATATGAAACAAAAAAAAAAAACCGTCGGAAGATAATCAACTTACCGCGGTTACGCGATCGTGTTTTACCGATAACTTTCGGTGTTTCAAAAACTGTCGGAATAACGAAACCGAATTATACGTACAGGAATAAAGTAATATCATACACTAATAGAATAATGTAGTCGATTCAACTATCGAAAGTGTCAATGGTACGCACAACTGCACGTCGTTTTCCAGCCATTCCTAATTTGTTGTTAATTTAACAAAAACTAAATGCTGATCGTTATATTTATTTTAAATACATAATTAGTAGTTATCTCAGTTTCAATTTTGAGTTAAAATAACCAAAACCTTATTTGGAACAAATTATATTGTGGGTGAATACACACTCAGAAATCTGGTGTTGATTCTACATTCAGTTAGATGTTAAAACTACTAAATGGAATGTTGAAAAAAAATCGTTTAAGTAAAAAAAAAGGTACGGTATCCCGCAAATTTCAAATCGATCCCGGCGGGGATCGAACTCGCTAGCAGCTGTTATCTAATCCCTATCGACTACCACCTACATTGTTAATGTATGATCGTTTAAATGGGTATTTAACTGTTGCGTAATATTATTGATTTTATCATATTTAATATATATGTAATACAATATTTGTCTGTTCGCACACGCTGCCATACTTTATAATAAAATAATGAATTTACTTTGCAATATACATTTATATACAGTATAAATACGTACTGTTTAATTTCACAGTTTTACACATCACGTACCTATTTTAATATATTTTATTTAAATTATTTGATACAACACGTACTTAGTCTTGAAACAAATCCATATTCGCATAGATAGCATAAATTTATACAAATTAACAAAAAAATAAATTTACAATATTTCACCGATCGTTGTAGTCTGCTGTCGCGAAGAACTTGGAGACAGAAATTAACAGAAATTTCCAATAACAAGTTACATGCAAAAAAAAAAAAACACACTACACACACACAAACGTCGAACAATGATCCATATACAGCGATTATCAATATCTTGGAAAATTCTTCGATGCGGCCAAGGCGGCGGAAAGTTGCGTTAAAATTAGACACCCGATAAATTATACCCTTTATCGCACGGCGTTTTAAAGTATAATGGGAGTTGATTTAACATCATTGTAGTTATCAAATCCAATCTCTATAGAATATTATATTATGGTGGTCAAAATGACATCCATGACTGTTGATGCAACTCAGAATTAATGTTCAAATTTGTTTAAATTAATAATATTAAAATGTCATATTAGTATATTTTTTTATTAATATAAGATAATTTGATATAAATTTAAGCATAACGTAAATTTAAAATAATATTAGTTATGAGTAATTTTAAACATTTGTGTTACTCTAACTTATAAGTAATTCAATTCAGCATGCCATTGTCGTAATATGTAATACAAATGCATGCAACAAGATACTGAGAGCTTAAAAAAGCATAATAAATTAATATTAAACTAACCTAAAACACATCCTTCTATACAATTATTCGAGGAATTTAATGTTTTCTCTGTACAAAAATAATTTCAAAGAAATGCACTTTATTTCACATATAAATTTAATTTAATTTAATTAAAACCAGCATACTATAATACACGACAGGAAACTAATTTAGAGATCCCTACTATACAAACGCTCAAATCAAGCCTATGTTTTTTACAGATAGATATTAAACTATTAAACAAATCCCCGTCTCATATCATAAATTGTAAATCATACACACAATATAAAAAGTGTGTTAAATTATGGCTAAAACATATCTCTAACATTTAAGAGCACTTGTACATGAAGTGAACCTAGTAAAACTGTTTTATTCCTTAGTTGACCCATAATACCGTTCTGTCTAATATTATTTTCTTATTTTTACTATTCTATCAACGGTTCATATTATCTTAATTAATCATTAATTTTATTGATAGTACTCCAATTTCACCAATAAGTGGTGATTATATGTAAATATTTCTACAGATGGCCAATAAATATTATTATACAATTATTTATTATTATAAAAAAAATATTCCTTAATTTAACTTATTTATATTCAATATCTTGACTATTGTTAAATCAACACCAATATTTCCATGTGTATATGGGTACTTTACGTTGTTCATTGCAATTTTACGTGAAAATTCGTTTCGCTAAATGTATTATTTAAACAGAAAAAATTATGAAAACTTACGGTTTCGAGACTAGAATGACTAGACAATATACTAAAAAAGGTAAAAAAAAAAAAGCTGATACGTAATATTTTACAATTCTTATATTTTTTAAACCAATGGCGCTAGAACACGGGTTATTTCGGACTCATCTTCAACTCCATATTCATTACGTTTTAATATTATCTCGTCTTGGTTTTATGGTACCTACCTCACTTATCTATTTTAGTAACCGTCGAAATGATGGACCACGGTTCATCATAAGAAAGCGGAACGATTAATATTAATCATATGAGTACCTTACTAAATTCTTTATATCAGTAATAGTATTTTTATACATTATGGTACCGGAATCAACGAAAAAAAAAAAAACTTTAGAATGTGTACTATCCGGTATAAGCAAACCGGTATTACATGCACCTACTTAGTATACATGCGGATCAGTCTATTATAGCGGTCAAACCGGGTTTGGATCAAGACGTATTTACCTGAAAAGCGTCATCTCGCTGTTGCAATTTATTAAAAATGCAATTAAACAGTATAATAATAATTATCGCGAGACACCTTCGGTGTATGTTATTATTAGGTATTTCTATCATCATGCGCGCAAACGAGTTTATATTTTTTAGGTAGTGCATATCCGCAACCACAATATTATAATAATAGGTAACGATGATCAGTAGGTAATTGAACCGGGACTCGATTATGGAAATTATATCCTTCGTTCGGATTCTATCTAACTGTACACCGTTTTGTAATGCAATTTTTTTTACGCAACAGGCGGGTGCTACATACGCACCCCGGTTCTGCCTCGCGGCTAAAACAATGCGCCACATACTCTATAATATTATTAACCGTAAAATATTTGATTTTAGCTTGTGTTTTAGCCGGGCGGCCGTTGTAGGGGAGCAGAAAAACGATTTGACAACTTTTGGCCGATAGTTGTGTGAAAAGTTCGTGTATAGCACGTAGGTACCGCACGTCTATAATAAATTACCAATAACGTTTAAAAATAGATATTTGAAGAAAGTGCAAAAACCCGCCGCATACGATAAAACGTTTTCAGCGAACTATTATTATTGTATTATATAGGTGCGTTTATATTTCGGGAAAAATATGAGTACCTACACGAAAAAACTGTCTGTAACGTCATCAATCCGAGAAAGCAACGTGTCGTTAACTATCTGTTTTTATAAAAAAAAAAAAAAAAATAATAACCATTAATTCGTTACGTTACAATGTATTGTAATAACGAATAATCGTTCTGTATAGGCGTATACATATAGCACATACACACAAATCGCTATTGTACAACAGAAGACCACACCGCGACATTATTATAATATTGTGTCCGGTGGCTCGTGCCCAACGACTGACACTAAATTAAAAACAAAAACCATGTCAGCAAGATACGCGCAGTGCGGATACCTATGACCCAAATTTAGCCGTGTAGATAGCACTGCTGCAATAAGTCATAATAATATCGTTACAATAATTCTGCACCAGAAAACCGTAATAATATAGTATTTCGCTCTGGACCGGGTGCAGGAAGCACACCGAAACGGGGAGCGAATGTCGAATCGAGCGTGTAAAGTCGCAACCTTCACAGCTGTAATACAGGGTGTCCTAGAGTGTTATCCTTATGCTAATAAAGTAATAACACTGCCAATAGCCAAGCGATAATGTCTTAGTTATAGTGGTTTCAATGCATAGAAAATAGACGTGAAAACGATCAACGATCAATAGAAGATGAGGAATTACCGTGCTGATTGTGATTCCTTATCGCGTAATGTGTTATTCTATTGAAAATTATAGTTTATTCACGCCAATTTTCTAGAAACTAAAACAGGTATTACTAAGAAACTATTAACCGGGTATGCATGTATGATGCGTTTAAATTTTTAGAATAATATCTTTTACAAAATGGCTATTTTGAACATTTTGAAGTGGTAAAATAATTTTTTTTTTTCAATAGTTAATAAAGGATGAATATGTATTTAATTTTATTTTTCTTTACATAATATGTGTCCCCCTTGCACAAAACCCGATTGAAAAGTGAATATTGAAAGAATTATTAACATAAAGGATAACACTTACTGAAGGACACCCTGTATAAGTATAACATTAAAGAAGTGTGATTTTCAGGAAAACTATACGGCGATAGGTTCTACCGCTGCGCGTGATCGATTAATGCAGGCAAACCACAATGCCTACGTACAATATTTAGCCATATAGGTAATCGCATGGATGACAATAACTATATATTTTGATATTTTTTCTTATGTATAGTCATCACGTATACTATATAATATTAACTTCACAATACTGCTGATAACCGTATGGACTGCACGGGACGAAATTCGAAATGACCATCGAAAACGATCGCGACAGTATTATTTTCGTCACGTTTTCAAGAAAATATTCATATAGGTACCGATAGTGCATCGTAAGTGCACAAGTATAAACAGGCCGGTAAAAAAACGCCTGACCTCAAACGATGCGCACGCCTCTACCATTCTGCATGGTGCGAGTTCATAAAAATTCAGTCGAAACACGTAACTGTTCAGGCGAGAAACACAAACTTATTGTTAGGTATTTGACGTATTTTTAATGCTATCATATTGTGTATAAACGAGAGGTTTAGCCGAATTTCCGCATACAAACGTCACGAATATAACATATTTTACCTAATACTGTTTACCCCTCACAGATAAAAAATGAAAAAAAAAATACTGTTTTAAGTAGTATTCCCGTAGAGGCATACTATATTATATGAAGTGCCTAGCACCGATATTATAATAGGTAATTTGTGTAACTTTTATTTAATCTATAATTTTTTAATTTTTTTTTTACTCCAATTATACCTTTTCAAGCGTATAGTCATATATACGTGAAAAATATGAATAATATTGCATACCTAAATAAGTACTATACAGAGTGATCGAGAAGACACTCATTATTTCGGTAAGTATACACTTTTTTTTCGGAATTTTCTCTTTTGGGCAAATAAGAAACAAGAAGTTCTAAAATATTACTTTACCGTCAATTTTTTTTCGCTTTTAATTTTGTGTTTGAAACGACTATCCACTTTTGATTTTCAAATAACAACCCAACGAGATATTTTACTATTAAGTTTGGTTATAACAGGAAGGTAGAGGAGCATAATATTTGAGTGGCACCATTTGAATAGCGCTCTACTATTCTTTCCACACCCAAACTTAAAATGGAATATCTTATTAACAGGTCAACAGAAATTAAATATTACAACACTAAAATTGATTTTAACTAAAATGTCAACCATTCATGGAATTTTTAATAAGTATACGTTGCTATTTGAATATCTAAAGTGAGTGGTTTTAGTAGTTTCACCGATAAAAATAAGGGTAACCAAAAAATAACGGTAGTGTAACGTTTTGAAACGGCCTGTTTCATAAATGTCCGAAAAATAAAAAAACTCGAATAAGGTTAATAATTACTGAGATAATGAGTGTCTTATAGAAGATTTATGACCCTGTATATTTGTAGTGGCTTAATATTTCAAAAAATTAAATTAAAAAAATGTCACAACAAAATGTTTCAAGTACACCTAAGATAATAATAATTACCGTCTTAAAAGACGCTATGGTAGTAATGGAATCAGTTATTGCTTCTGTCAAGCACTGCACATTTGACATTGCATACATTTAAAATGTTTTAGGTCACGGGTTAATATTTAAATACGTACTTATTATGTAACTAAACGAGACGACTTTATTTTTAACATTTGATAATTATATTTTCAAGCTTAAAATCCGTAGGTATAAAATATTAAATTCGGTCAATTTTTGATGGTTTTTTTTTTAAATTTAAATTATTTCCCAAAATATAAACTATAGTAACATGGTGGAAATCCTCTGTAATTAGGTATTAAATTTGTTTTTTTTAAATAAAATTATTAGATAGTTTTTTTGTACCTATAATGTGTTTTCTGACAATTCATAAAGTTTATTTTACTTCAGTTGAATGTGCTTAACCGCTCTTAGTCATATATTAAATATGTAAATATCGATATTTTTAAAACGTGAGTATAATTAGTTTTTTTGGTTTAATATATTATTAATATAGTAGTAATTTTGTGTTGAATTTTTACTGAAAAACAGACGATTATTTTTAACTATTTTGTAATATTTTTAATCACGTTACTTTCATAATATTTTTATATTAACATATTATTATTATGGAAATAATTATAACTAATCGATACAGTTGAAAATATTTTACAATATAAATTGGTAAGACTTTAAGACCATACCATTTTAATCGTGAAAATGTATAGGAATTAATAATTAATTAACATACGACTAATATATAATAATAATATGGTGATTAAAACCGTATTAAAATCGCTAAGTATTTAAGATGTCGACGATTATCATCACTGACGTAATCGTATAGGAAGGTTTGGGCGGGTCTGTTGTTATTTAATATACGCAGTTTTAAAACAATCATGTCAAGCCTACAGAAAACGTCATGATTAAAAAACCGTTTTCGGATAGAAATACCTTTCTCGCTATATGCGCTTTTAAAGTGCCGTTTTTAAAGTGTCAAAAATGATATTTGGAAAAAAATGACCAAGGAAAAAAATCCTAAAAAATAAACACACCCCGGCAAAGTAGCCTAACCTAACCTAACCTAGCCTACGAAAATAAAGTCCACGAGATTGACATACAATTGCCAAACAAATGTTAAATCTTAGAAGTACAGTACCACTCCAACAATCCAGTGTACATTCCAAACATAACTTATTTATTTTTAAATACTTGAATACCTATTTGAATGGGTATACGATATACTTTTCAATAAATTACATTAATATAACCTAACCTAACTATTGATACAAATGTAGTTATTTATACTTGTTCGGGCAAAGTACAGTTTACTCAATTTATGTATCGTTTGCAGTTTATTAATTAATTATTACTTATTAATTTATCTAGAAGTTGTTAGTTAAAAATCGTTGTATAGTCAATACCTCGTCATTAGTGTAATAGATGTATTTAATTTGCATTTGAAAAAAAATAAATTATGATTTCATTGGTAATTTGTCAAATTAAATTCAAATAATGACTTATAATATAATGCTATGACATATAAATTTTTTCTTGTGGGGATTTTCTATGAGCTTTATTCCCGTAATTTTTTTAAATTAAGTATTTTTTGAACGATTCGTCAAAAATAGGGTCGATAATTATTCCTTAAATCATAAGATGCCTATAGTAATATTATAACAATAATAATTCACTACGTCATCGTATATATGAATGGCTCAAAAATGAATTACCTGAAAAACCGTAGCCTATATGAATAGGCGACGGTTTGTCTTTTATAAATCTACCGAAAAATAAGATAAAGAATTTCCCGTTTTAATAAGATTTACTTGATTTCATTATGTGATAAAAAATGTACCTACCCAATCATTATTATATAGTATTATAACGCCTAAAGAATACAGTACCAGGCTGTTCTTTTATATTTTTATTCCTTCATTATATGAATACTCTTATACCGACATTGTTGTCGGTATTATACACTTTTCTTTTTATCACTTAAAAATGTGAGAAAAAGTTCGTTATATTTACTTTTATTAATACCGATATTTTGTCGGGAAAATGATATTAATATAAATAAAATATAAAATATTAATATAAATGATACAGAAATTTGTCATTATACATAATATAATATACGCCACTATAGTGGCGTAGCTAGAGGCATCACGATGTCAAAATGTCTAGTCTTAAAAACTAATTTTAACAGTATAAAAAAAAAGAGCTAATACTGCTGATGAATGTGCCACTGTAAGTTATAAGTGAGAAGTTGGAAAGGTAGAATACATATAGTTATTTAATTTATATCTTTTTGTAATGATAAACCATTTCTGATGAAAAATGACTTAAGGCAAGGTTCGAAAATGTATATTCTTAATATTTACGAATTTTACGCCAACATTTGAATTTAAAAATCTTAAAATAAAAATTGCTACATTAAGGCATCTTTTTTTTTCACTACGAAATACAATAACAACTTATAATGAACCTAATGTTCAATTTTGTTTAGCTGTTCTCTTAGGGCCAAACAATTTTTTCCAAATAAAACCAAGTAAAAACAAAAAAAATAATATCGAAAATTATTGTTTATATGTTTATTTGTATTACTCGTTTTTTATTTACCATTTTTTCTGGATTTTCCCAACTACTATAAAAAAAAAACTGCTAAGAAAATCAAAAACGACATTCTAACTGATTAGAATTTCGTAATTATTATGAAAACTTCTAGGAAAAAAAAAAAATTTCTTAATGCACTATACCTTGATCTAAAACGTTTCAAAATCTTTTATCATTGTTACACACATCATAGGAAACCTAATGTATATCTCATTCCGCTTAAAATTTAAAAAATAGCACACGTTACAGAAAAACACCACATTCTATACTCACTTTTAAAAAAAAAAAAAAAATTGTTGCTAATATATATACATTATAATATAAAAAATTACCATACCATTATAATATACAGGTACCTCTTCCGATTATTACTTAAGGTTCGAACATTAAAACATTGACCAATTGCAGGGGATGGTTATGAGTTATTAACCAAAGTGGATTACCGCGGCGCATACATGCGAATATCCTTCTTAGCTGCTCATTAAACTTAGAGGTCGCTATTATACAGCGCTATATAGTCTCGTAAAAGCGTAGTGGGTTTTTTTTTACGAATAGGTCATTGACATTAAAAATAAAATAAAAAACCATAACGAACAAAACAACTTTTGGTTCTATTATCACTACCGCTACAGCTGCTTATAGTCTAATATTGTCCAAACCCACACAACTGCATATTATAGGCACCCATACCGCATCTTTGGTTACAGCAATATCATCGTTGTTAATAAAACGACAACGTATAGATTTTCATATAGGCACACGAGTTTTTTTTTTTTAATTGTATACAATCGGACGCAATAATAGACATTTTAAATAGTAAAAAAATCGACTATCGACGAAGAATGTCGACGACGATAATTAACTATGTATAGTTAAAAACACTAAAATTAAAGTTAATCAATATTGAACAATGAATTGAATAGATGAACCACGGGGGCAAAGAAATTGTAAATCTGCAGTGTTGTTCTACTAGAATTATATAACATAGTGCAATGCCAATGTTAATGAAAACACTATAACAGTTAAACACAATTTGTTTATTAGGACACGAACTGGAATTTAACTACATTCTATTATACGGATATACCATCTACTTTGAAAATAATAACTATTTATGTTTTGTTTACACGGCTAGTGCCTGAAATGTACAAAATATTTCAAAATAAACAGTTGTCTACACTATTCGCACAGTGAGTACACCCTATAATACAGATAATATTTATTAATAATATTTTTATTAGTTTTATAAAACTATACACACAAGGCATTTATCCCACGTTCTTGTTTTTCAAATTGAAAACTTGTATATTTTTTCTAACTAGCACCTCATTTAATTTTAAATTTATCGAAAAACTATAACGGTACCTATCGCGAGAATTTTAACAAAATTTACCAATAATAATATTATATTCTTTAATGTTAAATTTGTCTAAGAGAAACCAGAAGAAATATGATAATATTCAATTAAGTAGTTTTACTTGTTTTTCTAGCCGTATAAATATATTCATGAAACGCAAAATCTATAATATTTTACTAGGTATCGGTACCTATAAAGTTTTATAACTTTTTGAATTTTGAAGGCATAGCCCAGAATGACATTTCCAAGGGTAGCAATTTTTTGTAACAAACAAAATAAATGTGAACAAAAAATCTATAAAAATTTAACATCAACAATAAACGAAATTTGATTTTTATCCAAAAGAAAACAAAATCACCTTGAGTTTTTTTTATGGAATATTTGTAGTGGTTTTATATGGGTTTAAAAAAAAAAAAACCGTTGTACCTATAACAAAACTAACTAAAACATCAAAATTACTTTTTTTTGTAACTTATTCCTAAACATTAAATTCTTTATCCTAGTAAATTACCTATGATGATATTCAAGTTTTATTTATACATTATATAAATAGAACATAGGTGAGTTATTAAAAAAATTCTAATTCTAAGACACTTATCAGTTATCAACAACTATTATTTTAGTGTAATGATGATGTGAATGGACAAGCTTAAGTTATTCTTGTTCAAATTTCCAATTGCAGAATTTATTGTGAATTTGTCATTATGCCATACTGCCAACAGTGTACAAGGTACAATTAGGGAGGGACTTTTTTTCGTAAACCAAATCAAATAACTTTTTTTTGCTTGTGGAATTCATCTTTTTTTTAATCACCCATGAATTTGTTAACGAAAATCTACCTATGGTTCAATCCACATCGATATTTCATTACAACTACATTTTATTGATTTTTTATTTTGAAACAAAAATATAAGTTACTTAATAACTTCACAAATCGTTGTTCTATTATAAAATCAAATTAATAAAAATGCTAATTAATATATTATGTGTCGTATATAATATTATTGTCTAAAATTATCAAATAAGCTTTCACTTTATTACATAACTACAAACAGTAAGTATAGGTAATTACAAAACGTTTAAAACTAAGCATTTCATCCGAGATAACTAGTTATGATGATTACATTTGTAATTATTATTCTATCGAAAACAGACACGACACACTGTAGCCACTTGACACAGTACCTATATTTTAATAATATGTAACAAAGGTGTACATATAGATACGAGATAAACAGTTTTTTATTTTACAGTAAATATTATACCTATATAATATTTGTATGTATCTAAATCCCATGCAGGTTTGATAATACACATTTGAGTACCTACAATATAAAATGTATAGGTAGTGTGAATGAAAGAGGACTGGAATGATAAATCCATCCACAGAATTTAATTTTCTATGTTAAAAAATTATGTTATTTTTTATTTTTATATACGTGTACGTATAACATACGCATTCAATATTTCCTATCCCCCTCTTCGTGAAGAATTCATAACTACTCAAATGTACTACTGCAAACGACTATATACAACGCGTAGTCTCGAGGGTTTAAAATATATTTTTACATTTTTTTAAAATAAATAACTCGTTAAAAAAACAACGTATATATAATGATACGTGTACACAATGCTCATTTCACACCCTATATACATAGTAAAAATGTGGCGAATATATAAAAGCCTCGGGGAGCGAAGTAGAAATGTTTTAGGATATACTGTTGCAGCAGTCAGTAGGAGGATAGCATTTAATATTATCGTACAAATTATATGAAGCAAAATGTATAAATGTGTATTTTAAATTTAGTATAATAAAAAAAATAACATTCGTTCGATTTAAATAATATTCGAAATTAAATTATATATTATACATATAAATTGGTAGTATCTTGTATACGAGGTTGTACACTATTGTACTTAATAGAATATTTAGTTTTAATTGATTTCGTAAACGAATAATACAATACAATTATAATTATAAATGTTTTCCAATAGTTTATTACCCTATTTATTAGATACCTAACAAATTCACGTAGTCATTAATTGGCAAGTTATTGCATTAAATTTAAATACTTCCCAGTATGGTATACCAGTAGCATACCACATACACATAACTTTTGTAAGAGAAGGGAGGGGAGAAAGATCACAACAAAAAATGTTCTTGTGTGAAGCTTTAAAAATATATATAAACAAAATTGTGTAGATTTTGTACAAATAAAAAGAGTTAATGATTTGAGGAATCAGCCGCCCAAATTTTCACTATGTATGTATATGCTTCTGAATGTACTATTACATTTTTATACGTTATATGCAATTCTCTTTTTAATTTAATATCATATAATTGTATTATATATTTTATTTTACAGTATTTTTTTTAAATTTAATGTTGTATATAATTAATTGTTTTTTTTTTTTTTTTTAATTAGCTAAATTATTTGAAAAATATTCATCACAGTAATATAATTCGAATGCAGAGCATGCACAACAATATTGCTCTTAATTTATTAATTAGTGACCTAGTAATATAAATTAAAAATGAAAAAAAAGACAGACATACTCGCACGATGGGTGGGCCAATATTGTAGGTGAGAAGTTGGGAAGGTAGGATACAGAGGGAAATTTGATGTATATCAGTACGCAGCGATAGACCATTGTTAACGAAAAACGATTCGGAGCCACGTTATTTTTATACATGTACGTAAATTGTTCAAATTATTATGAAAACAGCTTAGAAAATCAAAAAATAATCTCCCTTAAGGGGGGTAAAATTTCGTTTTATAAAATATATTACACTTTAGAATCGGAACAAGATTTCTAGTAGGAAAGCGGTTCACATATAAGAAAAAAAAAAATAAAACCATTGTGAAACCAATACATACTACAATATAATCAGTAAAATGACAAACATATAATATGCGTAAAAATACATAATATATAGTATATTATTTATTTTCTCAAACAATTAATATATGTAATAATTTCAGTATCGTTTCTTAAAGTGTAATTACAATTTATTTATGTAATCATCGCCTAATGTCAAACACAATTTTGTTGTACTGGCACGCGGCATTCGCATATTAGAATTTAACTAGATCTTCATTTTTAAATCGAAATCATTTTACGACTTTAAAATAGGTACCTATTTCGTTTACCAATGAAAATATCTAATTATCTGTCTCTGTTCTGAATTTTAAATAATGGAAGTAACAATTATACGACTATTTTTTTTTTCACAAATAAAAAACTAAAGTATATAACTACTAAACCATCAGCGCTGTAATTAAGGCTAGGTCATAGGGGATCAATATTTTTTCATAAAAATACATGTATAAAATATTTATTTTTTTAAGTAAATATCACTTTATTTCGTGCAAAATTATCATAATAATAGATAAACTTTTCTTGGTTTAGCGCTAATTCATTCATAACATCCTCTGGATCTACCAATGCACTTTTATAAAATGCCAATATATTGTGAAATTATTTATTCGAGTTTAGCAATTGTCTTTGAATATATATTATCTAAGATCGTAATGAGGATAACAAAAATTATACATATATACATATATATAAAAAGGTTAAAGAAGATTAAGCAATTGGATACTCCTTTCTCCCCCGTTATTACACAACTGTATTAAACATGGAAAAAAATTAATTGGAATTTAGAAGAGGTTAATTAGAAGCTAATAATTCTCACACTGTGGAAATTTGTTAAATTAATTTTGGTAAATCCTCCATCTCCTCATTCTACCCAATTTTCGTCTATAATACTCAATGTTTTATTTAAAAAATAAATTATGTAATTTGATCGTATTCATATCATCAAATATATATTACAATTATAATATATATATATAAATCTTTAAATAAAACACATAAAAAGTTTAACACGATAAAGCTGATACCGATAAGAATTCAAAAATATTGCAATAGATCATACAATATTATAATTTATAATAGTGTGACTAGTAAATATCCTTATAGATTTTACTTTGAATTTTTTGTTACTTATTGTTTTCATTAAAAGTACCTATATTATATAAATATTTAGTTTTATATTTTGAGTACCTATTATGTAAAATAATAACTCATGCATTTAAAAAGTGAATTTCAATTGATTTAAACTGTTAATTTTATAAATGTTACATACATGTGGTCAATTAGGTACTTATTGAACAAAAAAAATAAAAACAACTAACTGTCTCCATAATGAATTCAAATTTTTAATCTACATAACTTTTTTAATGACACTAAAATACATAAGTAACCTATTATAAAACTACAAAACAGAATATCTAATGATTTATTTATAATATTATTATTAGTTATATAAAGTTTTGTTTAGATTTTTTGTTTTGATTAGAGCAATGAAAGACAATTCATCAGATAAGAGATATCCTTCAACAGTTAAATTCTAATTTACAACAAGAATGCTTTATAATTTACAACTCATACAACTCTCTAGTATTGTATTAGATAAAATTATCTTTTTCAGAAAAATAAAAAAAAAATAAAGATTGTCATTTTTATTTTTATTTAACACCTTACTCCACTTTTATAAAATATCTATATACATTTAAGTGAAATAAAAACTAGGTTTGTGAATCTATACACCTTGGTATTTAAATTTCTAATATACTAATATATAATAAACACCAAGCGATACGAATGATGGTAAATTATTGAAATTATTTTGCACATAGTTAGAAGCCTACATACTAAACAAGTAAACAACTGTGTTTAACAGTCATACGAGGGTTTCGCCTTTTACCTTTCGCCGCTGATGGATTTGAAGAAGTGGCTTGTAATACTGTTTTATGACTCTATATAATGTTTCCACAATCCTACCAGTCACCTGTCACTGAATACTAAGATTTAAAACCGCTTAACACAAATACAATAATATTGAAAAGTAATGGGTATCCGGGTGGGTATCATAATAATAGATATATTCAATAACTCAAGAACTTTCATATGCCATTCAAGTGTATATTTTATTCTTTATCCAGATTTTACTAAAACTATTATCTAGTAAAAAATGATTAATTTTTTAAGAAGCATGACGTTATTCCCATTATGAGTGAAAGATGTTTATTAACTTGAGTTCATAATTATTAAAATTCTTATTTGTTCAAAATTTTAGTTTTATTATTTAATAAATTATAACATTAAAGTAAATTGGTAAAAGAAGGGTAAAAGTCTTTTAATTGGCTAATTCTTATTTAACTGTGGTAATAGTTTTGTTTTATAATGTATATTAAAAAATTACATATTGTAATTGTATATTTTGTATATTAGATATTATGTATATGTACTTTAGTGGAAACAAACATGTTTATATATTATTACTGTCAAGTTAATAAGTTATTTGAAGCTGAAATATATTGAGCTATGATTCTTGTATGTGTTTCAGATAAATAAATAGAGATTTCTAGAAAAAAAAATCATGGGTTGGGCTTTTCATTAACCAGAACACTAAAAAAAAAAACAGAATATACCCGAGAATATAGAAACTTATTTATAAGTAAAGTAATAAACATCATTTATGTGATAATATATGTAATACCTAAGCAATACACTTAGAAGTATAATATTATTTTTAAAAATACCTTTTATAATAATAATAAAAAACAAAAAAATAATTAATTCTAAACACCAACTATTAATAGATAGTAATATGGTTCATGAATGAACTTTCTTTGTAACACAAATAACACAATTAGAAAGTTATAGGTACCTAGGAACTGTTTATTATTCAAGACACTAAATTTTATAATATTTATAAGTGTACTGAATAGCACAATCAATGGTATTGAAATAAGTTTAAGAACACAAATACCAATTATCAGTATATTTTAATCCAACGATTTCTACATCCAATTGATGATTTTATATTGTTATTTATTATACATTCTAAACGAATTGAATATTCTTGCTATCTAGCTACAACATACACAGTAATATGAGATAACCGTTTAATTTACTGTATTATTCAAAGGGGTTATACAAGTTATAGCGCAGTAAAATATATTTTACTATAATAGATAACATTTTAGACACCTTAATAGGTACCCACCTACTCAATTATGTATTTATTTATTTTGAATAGCATCTACTTAATTATCATAATCTATTACAAATGAAATTATTTGGTAGGTATATAGGTACTAAACATTTAGTACTATAATTAGAGAAATTATATCTCGAGTCAGGTAAATTGAAGTTTAGTCAAATTAAGTAATTAACTTATTATTTTTATTGGTAAATAAATTTAAATTCTAACCAAATGCCTATAGGTTTTGGTTTTTAATTCTGTGTGTTTAATAGACAAAAACAATTATTTGTTTTATTCACGTTTTTAATATTCATTTTAAATAGTATAAGGCATTTTGATTTGTTATAAAACATAATAAATCATTTCTCCATTCGAGAAGTATAACTACATATTAAAACAATAACAGTTAAGTAACCAATATAATTAATGGTAACATATAATCTAATCCTGATGCTATCAATGGATTGACAATAATCTAATACTTATGACCAGCTGTTATCTAAGGTTATCCTTTCACCAAAGAGGAGCTACTTGGATCATATTCATTTGCCTTACACCAGCAAAAGGTTTATGCATTATAATTGTATCATATGCTTATAATATCAACTTTGAACAACTGGTCAATTATATTAACTACCTACATTACTTATGGTATTTATTGGGGTATGTATAAAATTATTATTTTTTTATAATATTTTCAGTAGGTAATTAATGTATGCTTGTCTTGTACTATAGTACCTATGTACTTGTTTTGTAAATCTGCAATGATACTTAAAAGAAATAATAACACTATAATTGTATTCAGAAAAAAGGTTTTTTTTTTGGACATTTAAAAAATTAACTTATTGGACTCCTAAAAATTTAAATTACAGTTTTTGTTTTTGTTTTTTTTTTTGAAATAATGAAACTATTGTAATCAGGAAAACTTTTAAGTTTTTGGCGAATATTCAATTTGGATTTTAACCAAAAAAATATAAAATAATATTCATTTACCTATATTATATATGACTCCCTGACATCATTTACATATTTCTATTAAAATGTATATATTTAATTCTTGATTTTGAATAGGTAGGTGAGAATGATATCAATACTATTTTAAGAGACATGTTTATTACAATCAATATAAAATGTTTAATTGATTTTATTGTAAATTGATGAAAACAAGAATGAAGGTATCCTCTTGTATATTAAAATAATTACTTATTACCTATTCCAATCAATATTTTTAAATATCCATTAATAATGAAAATAAATGTAAAATTAAAATTATTTAAATGTTGTATACACTCCCCTAACCTATCAGTCTGGTGTTAAAAAATATGAAACTTCAGTATCTCAAGTTGAATAATTTGCCTACTGATTCTGTCTTTAAAGTGTAGCAAATAATTATGTACAGATAATTTTTAACTTTATTACTGTTTATGATGACTTTTTTTATATGATGTATAGGCACGGTTCTCGGTATTGTTTAAACAATGTAGTTACTTATATAGGTACATGTGTATACAAATAAATTGGTAAAAAATTATTTTTAAACATAGATAACATAAAGAAACCTAATTATAAGACATAATAGGTAAGACTTATACAAATGGCAAATTATGTATCATCAATATGAACTTAAACATAAAATATTGTAGGTATGTAATACGTGTAAAATATTATAGGTACTTAAAAACATTGTAAAAAACTAACTTATAAGTTGTTAGCATTTTAGTTTTTAATATAAAAAGTATACTTAGACCTATCCGCTCACAATATTTAAAAATTAATTTGTATGTTTAAATAAGGATTTATTGTATCTTCAGACCATTTATGCATTTAAAATTACAACACTTAAATATTATTTTTATTAAAAAAATTTGTTTTAATAGGTTTTTAACTTATGGGATTACCAACTACAGAAAGGTTATTTTATCAAACTTTGTCACACTAGATAATTATATTCCAGCAACCCACCCAAATGTGTAAGAAAAAATGTTAATCTATCCTAAAATAACATCAATGTTATACCAACAAGTTTCTTCCTCTTTGGCACTAGCATCTTATTATTAGTTTATCTGCATCTATTTCAGTATTTCACATACCTATTAGGTAAGTAGATATATTTAAATTTGGTAAAATGTCTGAAATAATTAAATGTAAGTGACCAGTACTGAATATTTAGTAAGTAATTTTACATAGGTTTATTTTAAGGTTTACAAGTTGAATACTTAAAAAATTAAAGCTACTTAATAACATTAATTTTATAACATACAAATAAGCTGAGCTATAGAACGATTTGATGATGATGGTGGTGTAATTCAACAAAATGTAGATGGGCAAGTGATAACTTTTGAATTCCATTGATCTATATTATGATGAAGTACATCACCATTGCCAAAAATAACCGATTTTTAATTGTTGTAACTATTTTGTATAGTATGACTTATCTGTATATTCTAAAACCAATGTCAGTAATTGTAGTAGGTACTAATAATTTAATAATAAAATATATCTACACACGGATTAGGATATTTAATAGGTATCTATCTGAATTAGAGTAGAATAAATAATCAGGTACATAATCAAAATGTACTAAAATATTCTATCAGTGGCAATTTTTCTAGGAGGGGTCCTGAAAAATCATATGTATTTTAAAGTTAACTATTTATAGATGCTTTTTTTTAAGCAATATTTTATTGAATTGTATCAGTGTAGGGGGAGGGCAGGTTCCAAACCCCGTGGAGCCCATGAAAATCGGCTACTACTACTTACCTATAGGAAGTAGTAAAATTAATTATTTGAGTCTGAGACCAAATAGTGTTAGGTATTAGGTTATCTATTTAATAGTTAGGTATTGAAATAAATAATTTTTGTATTAATTATTAGTTTATTCCTTAATCGAAAATGTTAGTAAATATTTTATTCCTTAAATAAAGTAAAAATCTCTTAAATAATCAAATAGACTAGAGATACAAATCTTCAATAGAAATATCCATTCTACAGAAGTATCTAGGAAATTTGAAAAAAAAAAAAAAATAATTTTGGTGAATAGAAATATTAAGAAAACACATTTATACTTAATCTTACCGTAATATATTTTGTGCTAGCTAAGTAGGTATCCCTTGAGTCTTGACGACCAACTACAATAATTACACCACCTCCAAATATTTTTTCCCAAAGTTATTTCACGTCACGCCGAAGGTAAATAGAGATAATGAAAATAATTAATTTTAAATAGGGTGCGGGTAAAGCGTATTGGATTCAAAAATTGTATAATTAATTCGCGTGTTTTATAATGATCATCGGACACTTTGCCAAAAAAATAAAAAAAAAAATTCAAAAGACAGAGACGTTAAGGTAAGAGAGAACCGTGGAAAAACAATAATTTCGGTCGGACGTCTGATGGAGTTATCGTCATAATATTAATAATATTATTATTATTATTATTATAATAAACGTCGGAATTATCGGTCATGTTCTCCCCATTCGACCGCGGCGGCAAAAAATTCGGGCCAACCGGACGGGTGAAAAAATAAAATTAAAAAATATATTACGCGAAAAAAACAATAACCGGCCCTGAATCGAATTTCTGCGGCTTGCTGTCGGCGAGAAACAAAAAAAAAATTAATAATAAATAAACGATAAATAATAAATAAAAAAATAATAACAAAAAAAAAAAATAAAAATAACAATAATATAATAAGAAAAATCAAATCGAGCGGGGTACCTACGAACGCACGGCACGGAACACGACTACCTACGGGACGAACACACCGACTCCAAATGAAATGCGAAAAAATTATATGTACACACGATGTATATACATAATATTATACGTATACATAATATATACCGGCTATATACATGTTATATGTACGTACGTATATACGTAAACACGCGACCCGCAGTCGGCACTCGGCACTCGGCACTCGGCAGTGTGTATAAAGTTTTATCACTGGGTAATTAATGCGGACAGGTTATGCACATGGAAAAACCGAAAGTTTTTTCAACCCTTTCGTGATAAAACGTTATCAGTCAGCTGTTGCCCGGCCGGTCAACGATAATACCGCCGGCACGCGGTACGCACGACTCCGCGAATCAGTGATAATGTTTGAAATTATTGATAACGTCGTTGTCCGGCACCCGTGTTCGTTTGGGATGTTTTTTCGTCGATGCGATGCTCGCAGGCATGCCGTTTATAGATAATCAATTATTACCTATCCGTCTATCGTTTAACGTTTTACACAATAATTATATAAGAAATACGTGTAGGTATAATAATAATAATTACATACCGTATCATCGTATTAGTCGCCGCAATCAGACACCGTCACGTTGACGATAGTGTTTTATCGTTCAGAACGGTAAAAGGTTAGGAATGAAGTAACCTAACCTGTCGTAATCATACTTTTTGTTTTTTGGCATTTTCCCGCCATTATTGTCATTGATCGCCACTACGATAACCGATGATAACGTTTGTGTTTATTATGTTTTTGTAATTGACAACTATATAGTTAATGTTAAATCGCGGTTTTAAAATCGAGATTGGCGATTTTAGAAATCTGAAATCGTTCAACGAACAGCATCTTTATAAGGTTATAAAGTTTTATAATATTGTTTTTAATTAAATATTTTACAACGTAATACTTAATAATTAAAATACCTAGTAATAATATCAACACTGTTATGGTGAATAGTAATATAATGTATTTGTAGTCGTCGACATTTAGATCTGTGAAATAGTCTGAAAATTAGATAAAAACAGAATGAATCATTTTGGACACGAAAACCCTGGTCAGAGCTTATTCCAAGGTTCTGATCTGGCTAGTATTCAGGTGAACAATGATTTTCAAGACGATAATGAAGACCATTTGGACAGACAGCGGCTAGATCAGGAAGTACATATTGTATAGATTTTGTTAAAATTTAGTTTGCCAAGGAATATTTATATGTTTACATTGTTATGATAATTTATACTTTTATTGTTTGTGTATTTTCAAAATATGATCGTATTATATTATTATAATATATAAGATATTCGATTAGATTATACATGGAACTATGATTTTGTCAACTTTTGATTTATATTGATACAGATTAATTAATTTTAAAAATATTTTTTAACTTAAATAGGTACAAGAGTAATTTAATTATATAACTGATTAATTATTTTAAATGTTGTATTTTTTTAAATCACCAAACATTTATTTTATAATAGAATAATAATAACTCATTATTAATATTATTTCAGCTCAAATTGGAATTGGATCATGTATTTAATGAAAGTGAAACTAATTTCAGTGTTCTCACTGACAGCCACAGCAGTGACACTTCTGAAGATGGTAAAATAAATATTGTTAAAATCATATATTATTACCTATAAAGGCTCAGTTGCATTAACATATTCTAAATATTACATATAGAGTGTCAACTAATTACCAAGTCTAAGAAAACATAATAATCTGTCAAATTTACATGTATACCTACTTTCAATTCAAATTATTTAGTTAACAAACAGTTTTATTAAATTTGGTGTTTTTTTTTTAAATTAAAATTTATTCATTTTTCACATGGGTCTGTAAACATATAAAAAAAAATTTCATGCAGCAAGTTAATAGATAAGCAAATTAATGTTAATAGTACTTAAATGAAGTAATTTTTTAAAAATAATTGTGTGATTAAGAATTATGAAAACTTAGAAATACAACTAAATATTTATACTGATTTTACTTACTATCTCTATAAAGTACCTAACTATTGCTCTATATTTATTATTTTAATATTAATTACAATAAATTATCGGTTAATGTTTGTATACATATTGTAACTTGGCAACTATAATATGTAAACACTGAGTTAACACTTCATTGCGTGTATATATAATGCGGGTACAGTAATATAGGTACATAATATTCTATTATGTTATTTAATATATTTTTTTTTAGAGCTTCAAAGTAATAGAAGCCATTCTACTAGATCTACTCATAACAAATCAAAAAGGAAAAGAGCGCAAATACATCCTAATATAGCCTATGAAAACATACATTGTGTCAATAAAAACTTTCAGCCAGATTTTCATAAAGACGGTAAAAAAAAAATAAAAACAAAGTTTATATTCTGCCAAATACTATTCCATGATTGTATGTAATTTAGGGTCATATCCTTCCCCGATACTACAATACAGTGTACAACCTAAAGGCGATAAACACATTACTTCTAATGATACAGCACAAACTATCAGCAAAAAATATGTCTATGAAGGTAAATAATAAAAAACTATTACAAAATGTCTGTAATATAATTAGACAAATTAAATCTTTTGATGTGTTTTGTTATCATTTCTGGACTGGAATAAAAATTCTTACTGGGAAAATTTATCTGATCGATTTATAAACTATATATATAAATACATGTGGGATACACATAATGAACTTATCACGAAACAGTGATTTTCTCAAAGGATTTGAAGTGAATTTCATATAAAAATCGTTTGAGCTTTATTTTAACAATATTTTCAATTTTGTAAACCTGAAATAAATAACCACTTTGGATTTTCAAATAGTAACTTACTCTTTTAAACACAGATTCACAAAGAGGATACTTTTCATATATTTTGATAGGCATGATACTAATATCGGATTTACTATTTATGAATTACAAAAATTTAAAACTTAGATTAAAGCAGTAAGGAAAAGGTTATAAATGTATCTTGTAAAAAATATTTAAAAATGGCTAGTAAAAAAACAGTAAATCAGTGTTATGCATATTAAAATGTTAAGAAAAATATCCTCTATTTGAATTTGTATTAAAAAGTGAATAATTATAATATTAATTTAATAATTATTGGTTGCTATTTAAAAATCCAAATTATAAATAATTTATGTGAATAATCAAATTATTAACAAGTATAAAGTATAGTTTAATATCTTCTTTAGATTGCATATACATTTTATATGGTTATTGAACTTGTATAATATTAACTATTTTAGTATAAAACAATAAAAAAAAAATTATTTTATATCACACTATTTATAATAAGATTAATTTTATTATTGTTTGCAGTATCTTATATAAAAGTAATCCAAATAGTAAATACTAACTACCTTAATTATTTCTGAATACAAATATTTAAAGGAAATGTTAATCAAGTGTAAATCAAAATAACCAAAATGTGCACCTAAAATTAACACTGAAAATGTTATTAGAATGCAATTATAATATTTTTAAAAAAAAGTCAAAGAAAAGTTCATTCTACGAGCATACTTGGATTTTAATTTGTTTAAATGTTTGAGAATAATTAATTAATTAAATTATTTTAATATTAGATTTATGTTATTTATAGTTATTATCATAGTCTTAGAGCGAACAGACTACATAGGCAAATAAGGATTTTTTAAACTATGTAAAAGAAATCTTAAAAACCATAATTTGTATTCCACCCATTCCATATTAGAAATTAAAAGAATTAATAATAATATATTGTTTATCTAAAAAAAATAAAATTTACCAAAGTTTATTTACATTATCATTGCTAAACAAGATTTTATATATTTCGTTACATGCATACTGCTTATTAACTTTTTAATGTTAATACGTTTCAGGAATTTCAAATGAAGTCAATTTTGAAACGTTACAAGCTTTGTATGAAATAAAGCGAAGTGAAATAAATAGATTAGAAAAAGAACTAACTGAATTCAAGATGCACGCAGGTGTGGAAATTGATAATCTAAATAAAAATTTGTTAATTAGTGAATCTGAAGGACAAAGAAAAGTTACAGAATACCAACGGCAATGTGGTAAGTTAAATTTTTTTTTTAAAGACGATTTTGAAAGTTAAATATTTTTAAGGGAAACATTACAAGTTATTTTCTTGGATTATATTTTATTAAACATTTAAATTTGTAAAAAGATGCTTTCTTAACTTTATTTTTATACACAATTTAAACTTTATTATTAAATAAAAAAAAAATCTTCAAATACTGATTAATTTCAGATAAGTAGTTTATTTTCAAAACCTCAATTAAATTTGTTTAGCTATTGCAGTACTTAAGCAATTATTTTAGTATTTTTAATTTTTAATTACAATATACAAATATTTATTTATATTTATCTATATTTTAGAGAACCTTAAAGAACAAAATAAACATTTGGAAGAAGAAAATTTAGCTTGGAAACAAAAAGTAGAAACGGCAGAAAAATCAAATGTCAAGGTTGGTTATTATTTGAAATATATTTATAATTTGAATTTTCATAGCTTTCAAAAAATTAATTTTTGAATTTTGATTGTAGTTAACTAAAGAACTTGAAAAAATTCGGATCAATATGGTAAATCTTGAAGAACAACTTACTAATCTTTCACGCAGTAATGGTTCTAAGCAGTATGATACAAATGTGGATTTTATAGTAAATGATTTAAAAAAAAAACATAGTCAAGAAGTAGCCAACATTCAGGATCAGTACAAAAATGTTTTAGAACAAATGAAATCTAAAGTATTATACATATTTTTGCTGTTGCTTATTTAATATGTTTATTTTTGTTTATTTAAATTTATTATAGGATCGTCACTGTACACTATTGACAAATGAACTAAAAAAACTTCAACAAGAACACCATCGTATTATAATTGAAAATAATAATTTGATTAGCAATTTAACAAAAGAATTAAATGCTACACAGAAAGATAAATCATCAAATTCCAATAATTTTGGCGAAATTATTAGCCTGAGCAGTCAACTTATGGAATGTTCCAAACAAAATCAAGAGCTAAATAGTACATTACAACATCTAACAGTGAGTGAAAATAAATTTAATGTAATTATTAATTTAGCAGATTTTTGTTTTAGGCTGAAAATGATAAATTGCGTTCTAATCTAAGTGCTTCACATGGCAATATTGACAAATATAATACAAATGATGTTACCAAACTAGAAGAAGATTATCATAAAAGTTTAGAACTGTTACAAAAACATAAGGATGAAGTAAAAAAATTAACAGAAATATTAAACAACAAAGAAAGAAGTATTGCTGAAATGGGAAAAAAAGAAGTAACATACAAACAGTGTATGCTTAAAATACAGGTATATCTAAAAATGATACATATATATATATATAATTTATTTATTTATTTTTAACATAATTAAGTTTTTTAAATTGTATTTCATTAATTTTAGCAAGAGTTAGAGAAATATCCTCGTGACAAAAGTCATAGCAGTGAACATTCGAATCATGATTGTGAAACATTAAGAAATGTTTTAGAAATGCAACTGGAAGATACCATGTGCAAACTTATACGAACAGAAGAAGACATGACTCTTCTTTCAAAACAAATGAATGGGCTAGATAAGCCGTCAAACACTAGTTCAATTGCAGAATATATGCATTATCATAAAGTGTCATTGGAAAATGTTGTTAAACAAAAGGATGATGATATAGAAAAACTTAAGTATGCATTTAAACAAAGTTCATACATTTTTTATCAATGTTTTTTATATTATTTTACTTGTCAAAATATTCATTTTGATTAAATTACTGTAATAGTATTCACTATTAAAAAATATATAGAATAAATTAATATTGTTATTTAATTTTGAAAAAAAAATTCCCTCTAAATTATGTATTTTAATTTGTAAATTTATATTAACTAGAAATCGAATGGATGAATATGTAAAAGAAATTGATGAACTTAAACAACTTTATGTTAAAGTATGTTCAGAAAAAGAGCACAGTTTGAACGAAAACGAAAAATTAGAAAAACGTTTTGATGAACTATCTGCTCAATTTGAAACAGTCAATAAGCAATTTACCACTGTATTGAAAGGTGAGATGAATTTATTATTTTTCTTGTTTATGATTAACTTAGTAGTTAAGCATTTTTAATTTTATAGAAAAAGAAGAATTAGCAATCAATATAATCACTATGAAAAAAGAAATAAGTGAAAAACAAGATCCTTTGCAAAAACAATTGGTAAGCTTTTTATATTATTTATATTATTATTAATATTATATTATAAATAAAAATACTTACAAAGAGGAAACTAAGAATTTGTGTCTCTTTATTTCCATTTTAGTTTTTACAACTGTTATAGTATTAAATAAAAATAAATTAGTTTTACTATTAATCATATTATATTAGATAGCCTATACAATAGTAATTTAGTTTTATGTGTGTTATAAGTTCAAATTCTGATAATAATCTTAAAAAAAAAAATGTTATTTTGTATACTTATTCAAATTTATGTATGTATAAAAGTTGTATGCTCGTGTTGAAAATTGGATAATGCCAACTTTTTTATTAGATTGTATAATGATGTTAGTTTTAATATAAGTGTGAATTGGCCTATTATAAAACTTAGGTAAGAGCATTGTTTGTTTTTATTTTTAGATATTTAAATTTTAAAGCAAGGTATGAGTATGTAAAATCTTTAAAATCGCTTTATCTTGCTTAGATTTTAAAATATTCAGAAAAAATGAATGTACAAACATAAAGACAGACTAGTTCACTTTCTTATAAAAACCTATAAGAAACTCGGTTCTAGTGAACAAAAAGTTGACATCTAATTTTAAACATTAGTTGTAACGTGTTAAACTTTTTTGGCTTTTAAGAATGTTAAACAATTTGAGAGAAATGAAAAATTATAATTTTTTTTTTAGTTACAAATTAATTCAATTTTTGAAAATTGAGTTTATCAAAACATGTTTGATGAAACTTTGTTCTCAGTTATTTTTTGTCAGCAATGGTTCATATTTGAATTTACACTAACATAATGTAAAACACTCATTATCTCAGAAAGTATTAACTTTATTTTTAGAATTTGTTTTTTTAAAATATTAAGGAAAAAGTAGTTTTTAAATGTTACATTATAGTTTTTTTTTTTTTTTGGAATTTTAAGTGGTGAAATTACTATCTATTTTTGTTTTTCAAACAGTAATTTATGCTAGACAGATTTATGCTTGTGGAGTGTTAGTTTAAATTAATTTTAGTGTTAAAATGTTTAATTTTCATCTATTTGTTGACAAGATATTTCATTTTAAAGTTTTGGTGGGTAGAGTGGTGAAACATTATTAAAATGCTACTTTGTGGTCACATAAATGATGCATTACTACGCTCCCTCCACCAAAACATCAAAGTGGAATATCTCATCATCAGATTGATGGAAATTAAATATTTCAACATCTAAATTGATATAGGTTGCCATTTGAAAACTAAAAGTTGGTGACAGTTTCACACTTTAAAATAAGGGTAACAAAAAAATTTGTAATGTTTTAGAGCTGCTTATTTTTTAAATCTTCTATAAAATAAATTCTGAAAATAGTGAATACTTTCTAAAATAATGAATGTTTTATGTTATTTTGATTACCTGTAAATATATACAAAATAGTATTTTATATGTCATGCCTTCCTAACTTCTTCCTTAAAATAGCTCATTGTATGAAGTATGGTCATATTTTTAAAAATACAATTAGATTTGGGGAAATATAATTATTTCATAACTTAAAATGTATTACTTACATTTATACATATTTACATATATTTACGTACATTTATTATTAAATAATTAAATATGTTTTAATTTTCAAAGTTAGAAAAAGAAATTGAGAATTTAAAAAACGAATTGATGGCCCATAAACGTCAGAAAGAAATGATCGGGGAACTAAAAATTGAATTAATGCAATCAAAAGAAAGAGTTTTATCTTTGGAACAGCGATTACAATCTGAGTGTAATTCTAAGGTTGCTACTTATTTGAACCAATTAGAAAAATTAAAAAAACAGTATGATGAAAAGGTAAAAGTAAAAAGTAAAACAATTTATGTTTTAACTTTTTTTTTTTTTGTATGGCTATGGTTTTTTTTATTCAATTTGTTTAGGTAAATGAATTAAAACAAGCAAAAGATACAATTTCCAATTTGACTAATTCAGATTTACAAATGTCTACAAAAGTAATTAACGAGGAGAAAATATTAAGGGCAAAATTAGAAGATTATGAGAATTCATTGGCCAATATAGAAAGGAAACATAAACTTGCTATGAACGAAATAACCTATAAATATAAAAATGAATTGCATGAGTTGGAAATGCTTTATAATAAAAAATTCAGTATGCACATTATTTTAATATGTATTTAATATTCGTATATAAAAGGTATACAATTTAAAAGTTTAATTTCTATGGTTCAGATGAAGAAAAAGTTATGTGTGCCAAAATGATTGAAGATCTCAAGAGTAAACATAAAATAGAAATAGATACATTAAACACTGTGGCTAAACAGAATGCAACAGACTATGCTAGCCAGGAGTTAATAGAAATTGTCGCGAAACACGAACAACAATTTGAAAAAGCTAAAGAGATTGTTACATTAAAAAATAATACAGTAAATAATTAATATTATTTTATTTTCATTAGATTTTGTTTTCAACTCTTTTTAAATACAAAAAACTATGGTATTCAATATAGATTAAAGAACTTGAAACGAAATTGGAAAATGCCAAAATGGAAATTTCAATGAAAAATAGTCAATTTGAGCAACTTAAAGAAATGCGCTCAAGTATGTCCGACATAGACAAACTTAAAGAACAGATTGAAGAAGAAAGAAATAAATTTGCACAAATAATGACTAATTGGGCCCAAGAAGTAAGTTACAATGAATACAAATGTATTATGTTATGAAAATATTACCTTTAAGTAAATTAGATTTATATTTTTTAACTTATTTACTTCGGAATATTGAGTTGAAGTCTTGTGTGTTTTGATTAGATGCGTCAAATGAAAGATAAATTATCTACAACAGAGGCAGAGTGGGAAAAGTTACGAATCAAGTATACAAAAGTAAAACATGCTGCAATAAGTTATAAACATGCCAACCAGAAACAGGAGTTCATTTATAATGAACTTTTGGTGAATTGTGTTGGTTTCCTAGATGAACTTAAAACTAAAACTGATAATCTGTTAACGCACAAAGAAAACGAAATACAATTAGCACTTAAGGAATTTGAAAACGATTGCAAACAAAGACGCATAGCAATGAGTAATGATAAAAAATTAAGTAGTTTTAATATTAGTTGATCCTAATAGTTTATTAGGTTTTTTAGTTTTTTACTTGCCAATGTAATTTTTTTCTCAAACTTATGTTGTTAATTTTTATATTTTCCATCAAACACTGATGGTATTTATTATAAATTATGTTTTACCTTTTTGGTTATATACTTGTACAAATTATTACTGTTATAATATGAATATAACCATTTAAAATTACTTGTACATTATTATTAAAATTAATTGTACAAATATACTGTATTTCACTTTATTGTTACTTGCAAATGGTATTGTTTTATCAAATGAAATTGAATATCTATTTTGGATTTTGTTGAATATTTTCCCAAAACAGTTTGTCTAATTTTGGATAATGTAAAAAAGATCACATAATTTTTGTTATGTGGTTAGGTGAGTAGTTCATAAGATAAAGTGAGAAAAAATATATTTCTGGTTTTTACATATTAAAAATGTATTCAAGGATGGTCAATGATCATTTGAGCTATGTTTACTTAAGAAATCAAGATTTTTATATACCACCCATCCTACTTATACAAAATGGCCATATTGTAAAAAATATTATTCTAAAAACTGTAATGCGTGCCATATATTCATATTTGATCAACAATTTCTGAGAAATAGCAGTTTTAATTTCTAGAAAATTGGCGTGAAAATAATTAATCTACAATAAAAGATAATAGGAATTACTATGTTGATTGTGATTCCTCATCGCGTAATGTGTTATTCTGTGGAATATTAATTTTTTTCACATTAGTTTTCTAGAAATTAAATCGGCTATTACTTAGAAAATATTGATTGGATATGAATGTATGGTACATTATCATATTTTGAATAATATTTTTTATAAATTGGCTATTTTTGAAAAGTAAAAAAATAAAATAATCTTTTTTTTAAGGAATGCAAAAATAAAAATTATTTTTTTCTACATATGTGTCCCACTGACCCTAAATCTGATTGAAAAAAAAATCAATAATTTAGTTATATAACACTGAAGGACATCCTTGTATATTATATTCCTCAATTACTTAGCTATATATTAATTTTTTTTTATTATATTTGGCATATAAAATACTTATATTATACTAATATTAAAATAATATTCAGTAATAAAAAGATGATTGGTATAAAATCAATTAATAAATACATTTCAAATTTTAAGATGCAGAGTGATTTTTTTCTATCATGAACCAATTATCTCAGAAAATTTTAAGTGAATTTGATTTCTGTTTTTTCTAATTATTATGGAATCTTTTAAACTTTATTTTAAAATCATTTTTAATTTTTTTCCCCTCTCCATATACTTTAAATAAGTGCATACTTTAGAGGAATAGAGAAGGGGTACAGATAGGCAATTTATTATCTTTTCCTACTCCTCCTATTTAAACTTTTAACTATTATAACTCATAAACGGTAAATCTGATATTAGTATTATGCATATCAAAAATTCTAGAAAAATATACTCTATTCAAATCTGTGTTCAAAAAGGAGGGTTCCTATTTGAAAATCAAAAGTATGAACTTATTTAAAGTATATGGAGTAGGGAAAAAATTAAAAATGGTTTTAAAATAAAGCTTAAACGACTTCATAATGATTAGAAAAAACAGAAATCAAATTTACTTAAAATCCTCTGAGATAATGGTTGGTTCATGATAAAAAAATCACTCTGTGTATCATCTATAAGTGATAGACATTCATGTATTAAGATAAAAACCATTTTCAACAAAAAACAACGTTGGATAGGTGTAACTTTTATTTACTTGACAATTAAAATATTATAGCTTTTCATTAGATACCTAGTTAGAATAAAACGATGTACCTACACAAATTATAAATACCCCCTTACAACTTACAGTAAATGTTTTATTATTGTCAGACTTTTAATTAATAATTATAGGTAGGTGCTTATAATTAATAACTATATAGCCATACAGGTACTTGCATAAAATAATGCAACTATTACATTGGCTCTAATTAATATTTCGAGAATAGTTGACAATTAGTTTAAAATTCAAAAAACAAATATAAAGAACATAATTTTTTAATGAATTTCACTAAACAATAAATATTTAAACGGTCAGATTATTAAAATGAATATAATTATATTTTAATTTTGATTTTAGATTCTGAACGAACCGACACCGTAATGATTTTACAAGGATGATTATTATTTTTTATTTTTACAATTTTAAAAAACTTATGTTTTCTACTAAAAATCTTGCTTCAATTAAAGACCTTATTTGTCACACTTTGAATTTAGTTGCTTACAAATAAAGGGATTTTTTGATTTTTACAGTAGTTTTTATAATAATTAGGAAGAACGGGAATATTTACGAAAATAATGCTTTTATTATCTTCAATCTTTTTTTTTTTTTTTAATTGAGATAAAATATTCGTAGAGATTTTGGAATTTAAAAAGGAAATTCAGATCTAGACGTGGTAAAGTTTTCATAACATTTTTCCATTTTTGACCTATTTATAGACATTTAAATTTTGTGAGTTTTTCACGTAGTTATTATATGGTGGATAAAATTGTTCACTAAACAGAAATGCTTGAAAATTTAACAGGAGCAAAGGCGTAGCTAGACATATTTTTTGGGTGGGTCAGATAAAATAGTATAAATGTTTAAATGGGAAAGACTACGAGTACAAATTTTTGATTTTTAAAACTGTGTTAATTTTCGGAGAAAAGTGGATGGCTCCTATTTGCGCTAATTAGGCGCAGTATGTAAAATTTGCCCAAGTCGCCACGAAATGTAGTTACGACACTGAATACGGTCTCTTCCTATAGCTCTGAATATTGTGGCCAAGAGGTTGTGGGTTTTGAGGTTTTAAGGTTGTATGTAGAGCATATTCACATTATTATTAACTACTTACATATCGCACTCTCCGTAAAATAAGGCCATAACTGAAAAAAAAAAATCAAATGTGCAGGTAATCACTATGAATATTTAGAATTTAATGACAATTTTTTCACCACACAAAAAATAATAAAGCGCCTTGTTTCAATATAATATGGCCCAAGTGTTCTGACTCTAAAAACTCGTATTAGTCACAATTAGTTATACTCAGGAATCTAACATACACGTTCAATGCAATAAAGGTTTTTATATTATTAACACTAATATAAGGAGGTAGATGGCACCACTACCAAAAAAAAAAAAAATGACAACAATTACGATTTCATACGATACCATAAACACAAAAATCATAAATGTCGAGTTGTGGCCTTATTACATAGTGCAATGGTATATATTCGATTGAGTTTTTGAATAAAAGTGTATATTGAATTGTCCGCGAGAAAAAAAGCCAGGCTCGCGACAAATCGAAAGGAGGTCTGAGACAGGTTTATTGAGTACACAGAATCGATACGATGGTTATACATCACGGTCAAATTGTGTTGGCCAACAAAATAATGCAAACATGCATACGATTAACTGTATTCATTTGGCCTGGATGTTTTCCGAACGGAGATTAATAACACGCGAGAGAAAAACATGCAGCATAACGTACAGACCGAAAGCGAATAGACAACAATAAGTGAAAGCCGACAAGTCAGCGATGCGCCGCCACACGATGCATTTGAAGACGACGAATGCCCGTGAAATCTCGAAATTGAGCAGCAAATCGCCGATTCCGTCGGCGGGAACGGGGTCTCCGACAACCGGTGATAGACCATTGGCCGGCAGCTCGTCGACACTTCGGGCGCTGGCCAGGGACGTCGGGCCGTCGGCACGCGAAATCCGGCCGGGGAACGTCGGGTCCTCGTCGTCGGTTATTGGCGGCCGAGCGGTGATTGCGACTCTCGGAGCCTGTGGCAAGGTCCGAGGCGCCCGCGGGCCGTCGTGGAGCCGACAAGACGCGGCCGCCTACGCCGCGGTGGTACCGCCGTCCGTTTTCACGGCGCCGCCCGTCTTCACGAGACGCCAGATGGCGTACGACGTCCAGAGGACCACCGAGGCCCCGTAGAACATCGCGAACGCTACCACCATGTTTGCTCGCGTGGACGTCTCGCCGACGAATTCGTGAGCGTTTACGGCACGCGGCGTCACCGACCGCGGGGCTGCAGCGCTGATCGCGCGCCGTGGATTGTGGCGGGAGCTGTTCGGCTGGGCGAGACACCGGCAGCGGTGTACGGTAGCGAAACGGGAGCAGAACTTTCGCGGAACAACAAAGCGGTTCGACCGACAATACCGAGGGCGCGCGGTCCCCTGGGAAAATAATCGTTCGGCACCTCGATAATTAATAGTATTACGAAAAAAAAAAAAAAAAAAAAACGGGTATGGAAGAACACAATCAGTGGCGTGCAGTCAGAGTAAAACTAGGTAAGAGGCGCGTTCCCGGCCATCGGAGTAATTAAGGATGGCCGGAGGGGGCTTGGGCCCCGGGCAGTACAATTTTAGGGGCGGTAAATTTCGGAGAGCATTTTTATATAATTGTCATAGGTTGTATAGCCGATTAAAAAATAAAAAAAATGATAATAACAGTAATGATTGTTTTGCATTCTATGATAATATCAGGACATGGAAAAGTATATAGTGGTTACCGGTTTGAGATAATACCACGTTTATGTACTCGTAATCACAAATATTATTATATTTTATACTGTGCTTAAAATTATCATTCTTATCATATTTTATAGAATTGTTTTGTATTTATATTATTTATTTTTTTAATTGATTTTTGAATTGTGATAGTGAACCTCGTTCAAACTTCCAGTGTTTTAAACTGTATTTATTAATTTTCTGTTATTTATTGTTTAGAAAACAACAATTCCTAACTTGTACAATATACTTGTACTAATACAATGTCGTAATTTTTTATAAACTTTGTATAATTTATAATAAATGCACCTCTATTACGCTTATGTGTAATGTATATTGTATACCACTGAATGAATTTTTTATGTAAACCTAATATGCCTTTTAGATTCCGAGTATAACAAAAAATGCATTGATTTATGTTTACCTACCTAGTTCTAATAAAGTTTTTGGCCAAATTAGTATTTTATGCTATGGTCTAAAACTCATTTTCGTAATTTGAAGTCTTTCGAAGGTTATGTTAAGAGTCTTAATCATACAGTTTGTATTAGTAACTTTAAATACTACGTATTTATTTATGCTATAGTTTTCACTCTTTACTTCAACCAAATATTTTCTAGGTTTAATATTGTATTCTATATTTTTTGTATTCTAATATCAATTATCACAACATGTTATTTTACGTGGGTACAATAGTAATTGATAAGAGCAGATCCCCTAGCACAAGCTTGGCTTATATGGGGTGCTGCAGTTTAATTTACGTGTACCTAATGTATATTAAATGTACTAGCTGTTATTTTTTTGCAAAATATATTAATAATAATAATAAAAATAACTGATGATTTTTATAAATATATTTCTGAAGAAATGTGGGTTGGGGAGGAGGCTTTTTTTTTTTCCTTACCCGGGGCGTAAAATATCTAATCACGTTTTTGCCGTGTTTAGATATTTTAGAAATTTTATGATTTGGCGGAAACGTGAATCGGCGGAGAAGGGAAAGGTACATTTTTGGCGGAAACGGATAACTCCCGTTCGGCTAGTATCGTTACTATAGAAGCGACCGGTTATGGTAGAAGAGGGTAAGGGGTTATCCACGTTTTTATGTGGCGGTTGAAAGCGCTTTTCAATATTTTAGATTCTGAACGAAGAGAGGAATGTATTGGTTTTACAACGATGTTCATTTTTTTTTTTTTTTTTTTTTTACATAACTTTTCACATACATTCACCGACATTTGGAGTTTATTCCAAGTGCATTCTCACCTCGTTAAACATTTGGCTGTAAAAATAAAGTAAATAAAAACAAACTACAGATTGTATTATGGGTACATTATTTATACGTTTTCTATCATCATTACTATGACGCGTGTAGGTTGTGTAGCGTTTAGCTATATTAACGTAATATTAGAAAAAAAAATATTTATTTACATTTTTTCGGAATTCTATCATTTATGCATTGTTTCCAAACAATTCATGGAAAATGCATCTATTATCATCGATTTATATTTTTTATTTTAATTACCGCACTATTGTAACGAGTGCGATCAATTTGATTTAGTTACTGACATACTCACCAGATTCGCTTGTGGATCTTAATTTTTACATTTTTTTTTTTTTTTTTGTAGGGGTTGTGACAAGTTTTTGTTTACCGTTAATCGATTCGTTGCGCTTTTTTGTTTGCTTATTAAACTATGATAACAATTTTGTTATAGTGTCTACCCAAACGTAACACCACGGTTACCGTATGCCTATTTGAACATGTATTTATACCGTATTATTATACAACAGACTTGCGAAGGAACGCGTTCCTATTCAAATAATAAAGGAACGAGGAACGGGAAAGAGTTTCTATTTATGAGAAACGTCTCGCAAATTTCCGTTCACCCCATTATAAAAAAAAAAAGAAGCTCACGTTATTTAATGATAATATTGTCTAGAAATTACTAAGTGTCGGTATCACTCGTCAGTCACTAACAAATTACCGCAATATATTATTACGATAACGTAATGGGTACCGAATTTTCTAATTTTTAACATACAAGGTGTATAATATGATAATATTAATAAAAACACGTTTATATACTTGTGTTACCGTAATATAAACGGTGTCCGGTGCTAATGGTTTAAAATAATAAAAATGAATAATAATAATAAAAAAAAAAAAAAAAAAAAATAAAAGGAACGTTTTAAGGAACTTTCCCAATATTTTTGTACATTAATACAGATATTTTTAATTTTATTAACAAGAATTCACATCAAGAATGCTGTTATTAATCATTATCGATTAAATTTAAAAAAACATAATAAATACCATTTAGATTCAGTGTGTGGTGAAGTAGCTATTAGTTTTACAAAGACGTTTATTTTTTTGTTCATTCTCGGATATCATTTTTTCATCATATTTTACGTAATTTTAACAGTATAAAAACAGTTGGCAACATAATATATATACATATGTATTAACGATACATCGGCATTTTTTTTTTCGTTAATTTCCAGTTTACTTCGGCTACAAGAGCTAAATACGCGATTAATACCTTGCTCCGCTCACAGTCGTTTTATGAATGCGATGATTTATGTTTGCTTTCAGTATATAAACCAAATTACTACATACTGTAATATTGTGTGCTCTCTCAACTTCCCGTCTACAGCAGTGGTCTATCTAAGTATATTATTCAAAGTATAAAACAATATTATTGATCAATGTAATTTATGGTTTTTTTTTGTTTTTGTTGTTTGTATTATGTAGTTATGTATTATGAGTCTAGATGAGTTTAAAATAATAATGTAATAACACATACATATAATTATAAGTGTCTTCAAGATTATTTTCAGGAATTGCCGCTTAACTGTGTCATGATTCTGAGGAATTCATCATCTGGGAAAACAACGAAAGAATAATACATTTATCTCAGTATAGTTTTGTAGTAAGATCATAATATGTATACATACGAAATTTCATATGTGATCAGAGGTGCCGCGAGGGGGGTGCAAGGGGGTGCAATTGCATCCCCCGGCTTTTCAAAAAAATGAATATTTAAAAATAATTGGATCTTTGGAAACAGCTGAGTAACGTAGCCATGGATAAATGGCAAACCATTTTAAACAAAATTCTCTCGTAGAGTCGTCGGTCAAATCTTTTTTAAAGTCATATTTTTTCGGAGGAACTCAGGGCCCTTTCAATAATTTCAAACGTAGTTCATCAACTCAATAATTTAAATACAATCCAATATCTAATTTATTAGCACCAATAATCAACTTATGAAGGAGTTGTGGCACTTTTTTTTGTTTGTCATTTGTTTATTGATATCTATAGTAGGTAATTCAATAACCGGTCTCATGACTGTCTTTTAAACTAATTTTATCCTCACTAATACTCAAACTGGTACTCGTATTCGAATCAATTTTACGTTTCTTTTGGAAAAAAATTAAGTTAATAATAATAATTGATATTTAGAATTAGGTTAAGTTAGGATAGGTTCTAAATAATGGTTTAATAATAATAATCATTATTATTAAACCATTATTTAGAAATCAGCGTAATTACTATGCACCCCCTCCCTGAAAAATATCTTGATGGCGTCTATGTATGCGGTGTTTATAATACTGTTATTAATTATTATAGTAATGGGCAGGTTGGTGCAATAATATTAATACGGTTTCGGAAGATTAAACAACAAACAATACCCATAGGTGGTTACGGGTATGACTACAGAACAAAAAAAAAATAACAACAAAGTGGTGGTATAAACTTGGAAGGTGTTACAAATATTTTACAAAAGGTGGATAATCGCAAACAAACACAAAACTATTACCATTGAAATTGTTAAGCTATTTTCGGGTTAATGTTAATAATAAATTGTTACGTGTACAACGGTGTAGCGATCGCTTGGTAACTAAGGATAGGGTAGTTCATACATTTGTCTTTATCCGGTGCATAACACACGGGTAATTTACGGAGTAATTACACGTTAACGGAAATGATTATAAGAAGTAAGAACACAATCCAGGATATAATATATAATATGTATTCAAATACAACTGTGTAAGCATAATAATTGTTATTTTTTTTTTTCAAAAACCCTGCGATATACATATAATATCGAACGTACAAAGTCAAAATACAATACATAATATGTAGTCATTTTAACCTTGTTCAAAAACACTACGGATTAAATTTGGTAAACTTGACTATATAAGACTAAAAGTACTATATAATAATAAATATTCATAGCAATATTATAGTAACAATATTGAATTTCACAATATTATTTAAATATTAACTTTTTTTTTTTTTTTTTAATGCAAGAGGTATATAAATTAGTTTTTAAGGTACAGTAATAATAATAATAATAATAATAATAATAATAATAATAAATTATTCTTAAGAGAGAAAGAGAGAAAATGACGGAGAGAGAGAGAGAGTAAGATAGTGATACACAAAGAAAAACAAGTTCTAGGATTCACAACGATCATAATAATAATAATAATAATAATAATAATAATAATAATAATAATAATAATAATAATAATTAGTCTACTGGATATTTATAATAATAATATACTTAAATATCTCTAACAAAAAAAAAAAAAAAAACAACTAATAAAAAACTAATAATCATATTCCAAAACCGTTGCTACAATCAATATAATAATATAATCTAATAACGGTTCAAAATATGGGCGGTTAACAATAATAATTATAATAATCGTAAATAATTCGTCGTGACAAAATAATAACATTGGATTTACGATAAAACAATATTATAATCGAGACATTCGCCAGCGCAAACCGATTTGAGACACTTTTGTTGATTGAAATCTGCGCTATCAACGATTCCAGTGCATTAACGATTTACACAGGTTTAGCTAGAAATTCAAGGCATTAAAACCGATTTCCCGCATTACGCGACGGCATAACTTATCAGATGGCATTTCCGCTATAATCGCTAACACAAAAAGCAAAGGTACCACAGCTGATAAATTAATGGGACATGGTCGGGGGCAAATCGGGTTCGGTCATTGCAACAGGACCACATCGTCAGGTCGGTCGAAAAAACCTAAGCCGGCTAGCCACAAATCTGAATCGGTTTACTCTGACGGATTTCTGCAAAACCACGACGGTTCACTTTTTTAGGGGAAATTCATAGAGCTCTGCATTGGTGGATTTCGCGAGTATCGTTAAGTAGATACTAGATTTTTAAGTAGAGTGACATTTCGTTTTTTTTTATTTTATTATTATTTTTTTTAATCATTTACCGTTCCTTGATAGCAGATAAATAGGATATTGGGATTACGGGTCGGGATGATGGATGGGGCGTCTTTTCGGTTTTCGTCGAGTACAGAGGTGTGGGTAAAAATCTCGAGCGGCCGTTTAAGAATTTCCATTGACCTCCTATAGTTCCTATAGGACCTCCATTCCCTCCTAAAGTTATAGTTCTGTTATAATATAGTAAATATATTTAAAATTATAATATTAAATAGATATTAATCGGTGTAGTGTTTTATCTATAGATAAACGTATGTTTTATATATTATCCAGCCGAACGCGAAATGAGTTATCCGATAATTATTAAACCACCTGGATAAATCTAAGATCTAGGTATAAATCGTTTTCGATATTATCTATGTAATGCAATATGTTAAGAGTTGATAACAGGCACATTTATACCAAAATGATTTATCGCGTCACGATCTTTTTGGTAATTTAAATGTGTCCGGTACACTTTTAGTACTTAGTTTTATGACCGGTGTAATGATTTCCTTTTTTACTTTCATTTACGTGAACATTTGCTCTGATCGTCGTGCACATTTTATTTTCACCGAGACAAATCATTCTACGGATTATTTTTTATTTTTCGTTTAAATGTTTCGAAATGTTAACTTTACGCAACACCGATATTAACCGCCTTATTATAGGCTCGCACTGTATACGCACACGGGAATATGCAGATAGAAACCTCAGGAAAACCGATAACCCCGGGTTAGTTGTTTAAGGTTAGTAATAATTATACTATTAATATATATATATAAAAAAAAAAAATGCTAACAATAATATTGCATCACATCAGTATGTGATAAAAATTTGCGATATGGTCGTGTGTGGAACGAGGGATATGCAGTTGTTAAATACGAGATACGCTAAATCAATATGTATATTCTTACAGGCGACGGTACTAATTATAATTTATAACATCTTTTTTTGTGCGCGATGTTGCGGGATATGTTGAATTCTTCGGTATCGATTTAAACTACGTTCGAAATAATTTGTTGGTGATAGGTACTCGTAAGTGATATGCCGAAATCTTAGGGGGAAAAAAAATTCGAACGAATAACAATATTAATAAATTAAATGCTCGCCGATCTATGTAGGTAATAATACCGTTAACATTGTTTGTGGGTTTTCGTTTTTCGAGTGCGTGTGAATATTGCGGAGTTTTTTTTCTTCAAAATATTGAATTAATGAGATCGCGAACAAAACAAAATATAAAAAAAAAAAAAAAAAAAAAAAAAAAAAAAACAAAAAAAAACATGTACTTAATCTATTATTTATACAATTATATAATATGTACCGAGAAAAACAAAATGCTTACCCTTTTTGTGTTGCACAAAAAATTATTAATATTTTAATTTTTTTTTTTTTTTTTTGGTTTTTTTTTATAGCACGCACTTAATTTGTATATTATAAGTATGTAGGTAAATAATGTAAATATCTATGCGTTTATATTATTATGAAATATACAACGCTTATGTATTATTAATATAATATTGTACGAGTATATTATAATTTAACATTTAAAAAAAAAAAAATTATTAAAAAAGAAAACACATGCAACTTAATAATTATTATGACGACGTGTCCTATATAATACAGCGGCGTGACCAGGATTTGTCGAAAGGGTCGAGGGGGTCCATACGTGATAAACGATTTCATTGGCGCAACGAGACACGATTTTTTGTTTTTTTTTTTTTTTAGTAACGGCGTTTCCGCAACGTTTCAAATCAAATTATTTATTTTTTTGTTTTCGTAAATGGGTAAATTTAACCGCTGTTGAATGGACCCGGAGCCCATTCTCCTGGTCGCGCCACTGGTCGTCCGTACACGAATAATTAATAACGTTATTGTATTATATTGTCAGCGGCTACTAGTCATTTTTAATTTTGTTCATTCGCGCAAAATCATCCTTAAGGCAGACCCTTAACACTCTGTGTGTGTATACTATGCGTATAGATATTACAGGATTAACGTTACATTAATAATACAGCGTGTCGATGGTATACCGAACAAAACACAAATTTAATAATTGTCTTTCACCCCGAAAACACTCTAAGCGATGGCTATGCAAAACCGCGATTAATTATTATTACCATTAAAATGTATAATGTAAATACCATAATATTATCTAAAATACAAATTCATTTGATTGTCTCTAATATTGTTATTATAATAATATAATAATTTGATATCGAACAATATTATTATAGGTAATATAAATACTACGATAATTTTTTTTTTTTTTTTTTTTTTTTTTTTGGTTTTGGTTTTTTTGTCCAAATATTATTATTATGTATTATTAGTCTATTAAAATATATATTATTATAATAATATATAATATAATATATGTGCGCACTGCATTTCCATTTTGCAGTTATATACCGAATATAATATAATTTAATAATATAGATTTTGACGTACCATTATAACAGGTATTATCATAGTTTTATAATATATATAATTTTTTTTTATTTTTTTTTTTTTTGTAAATTTCGCTTCCCTGACTAATATTTATTTATCACAAACTTTATTATTATTATTTTGTAAATTTTCAGTATAACATTATTATTACGTAATATTATATTGAAAAAAACAAAATTATTATTTTTAATTAGGTATATAATAATAATAATAATAATATTACAATATTATTATTGTTACAGTAAGAATATAATACGAGTGTTAAAAAAATATCCTTAATCATTTTGCTGTATAAATAATCTTATAATAAAATCAAAAACGAAAAAGAAACCCCGTAAATAATTGAAGATAAAAAAATTGTGCGCGCCAAAAACATAATATCGTTGTATTTATTATATCGGCGATAACATAATAAGTTTTGTATTATATTTTTTTTTTTTTTTTAATTGTTTGTTTTTAATCACTAACCTTTTATTTGCCACCTGTGGGCATACCCTTTCGCGCCATTGACACAGCTATGTAATATTATTATATATTATAATATTATAATATATGGTGCATGTGTGTATACGCATTTACAACGACGTATAACATTATCATCATCGGTACAATATGATTCATATTTTTGGTGCATGCACTGTTTTTTTTATAATAATATTTTATACGGGGTAATCAATTCTCGACGAGACACTCCTTGTTACCGCGGAGTGTAGGCATGTTAACTGTTTTCGGATATATTTTGTTTGAACGTTTAAGAAACAGTTTTAAAATCACCCATCGCCGTTAATTTTCGTCACCCGCAATTCCGGAGATCATATTTAAAGTGCGACCGACTGGCTTTCTCCTACCGGGACTTTAAAGTGGAATATATCGACGGAAATCCAAAAATGACAACACCGAAATGTATTTCAAATTGAAAACGCCATCCATTCACGGAACATTTAATACCGGTTTCCTATTTGAAAATCAAAAACGAGAGTTACCTAAAAATAACGTTGATGCATTATTTTAGAGCCGCTTGGTGTTTTATCTTCTGAAAAATATTAAGACTTTCCGGGACAATTTCATTTTAACCACCCAACGAGTGTCTTATCGAGGATCGATCACACTGTATACAATGAAATTATAAATATATTATTATAATAACATAACGAAGGAAAAAAAAAATAATGCCTACATTAGTAATTATAACACTCCTAATGTTATACATGTATGCATTATGAATTCATAATAATAATATTGTTATTATCATTATACGTAATATTATTATTCCTAATGCGAATATTATAACATTGTATTAATAATATAATATACAATTATAGTGCGTCTATACAAGGGGGTGATGATCTATATTGTTATTTGTAATAGCGATTATGGGGGGGGGAAAAAAAAAAAAATTAAAGAATTATTTTTACGTAACCGGAAATATCAGTAATTATTATTGCACACCGTACGTGTAGTATTTATGTGAAACAATGCGGTTTCCGTTAAATACACAATCGTCGACCTATTATTATATTCTATCGCTACGCCTTATGATAAATTATTTTAATTTTATATTATAAATTTTTGGCACATGATTCACGTCGTATCGCAAACACGCGCGATCAGTGCCGCGGCGTCGTGCCACTTGCACGATCCGTACGTGGGTGTGATCGGATCCGAGCAATAAGCGAATACCGTGTTCGGATCTAAATCGCAACCGATAACGGATCGGGATCAGAAGAGCCCGACGCCTGGCGCACCAATCGCGCGTATTATTGGATATCGTTACAACCGCGCGCGGTGGCGGTTATTGTTTAAAAATAGTTTTTTTTTTTTTTAATTTTTTTAAATTTTTTCTTAATATTATTAAGAAACTTAAGTTTATGTAGTATTATTATTATTATTATTTTTTTTTAAACCGTCCACACTCGAAAATCTATAAATGTTACTGTATTACGAACGTTAAACCGATCGTGTTATAGTTTGTCAACCAATACGCGATCAATGAATAATATAAAAACGCCTCGGTCCGGCGGCACGGTAGTCGCGAGTTTCTCCGCGGATTTCGTTTCCATCCGCCCCCAGGCATCCGCGAATCACCGTCACTGTGAGCGGAGTGACGCGCGCGTATTACGGGCCGGCAGTAAAACAACGCGCCTATCTAACGCGCCTATCTAACGCGCACATCTAACGCGCACATCTAACGCGCCTATCTAACGTGCCTATCTAACGCGCCCATCTAACGTGCCGATCTAACGTGCCTATCTAACGCGCCTATCTAACGCGCCTATCTAACGTGCCCATCTAACGTGCCTATCTAACGTGCCCATCTAACGCGCCCATCTAACGAGCCTATCTAACGTGCCCATCTAACGCGCCCATCTAACGCGCCTATCTAACGCGCCTATCTAACGCGCCTATCTGACGCGCCCATCTAACGCGCCTACATTGCACCGTAAACAGGGCGAGACGGCGGTATATTATTATTGAACGTTATTGTGCGATGACGGGTCGGAGCGGTAAAAGATCAACGGAAATACAATACAGAAGAAAAAGATTAAGTCTTATTATAATAATAATAATAATAATAACGGTATCATTATCGTATCGTAATGATGAATGTACGTGCGTTCTAAACTATGCATAATTATATTGTTATATTACGAAATCGACCGTTACATTATAATAATGGCGGCGTTTTAATTGTACGTTATCATTAAATTACGATTATGCGTAAACCTAAACTAAGAGTTATATTATATCGTATTGCTATTTTTTTTTTTTTTTTTTTTTTTTTTTTTTTTAACTTAAGTTTTTTCAATAATATTATATATCGTTATAATGTCCGGTCAATAACGGTTTGGGTCGAAAATTACGGTTTCGAAATGCGTTTTTCGGATAAAGAAAAACAAAAAAAAAACCCAACAAAATAAAAATCCAACCAAACCGTAAATAACAATAATAATAATATCCCTCGATTCTAATATTTACGCGTCGAACCGATTAATCAACGAGTATCGAGGAATAATGATATTATACAGTCGATAGACGGTTTGTTCCGGCACAGTGTTTCAAACGCGTTGTCAGCATTGTCAGCAGCAGCATAATACGCCGTGCGGCGAAAACAACAAGTGTCGAAACTGTCGTTTTAGCGGCGGTCCGCCGGAACGGTTTCCGACAGCGTGTCTCGGTGCGCGGCCGTTACCGCGGCTGACCGAGACGTTGTCCGTGTCAATCCAGGTCGTTCGGATCAGCTATACGAGATTTACGATCGCGCGTCGCCAAATTCGCTAATGTTTCACAAATTTTCGCAAACTCGTTTACAAACGAACAATGTTCCGTTGGGTATTCTGTACTCGCGACTAAAATAAAACGCTTATAACGCCGGAGGAACGAGAAATGAGATGACAATCAGTAGTATGCGACGCCGTCCGAAAACGATAATCAGATAAATGTAAATAAATAACGCACGCGCGGAACTCGCGACCGAACGTTGAACCGGCAACGGGGAATCGCTGTTTCCGACACGTTAGCGACGTGTTGCCGCGCCGCGGGAACGGAAAACATTTCGTGAGACGTTACACACGTTATCCGTTGGAACGCGGTTTTGGCTGCGCACGCGCGCGCCGAGAGTTTACAACACTATGCCGGAAAGAACCTAGTGCGATGTATTGTCATTATTGTTAATGCCTATAGCACGTGGCGTGCCTTATCTATGTGGAATAATGATAATAATATGGTAATCGAAATTGTGCGGCGAAACGAGCGCCCGGTTTCGCACGATTTACATAAAATCAGCAACAGATATACGAAAACGAAAATCCTACAACCCTACAAAACAAATAATAATAATAATACAATAATAATGCAGATTAGACGACTCTAACGATCTGCGGTTAAATATTATATAACTTCACTAACGATTAAATTAACACAATGTGAATAATTAATAAAAATAAAAAAAAAATCGTTAACGCTAAATAACCTTAATAATGATAATAATCTTGTTTAAAAGTAAAAACAAAACGAGACAATAAAATAATAATAGTATCGTTATGTATTAATTATTTATAACTAAATAGTAATAAAAATTGGTATTTTTTTTTTTCTAAGCCTATCAAGACAGGAAAATAATTGTTTCTTTTTTTTTTTTTGTTTTTGCAATTATCGCCGCCGTCTGATAAACATAGTATACCTTATTTATACGGTGTTGTTCGCGTTATCATTTTTTGTTTTGTTTTTTTTTTTTGTTTTTTTTGTTTTGTTTTTGTCGTTTCATATCATATTTGTCCAAATGCCCACGTTTTCCCGTACAAATGATCTAAAACAAACATCGAATATCAATCAAAATATATTATAACAATACATTGTTACATTATGACGATATAATTGTAATCTTGATGCGCTATAATATAAATGTTAATTTTACCGGTTTCACCGTACTTTATACGAACGACTTCAAAACACTATTTTAACGACGAATAAATTATTTATGAGGTCGATGAATTTTTTTTTTTATATATGTATATACATATAAAAATCGTGTAACGCGAAGATCTCGCATGTCTGACACCTAAAATAACATTCGTTCTGTTTAAATAATTTTTAGCTTTTAGTACTCCCGTGTTCAAATATTAATGTGGTTTTTTTTTTTTTTTTTTAGGTCTGGGAACATTAAATAAAACATTTCTTATTTTTTACTTTAAGTTCCTCTGCTTAAAAAAAAAATTAGTATTTAAATATTGTACAGGCAATATTGATAAAACATATTAATAATTATAATACAAAAATATTGAATAAAAACAAATCTGTGTGTCTGATCTTCGTGTTACACCCTGTATACATAAATTGTCAAAATATTTTAATACACCTAGGTAATACGAGTTTGATTTCATTTTTTTTAAACATAATTGATTTAATATTGACTGCATTGACCTTCACGCCTTTAAATTGCATACCCGAGGTGCCGCGTTATACGAGTAGGTCGTACTGCCGATCATCGTAGTTGGTATGTACAATAGGATGTTCCTTAGCTATACAGACGATGAAAAAAAATATCAACATTTTTTTTGAGCTTGCCCCTTCAAAACGTGTGTATGTTTATAAAAATGAACTACGAAAAATGTTGAGTCAATCAAACAAGGTTAACCCGTGCCGATAATTGAACCTGAAGTTTGAATTAATTCAATTTTTCAATATTTATGAGAATTTTTTTTATATTTTTTTAAATACTTCGCAAACCGTTCAGTAAATTTAAATTATTTATATTACATGTTTTAAACAAAACGGAATCGTCTAAAATAAATTATATTTAAACACGTTTTTAATATCTTCTGCTGTTCAAAAGGTGTATCGACTTAAATGTACAAAAATACCGTATCCTCAAAATGTTTACTGTTTTAACTAAAAATAACTAACACTAATGGTAAATATCTATTAAATATTCAATATAATCAAATATCAGATGTTATATACTATTGTATGTGACAATTCTTTAAATAATTTTGTCTTATCGTATGTTTATCGTTTAACAGATAAAGTTTATATTAGTTTCCAACAAGAGTCTAGCGACTTATTTATTACGCACCGCTGTGTTATGCGTATCGTGTGTTTAGTTTTGTATTTGTGTATGTTAAACTTATTTATTTTAGTATTTACAAAATATTTGTAATTTTTATTAATTAATTAGAGTTAAACATCGAAAAAACGAACAAAATATATTTTTAATCGGAACTACAGAATTATTTATACAATAATCCAAGAACATTTTTAAATTTTATATTCAATATGCGTTCAACAAATTAAAATAAAACACAACATAACATATTTAATATTACATGATTTAAATAATAACCAAGTCTTATGAAAATTGATATTTTTTTTTTCCGATTCTATTAACTATGTTTCTTACGCGGTAGCTTATTTTTATCTATAGTTCATATTGGTTGATCAAAAATTTTATACTTCGTAATATGTAAATTACGGAAATATTTATACTTGAATTGTATTTTTATTATTTTTTGGTAGAAAAAAAACTGACTATTTTATTATTTTCGAAAAAGTTGAAGATTTTATAGAGTTTGTTTCTTTTGACAGTTTCGGAGTTTTAACATTTTGATTTTAATTAAATTTGTGATTTTTTATAATTGTTTTAAAATCCAGAGAAAAAAGTGTATAGTCAATATTAGCTCTAATAATAATTATTATTCCGATTACCTATGGAACGTTATAATCACATTTGCCGATTAATTATTATTATTATGGGTACTTGACTGTACATTCTTTTGTCTGAACTTAAAAAAATTATAAACAAAACATAATTCGATTATATGTATTATATTAAGAGATTTTGCAATCGGTATAATATCTTCGTAGAACACTCTATGTAATGTCGTTTTTTTAAAACGAGCAAAACAAATTATAAATGATTTAAATTAGAAAATGTTTCAAATCACCATTGTATTTAAAAAAAAAATATTATTATTATCTCACATACTCAACGCGGATACATTTTAAAATCCCAGATTAGTGTATATTGGATTATTTTGCATACACATACATTTCATTCTATAATAACATTATGCAGTTGCATAGATATCAGACAAATATGACATTCATATATTATATTTATATCAGTGGCGTGTAAAATACCATTATTTTTTCACGTGTGAGGTACAGAAAAATTTTACATTTAACACCGCCATTATACCACGCATCTCATGGACAAATCAGTATTGTAAATTCTTATCTATTAGTCGTTACTTCAAACTCACTGTTCTATGGTTTTAAATACTTACGCATCCAGGCATGTACGAGCGTCCCAAGCTTTACAGTCTTTGTCACGCCACTGATATACACAATATTATGTAGTACAATAGAAATAAGTCGTTTTTTTGGTAAAAAAAAAAAAAAAAAATTCGCCTACCTCATTTGCACACACCGATCTAATGAATTGGAGATTTGACGATGTGATTGGGCGATACGTAATGATACCCGGGCAGAGGAAGTCCGGACGTTTCCATAGATATCCTAATAACAACAATTTACGATAAGAACATGAGAAATAAGAAAATTTCAAGTAAATTTTTATATATGCGTAAAGGTGTATAATATTATCATAATAATAATTATTAGTTAATAACAACGAGTATACGGCGATCAAAACAAACTGATGCGCGCGCATCGTCAATTACCTATAATAATGATAATAATATTAATAATAATCATAATATAGGTATACACTTGCACTACGTGTACAGAGGCGTGGGCGTAGGCTATTTATTAGAAAGGTGGCGGGAGGGGGGGGGCTGCTTTAACTATCGATTATTCGTAATAGAAGTGAATCGAGAGTTGATAATATTATTTGCCCGAATCAATTGCGAGGATTTTCGAAATGTTGGGTCAAGGGGGTGGGGTCTGCGAAACACTCCTCCCTAAATCTCCTTACCTACGCCCCTGTACCAGTGTATAATAATGTTTTATTTATAAAATGCCGAACTTACTGACCTCGACCAATACGTATATACCAATACATATACCGTATATTCAATATATTGTATATACATTGTATATTCGAGTATATTATATTGTGTATTATAATAATACAAGTTCGCATTCGGTTTCAACAACAATAAAAAAAAAAAAAAAAAAATATCAAATATAATAAAAATACGTTTGCCGAACGACATGCATGCACATATTGTATTATATGTATTATTTAAATAGGCGCGACGAATGACGATGGGACACTACCTATGTATTCTTCAATAACCAAAATAACAAAAAAAAAAAAAACACAACTCCGCGGAAATATTGCAATATTTGTACATTATAATATTATATAGTCGCATGCACATAATATCCCCGTAAAGAGATTATAATATAACATTTGTTTTTTTTTTTTCCATGCACTTCAAAATATAAAAATATGTTCGTACCCGAACCAAATAAATAAATAAATCAACTAATCAAAAAATAAAAACAAACAACGGGATGTATTATTATTATTGTAATATAATGATGATAAACTGCACAATATTCGAAATTATATGGTAAAACATTATTGTATATCACAAACGCAACAATATTATTATAATATCATATAAAACACAATGTTCTAAAAAATATATTGCATTAACAACAACAAAAAAAAAAAAAAAAAAATAATAATAATAATTATATTTTGTCGCTATAATAATATTAACTAAAAAAAATATATGTATTATATTATTTTATCATATACCCATTAAACCGTACATTTTTTTTTTTTTTTTATACCATTATAAATACGAAACGATAATAACATAATAGTATTAATAATTATTAACATAGGATAAAATCGAAATATTAAAAATAAAAATACGTTTTTTCCCTTCTAAATATTTTAAAGTAATTCAATTTTTTTAAAAAAAAAGTACACGTTGCCCGATTATAATAATATATTTATAATTAATAAAATTACGTTTTTACGTTAAGTGAGCATTTTATAAAAACGATTATAATATATGATAAGAACACAGACATTATCCATTTATTACACACACACGCAATATATATTTTATAACGTAACAATATATTTAGATATATGCCTATAAATATATATATATAAAAAAAAAAATATATAATACATTTTGATATTTTTGTTCGTATACATAATACAATATTTTTGGTATTTGGTCGATATTGTATACAAATTAATACGATTTAATAGACAATATCTAGTCCGTTAGAACAATAAGGCACATATTATACACTATAATTTTGATACACATGTAATGTGTTTTTGGTCAATAAATTATGTATAAAAAAAAAAAAAAAAAAAAAACAATTGATTAGTTCATATACTATTAAATATCCGCGTGATAAACTTAATTCAACAAAAACGACTAGTCTAAAATAATAATATAACAATACAGGTATGATATTATTGTAATTATTACTATAATCAATAAAAAATTACACAGAACGCGTATTTTCGTTGTGTAACAGTATTTCGTATGTTTCGAATACAATAACAATCGTACTTATGTTATAAAAATCGAAAATTTCTGTATTTTATATACGCGAATCTATAATTGTAGTTATAATCTATGAAGATTGGGCTCGAGAAAATAATGAAACTTACCCCCCCGCACGTTGTCGATATTTCGGTTTAACACCATTTATAATGTACTAATATTATTCCGTCGTTTTTTATTTTGGTTTGGGCATTTTTATACTGTTAAGATAGGTGCATATTAATGCATTTTCACGGTTAAGAACACACCACTCGAATAACATAATGGCGTGTTTTTCTCCGAAAAAAAAAAAAAAATTAGATACCGTTTTCCACTATTGTCCTATGCGTTTGGATGTACGATTGATAATGATCAAAAAAAAAAAAAAACGGCGGGTTATACGCGAGGTGGAATTTAGATTGAGGATGGTCGACCAGAAACAGTTGGGATGACGCCGACAGAGAAGAAGACAAAGAACATTTTTCTCCGTTATTAAAATAAGAAATCGCTGCCCGTAGTCGCCCAACGGTTCCTACGCTTAGCTGTAATTAATTTCGTACGCCGACCCACAAGAATATCCTACATGGACATTTTATTAGGTAATCATTGATTAGGTTATTCATTAGGTATTAATAGTTAAGCAAATTTAATTGATTTTTTTATTTGGAACTGTTAAACTGACGTTATAGTGTTATACAATTATTTTGTGTCATTAATTAATTAACATATAGTATTTCGGCATAATTATTTGATTATGGTAATTTTTATTTTATCAATATACACGACCGTGGTCAAAGCTTCGATCGGCGGCGGCTAAAACGGAGGGCTGCGCAAATCGGGAAATCGAATGCCGGGAATATATTTAACAGGAACAATGACATAGAAGAAACTAATATTCGGGAAAGGTATTATGCGGAAAATACGTTTCGGAAAAATATTCACCGGCATGATGTTACGCGGAAAAATGAAATTTAGGGAAATATTCCGAGAAAAATATTTAACTTGACAGATATTTCATAGAAAACCAATATATTTAAGAAAGGATTTTTCTTCAGGATCGTTATAATTTCCGGATATTACCCAGTATCTCTGCGTAATATCCTTTCAAAGGATATTTTCCTGAAAAATGTCGTCCCTCAGCAACATTTCCCCGTGTCGCACGCTCCAACACTAAAATCAGGACCTTTTATATGTAATTTTTAATATACACATTTTAAGTGAAACGGATGCAAAGGAAATTTTTTTTTTATTATGATTATTTTTTTTTTTTATGAAAATGAACAGTAGAGGAAAATGTATAATAAGATATATCTCATTTTTTAGACGAAAAAGGTTCCACCGATAATAATGCGATGGATGAATATACGATCTTGTGCTATTTTCGGTTCATTACGAATTCGCGTTACCGTAACTGTAATATATTATTATAATTAGTAACCGCGGAAACCGGGAATACGATCGAATTTACCTAATAAATCTATAGGTTATAATTGATAATTATATTGAAATATAATTTTGGAGAAACCTCTATAGGAATTGTATTTTGTCGGGTTACTGAATTCAATAATACAGTGCGAATAATATAACGTGAAACACTATCGTTGTCTTGGAAAAAATTAAGTTTGTTAGGAATTAATATCTTTTAGAAAACAACCGGCTCTAAAATTACTATTTTTTTTGTCCTACTTGTTTGGGGGCAAAACTTTTGATTCGATAATGGTGGCCTACATTACAAATGCTGTAAATAGACGAAGGTTCAGTTCAAACAAATTTCTTTATGTTTGGGTATGTGTTGAATAGTGGAATACCATTTGCACGGTAGTGAAGTATGCGACGTCGTCAGATAGTCCACTTCAAGTGTCAAAACTCCAAATGTAAAATGAAATGTTTCGTCAACGAGTCGAAAGAAATTAAAAATGTCCACATCGAAACGTATTTAAGCTAAAACTTCTCATTTTTTAGTTTAGGTCGCTATTTGAAAATGATATTGGGTAGCGGTGTCATTTCCAAAAATAACAGTGACAACAATAATAACGGTTTTAAAGCTACTAAAGGTTTGATAAATTGTCTAAATGGCATATTCCGAAAAAAATATTTTCCGAGATAATGAGTGCGTATCTTACGTTATGTTAATCACCCTGTAAATGCGAAATTAACCCTAGTCGTCTGTGTTCCATTTTCATGACAAAACGGTCGAACCGATTTTGATTAAATTCGGTACGGAGATATCTCGAACCCTGGGATTGGACATAGACTAAATAAAAGAAAAAAAAAAATGCAATCTAAAAAGGGTCGACAGCACGGGGTTTTCGATATTTTTTAAAAGGAAATAGAATTATTTTTGTAGATTTATTGGTTACCTAGGTGATCTTAAAATATTTTAACGCGTATAATTTGTTTTACACGTTTTACGTGTTAATTATTAAATGCATTGAAGAAACGCAATCGGAAAAACTTTTCAATTTTCATTATAAATTTGTATGTTTTTAATTATTCAATAATGTGCACGAGCAAAGCTGTGTGAGACAGCCTGTAAAATTAGATCTTTAATTGGAGCAGGGAGAAGGAGCTCCGCTCCTGTTCTAAACATGTTTTAGTGCACTCTTTCTAATTCTTCGTGTTACAGAGCATTGTCCATAAAAAGTTTTTTTTTTACTTTCTATGATATAATTAATAATTTTTACGTTAATAATATTATAACGGTGATAACGTCATAATATATATAAAAAATAAAAGAATAGTTTTTCCGAATTTTGAACCGTTGAATGGTCTCCTAAGTAGTTTAAATATCCGAATACGACGAGAGGGGGTATTAAGCAGTTTTTTTTTACTCTATTGGGTCACCTTTATTAATTTTTCTCCAATTCAAACGCTGTGTTTAATATAAGCACGACGATGATTTTCGACAAGACCTGATACGTAAATCAATACCCTACATAGGTAATTGTAGACGTTAAATTTCATATCTCGTCCGATTGCGTGGACGAAAGTAAAAAAATATGACTATACGATTGAACAAATAAAATATGTATTTCCAAACGTAGACAATTTTGAAAAAATAAATAAATAATATTCATTACAAAATACCTATTATATATACAATCTAAAATTAAAACCGAATCGCGACGAGTACGAATCTAGGAAAAAATGTCCACAGTGAAAAATATCTGAGGAAATAAATGTCCGAATTCAAAAAAGGCCGAAGACATAACGTGTATTTTATCGGAAATTTTGGTCGAATCACAAGTACGTATAATGCACAATTTGAATCTCGTTTTAAATACGTTTTGTATTGTGAAAAAAAAAAATAACGCGAAACCCTGTCTTCTTGCAATTCTGCGATTAATTATTGTTTTTAAATTATGTATCTGGATTATCTGTAATCTGTATTTACGCACTTGACCGGTCAAAATTATATGATATGACGTGTGGCCGAGTGTGTTGCACTTCATATAAGTGATTGCCCAAGTTTGGCGGAAATTTTTTCGGGAACGGGAAATTGGGACTCCGAACGGGAGAATCCCCCTCCGAACAGCGGACGAAATTTCGGTTCCCGAAAGTGTCCGTTATTCAGAGGTTTTACCGGATTGAGACGAGTCGGGTACGTGAGTTATGAGGCGGAATCGGACAACCGCTGCCGCCGCCGCCGCCGCCGCCGCCGTCGTTTCCGATCCACCATTCAGTACGGCATAAACTTGACTCGTTCCGTTTTGTGTTTGGCGACGGTCGGCTGCGGTGAAAGGAGGGCCGCGGTCCCGTGGAAATGGTGCTGGTGGCGGACGGCCGACACGTCACTCGCCGCGGTCAAGTACTGATGGTGGTGTTGGTGGGCCGCGGCCATCGCAGCCGCAGCCGCGACAGCCGCCGACAGTGGGCTCGTGGTCTGCTGCAGGGACGCGGTGCAGGGACTCCCGCCGACGCCGTTATTGTTGTTGTTATTGTTGTTGATGATGTTGTTGTTGTTGTTGTTGTTGTTGTTGATGTTGTTGGTGGCGGTGGTGGACGCGGCGGCGGCGGCGGCGACGGCTGTGGCTTCGGTTGTGGGTGTAGAAGCAGTTGCGGTGGCTGTGGCGGTGGTGGCAAGCATTTGGTGTACGGGGAACGGGTGATGGTACAGGTGAGGCTGCAACACTAGCTGTTGCTGCTGCTGCTGTTGCTGTTGCAGGTGTTGTTGGATTTGGGCGTGGTGGTGATGGAGGTGGTTGTGGTGTTGTTGTTGGATTTCCGATTGCAGCACCGAGGCTCGTTGTATGTCCAAGCTGGATTCGTTGGATTTGTTGTCGAGGTGCGGTGGGGGGCGGTGATAAAAAACAAAAACAATACATCGTGAGGAAACAAAAATAATGCATTCGTTATGAGTGAGAGAAAGAGAGAGAGAGTGAGAGAGAGAGAGAGAGAAAGAAAAAAAAAATTATAATAGGTACACATTTAATAATATTGTATTAATAATTGACGTAATACTATTATCGTTATTTGTTAGACGCGTGGTATATGTGTTTTGTTTCCGTATACATTTATAATATTATTGTACGAGGTGGCGAAGCCGGGGAGGGGGGGGGGTTGGAGTATACCCTGAACGAGAATAAACGAACTCGCCGTGAAATTAAAAAAAAAAAAAAAAAAAAAAAAAAAAACCGAACGATGCAAACACATAAATAATTCCAAAAGAAAACGCAACTCTACTGTATACAACGCGATCCGTTTAGAGAACGGGCGCGGTCATTATCCCGGAAAGTATTGAATTTTTTCAGAATTTCTTTCATGCAATCCCGGGCGGTTTTCGTTACCGAGTAAGTTACTTGTTATTAACCGAAAATGTACGAGTTACAATATAGGTTACAAGTTAAAGTTACTTTTTAAATTTGGTTTTATTTTTTGATTACAAGTAGTCATGATTATTTCGTTCCTCAAAAATGTATAAATTATAGCGGTTTTTTAAATATATATTTTTTTTTTATTGAAAACATTTACGTGAAACTGCAGAGCTGCTTGTTTCTGGAAATATGTTCTATAAAACGAATTCCGAAAAACGTCAATACTTTCCGAGATAATCATGAGTGGGCCCACCTCAATGGATCACATTTTATATACAATATATAACACAACAAACTCGAATTCTACGTTATTTTATAATACACGGCATTTTTTTTATTTCTAAATGTCAACAATAATTGAAATAACGCGATAGGTAAAAACATCGTAGGACCAGTTTCGAAACATTTTAATCGGGTTCGCGGGAGAATGTTATAATATACATCATTTATTTACTAACCATTACAATTTTTGAACTACCTGTGTTACACCGAAAATAATAATAGAATATTTCAACGCTAATGAATGCCAATACGAGGTGTTATTATTTTACTAAGAACTAGCAATTTACTCGGAGAATTTCAAGTGAATTTGAGTTCTGTTTTTTTTTTTTTTTTTAATGGTTGTGGAATCGTACAAGTTTTATTTTAAAAACCGCTTTTGGATTTGTACTCCTACCCTATGTACTCTAAATAAGTATACACTTTAGATTTTTTCCTTTGAGAAATAATATTTTGATAATCATAACTCTAATATCAGATTTTCCGTTTATGTGTTATAAACACATAGAATAGATATTCAATTTTTTTACCCTTTCTCGATTGTAAATTTTAATAATTTGTAATCGGTAAATTTGATAATTGTGTTTGTACGTCAAAATTTCCAAAGAAAATAAATGTTTTCTATTCGAATTTTCGATTGATCCAAATAGTAGATGCTCATTTCAGGTATGAGAAATGTGGGCAAAACATTCAAAATAGCGTTAAAAGAAGCTTAAGCGTTTTCGTAATGATTAATAAAATCAGACATCAAATTCGCTTACAATTCTCCGAGTAAATTGCTGGTTCACGATAAAAGGCCCACTCTGCGTATATTATAAAAGCGCTAAGAAAAGGAATCTAATGCGATATTGTCGTAATTGTTTGCGCTTTAGGCAAGAACGAAAAACATTTTATTCGTGCGCTGTTGACAGTTCCTCCCTCCTCTTCTCCCGTAATCTACCCACGAAAAGCGTATTTCCCGTGTGAAAATATTGAATTTTCCGATTCAATCAACCGCTGTACGTGATGAAGGCTTTCGAGTCGTGGTCGGGTTGTGGGAAATTTAATCACGGCCGCTATGCCTTTAAAACGGATTAACGTACAGCGGGTTCACAGCTCATACAATTCGACAAAATAATCCGAACAAGTTGTGACACAACAAAACACCCACCGTATTAATAATTATTGTCGATCGCCTGAACACGCGACGTTTATTCGAACTCGATTTTCCCACCTCCCTCCTTCCCACGGGCCAGACCTGTCAATTCGACGAGAATTGTAAGAACGTTTCCATTCCTCAATGTATATTTATGTATATGAAGGGTACAGGGAAAAAACCAGAAAAGTCGCTTTTTTCCAAAATCACGATACTGGTATAGAATACTTTGTATTGATGCACTGAATCTTTTGTGCAATCGAATCGGTGAAAAATATTAGCGCCAGAAGTTTAGGCATACAGGAAAAAATGATTAGTTAACTGATAACTAAACAAGAGTCGGGTTAATATACGGCTATAGCCGTGATTAATAATATAACAGACATTATTGCGATTATTACGTTTCAAAAGTTAACATTTAATTTAATCCGAAATTTTTACTAAGAAAACAAAATGATTAAGTTTTTTTATTTAATAACGTGTTTTTCTCAAATTGAAAAAGCGACTTTTCTGTTTTTTTCTCAGTACCCTTTATATATATGTGTGTGTGCATTTGCACGGGCCGTCCGCCGCAGTGGCGAGCTCGGGAGAAAATACGCCACAAAATAGGATATCGTAACGGGTATTAATCGCGACGGGTATTTATTGCAAAAATGTTTTCGCGACTGGACGGTGAGACGTTATCCCGTGTCTGGTGCGATCCCCGTAGTTTCACCAGGCAGATACGCCACTGCGGATCGATCGAAAACGTGGTTTTACTTATTATTATGATTAGTAAACAAACATCTCTTTGACACGTGTCGAGTGCGCGCTTCGCGGCTGATCGACGCCCCGCGTTCGTATGTAAATTATGCCGTTATTAAAATTCGTTCCTTTCCGGTCCGGAATGGCGGGGGACCAAAAATAAAAAAAATCAAACAAAAAAATAAAGCCGGACGAGACGTGTACGGATATACTCAAAAAGCGAAAATGTGTGCCCATCTGCCAACAAGAGTACGGCCGTCTCGAGTGTACACAATGCGATAAACAATATACAGACGTCGCGTTCGTTCATGCTGCGATCTAAATACCCGTGTCGCCGTATACTCACCTCATGTTTATTAAGTACTGCGCTAAAGCCACCGAATCGTGGTTTCCGGTTATCGTGATGGTTCTGTCCGTGCTCGCGTGTCCTTCGCGGTCCTCGCAGTTAGAGATCCGTATCATCGCCCCGCTGATTTGCCTGCAACGAAAACGAACCCATGCCGGACGTGATACAATAATCGTGGTTGTGGCACGTTTGCGAGGTACGTTAACAAAACGGTTCGAAAATTGAATCTGAACGATTGCGACGCGTACCGAGGAGCGAACGGATTTATAACCTACTCGCGGTGCGCCTATTCGTTCTTGAAATTGTACTTGAATAATCGCGACGAGATCCTATCGATTTGTTTATCGATTGTTATATTATTTACGAACAGTCGTGTTTGAAACATACTCATTTGTGTGCAATATTAAGAAAAAAAAAAAGCTTAAACTTTCGATATAATGTGCGAACGTCGTTTTCTGTATAGTATATTATATTTCATACGAGAAAACTATACGGAATTAGTTCCCGGGTCGGAAAAAAAAAACATTCGAGAGTAACAGAGTTCCGTCACTAGAGGCGAATGGTCTTTCCCACTCACATTTATTTTGTGTTATAGATCTTTGCGAAACAACAAACAAGTGAATACTAGACAAATATGATCATATAACACTACATACTACAGAATTACACTACTTTCAAACAAAATTTTGAAATTTGATCATAAAAAAGTTAAGAATAGGAATTGAAAGTCTAAACATATCATCAAAAAGCACGTTATATGTATACTTTCATCATGCATATACAAAGTTTCATCCTACTAAATTCATTTCGAGTATATATATAGAGGTGTGCAAAGGAGAACAATACACTATCCTTGTTTAATAACATGATCACACCTATAAAAAAAACTCTAATTCCCGAGTTCGAGCTCATTTGGTCTACACATAGCTGCTGAAAGTAGTCTAAAAAGTAGCGAGAAAAAGAGATAAAGTACAATAGTTTCCATTTTCGGGGAAAATTTGATAAAAACGTATGAATTGGTTTCCCCACGTACAAATATGTTAAAATAATAAATTTAATCACTGGACGGTTCAGACCGTCCTAGTATCGTCAAAACCTAGTAGACTTGATAATCAATTAAAATCCGTTCAACTCGACTCTACAGTTTTATCTGGCTTTTCAGTTTAATTTTTTTTTTTCAACAACCGTTTTTTAGACATTCGTAAGTCTGTGTGAAATGGAAAGGAAATTATTATCGTTGCTGGTTCTATTTTTATTACTAACAATATAACAGTTCATTGGAATCAATTCGTATAATGTTACCTGTAGACCACCCGAGAACTAATTCGGTAATATTTGGTTGCAAGTTCGGATATCGGAATATTGTGGAACCACGGGACCACGATTTTTCAAACGTATTTTTTCGGACAAAACGGTAATAAACCGTATAGTTTTTCTCGAAGAATACTATAATACTTGGGTGATGTTAATAATGCGTTTTTCCCGAGGCTCAAACCGGCTCAATACTAAGGGTCGCGGCCCGCAATCAACGCAAAAATCATACCTGATCTCGGCTATTTTGGTCCCGCCTTTGCCGATGATGCAGCCGATCAAGTCGTTCGGCACGGACATCTCGTGCGTTTGCTGACCGCCGCCGGATCTGGTGCTGATGTTGGGTCCGGAACCGTTAGACCTCAACTGGCTGCCAGCCAATGCTGCTAATGCTTCACATGGTAGATTACATAAATATTTCGTTAAAAGTTTTCAAAATCGTTATTGCAGCTATAGGCACGCTAAAATTACCAGTCGGATTGAACGAATTCGCCGGTCCTCCAAGGCTGCCGAGTCCGAGCGCCGCGAGACCAGCCAACGGATTTCCACTAAGTTTGCCCAACTGAAACACAAACGTTTTACCGCGCGCGCGCGCGAGTACATTAATACCGTGGAATTTTAAAAAAATGCTACTCAAGCAAACCGATTTTCATTGTATTATTTACTTGCGACGGTCCGAACGTGTTTTTAAGCATAGGGTATTCCAGCGGATCCATTAGGGCCAGGCTGGCCGCTGCCCCCGGGGAAGGCGGAACCATGAGCATAGGTGCATGGTTGTACGGCCCGCCGCCTACCATCATGGTGCCCACGTCACAACCGCCCGCGGAACCTGCGCTGGCCAAGGTGAATGCCTGTCCTCCCGCCAAAATGACTGGTGCTCCCATCTGGGGCTTGGCGCGATACGGTATTGTCACACCCTTGGGAGGAGACTGTAACAAAATCATTCGCATCCTTATTGAATCTCGATCACGAGGTTACATACAAAGGCGTGGTTTGGATACGTGTGCAATAATAGACTGAAAAGAGCGAAGAAGAGAACAACCGAAAAGGAGATGGTTAACTACATACGGTGGGATTGAGGTTGATAATATGAGGACTGCTACAAGTAGTGGTTGTTATAGATGATGTGGTAGAATGGGCGGAACTTCGAAAAAGGAAAAGATGAAATAGCTGTAACGAGGTACATGATTGTTCTAATTTCTATTAGTTTTGTCAGTCAATATAAAATACTTACTTCAACCATAACCGCACAAATATGGAATATGCACTGCGTGATCGAGTCTCTTGTGCCGGTCAAGGTGACTGCTCTTTCCGTGGACTGTGGAAGCACGTCCGAAGCGACCTGTATCTGTGCCCCAGTGGCTTCTCTAATTTCTTTGATTTTATTACCACCCTTGCCGATTAAAGATCCACATTGTGAAGCCGGAACGATTAGCCGCAGTGTCATGCCGCATTTTCCAATTGCAGATGCGCCGTTTTTCCCATTTTGAATTTCCATAAACTGGACAGAAATAAACATAAAATGTATTCACTTGTGTATTGTCATATTATGGCAATACACAAGGTAATATCCTCGTGGATAATATATTATCCACGAGGGTCCGTATGGAAAAAGACCCTTGGGAAGACAGAAATATACCCACATAGCATAGATTGGCACGATGGCAAAAGATCGTGCCAATCTGTTGATAAATGGATGCGGATATGTTTGGATGGTTGGTTTTCGGAGAGTAAAGAAAAATATATTAAATTGTTTCGTCAAGTATAATGCCTAGTTGGTTTTTTTTTTTGTGATCCGAAACCCTACTCGGTGTTAACATAAATTTGTAATTAAAATAAAAAAGGTTTTGTTGTTAAGTATTCCATTAAAATGTTAATTAATCATTTATAAGACATCAAATGGAAAATAAAACCTAGTTTAATTATTTTCGTTAAGTGTGAAGATTAAAAACCGAGGTTTTCTTTAAATATTTAACCATCTTTAGTAAAGCGGGTAGCCGTTGTGCAAACGGTAAAGTAATAAATAATAGTAAAAAAAAAGCGTCCGGTCACGTTTTGTTTCGTACTTATATTAAATGTGAATAAATGTATCCGCCGGGGACGTTTCATTTAAGTAAAAAAAAAAACTATGATATTAATTACTTTGGAATATTAATTAAATGTAATAGCGAGTTTAAATTAAATAATTTTTTTTTGGGTAATTTTTTTTTTTTTTTGCGATGATAAATTGATATTGGTTTGTTTTTAGTCGCGATAGTAACTATTTAATGATAAAATGTATAACTGATTTGAAAAAAAAATATTTTTCAAAACATTTAGATATGCCATATGTATTTTGAAAACGTTTTATCTCTAGTTCGCACGGGTGTTGTTACGACACAAGTATTCCGAACACGTTTTCATATTTATCGAAAATTTCCCCGTTTTAAATTTGGAGCGTAGCGAGGAATGCATTGGTTTTACAATTATGTTAGTAATATATTTATTTATTTTTATTCTGCGAGTAATTTTTCAACCAGAAATTTTGCTCTGGTGTATCAAGTACCTTTTCCGAAATGAAATTTTATCTTGTTGGTACTTGAAAGTGGTAATTTTTTTTTTTCCCCAGAGGTTTTTATGATAATAAATTGGGGAAAACGTAGAAAAGACGGGAAAATGTACGTACACGTATAAAATAATCTTCACTCTGAATCGTTTTTCGTCGGTCAATAGTTATCGTTGCGTACTGCAGATATATTATTAAATTCCCTGTCTATATAATTCTTTTTCAACTTCTCGCCTATAACAGTGGCTCACCCATCGTGCTAAGTATATCCGTCTATTTTTTTAGAACGGGATTTGCTTGTTTTTTTTAAAAATGTGTATGTATAAATATAATATATCACGTATACGGATTACGGAGCGAAACGATTTCCATATTTTCGACAACATAATTTGATTTGTGGGCGCAGACGATAAAGAAATGAAGACCAGACGCTTATTATAATATTATACGTGAATATATTAAAATGATAATTTATAATATAAACGCAAGCGGATACTTTATTGTGTACAACGCGAACGAATCTCTTGGACTCCTTATCATCTGTTTTTGCAATATCCTTTCGGAGCGGCGACCCCGTACGGTAATATTATCGTACTATATTGTGCATAATAATATGGAGAATGAGTTTCTTTCTTATATACGTAAATACGTACATATTATTATCGGTATACCGGTGTACCCGCGATTATTTATCGAGTGAAATTTTACCTCTCCCGGTAAATTATCTCTAGAGAAATTTTACCCTCCCCCCTATAATTTCACTAGAGACTATTCAACTCCTTGTAAAATTTTCGGGGGTAAAATATCACTAACAAAAATGTAGTCCAATGTTGTGGCCCAATTCCCGGAAACGGCCTTTTCTTCACCGTAAAACGATTGGAACTATGTTAATTGCGAATCACAAAATTGTTTACGGGCTATTAAAAATAATTAATAATATGAACACGAAAATCGTCTATTTTGTTGTAAAATACGTATAAACACATTTATCACAATTTTCACCGTATTTATCTCTGTCAACACTGAAAATATGTGATGTATTTTTTTTTTTTAATAGCCCCGGCCACCAGAAGAAGAAACTATAATTTTGGCTAGTCAATTGTTTCAGATACCATTATTATTTTGTATTCATTGTATACCCGTGATAAACATCAACCCCAAAAATAATTATCTTTCATAAATTTATAACTGATACACATTTCAATTTTCGTGTTTACATTTCATTATGCCCATTGTAATTCATACGGGTTCTGTTGGGGGAGGATTTATACCGACGCCTCCCTACTTAGTGTTCACCACTGACTATGTAAAATAACGATTCAATTAATATTGAATATAATATGAAAAACTATTCACCTCGTCAAGAGACGACGGACATTTTCGATTTTTGCGATTTATACACGTTTTGTGTTTCAATCGGAATAATCGATGAAGCCAAAAAAAAAAAACCACTCACGTCAATCATTATTGTCACACTATCAAAACAGTAGTGTAATAGTAATGCAAAAACCATGTTCTAAGGGAAACGGGATTAAAGATCTTATACATTTTTAAATACCTACATGTAAAACAACAATAATCAATTGCAATTATCATAAAATGTTGGATTTATATTATTTATAAATAAAGTTATCTATTTAAACTTTAAGTTAAAAAGAAAAAAATTATATACCTCAAATACATTTTTTTTAAATTTTAATGCACTACTATATTGTAGTAGATAATGGACTAAGGAACTATTAACTTTCAAATTAATAATTGTATTGCAATTTCGTAATGTTTTGAGATGACTGCACTATCATTGAGTTTACAACAACCTGATCATATTTTCTTAAACGCTATGTATTACTATTACTATTTACTATGTATTTTTTTGTCAAACTTATTTAAATTTTTAGACGCAAGAAAAAAACGGTATAATGCGTCATAAGCATTGCAACTTAACCGCACTTTTAAAAAAAGTGGTACAACTCAAAATCGAATTTGTTCGAGTTACTACACCATACCATTCCGATGATACAGTGCGTTTTTATAATGATAAACGTATTATTTGGCAATACAAATGATGGGACGACACTTTTCCCCTCCCCATCATCAAGGTTATTTTTCCCAATTTATATTTTCCAATACCATATTATATCCCAATAGTTGATTTTTCCCAATAGGTATTCATTTTCCATTACTAAAATATGAATACAGGTAATAAACTAAGTTTTAAATATTTTGTTAGTTTTATCGAAGATCATGATTTATGACGTGATATTCCATCGAAAATATATTATTATAATATGTGACTATAGTAGTGATTTTTATTGGAAATATGTGCTTCTAAATAATATTATTGTCCCCCGCACGCACTGTGCCGAAGTACCGATAACCCGCTGCTGCAGTGAGCCGCCTACTAAAGGAGTGGCAATAATTTGTATGTATATATTATTTTGGAAAATTTGATTGGGAATATTAATGTTGGATAAAGTAAAACAGAAAACTGTAAGTAATATACAACCGTTGAAAATACAACTGCGTAGTCTTTGAAAACGATACAGACATCTGTCATTTAAACGGTCCGCGAAAAACAAAAACGAAAAAAAAAATCGTAACTTCGTGCTCGAAATTGTATACAATTGATTACATAAAACTATTAAAATGTAAATAGTTAGCCTGGTCTCCGGGACTTTAATCACCATGGTCGTTAGAAATAATTCCCGACTCGCGGAGCGATTATCGGGCGCGGTCTCCGTGCCGCCGTGCCCCGCAGCAGCGCTACCCTATCGCATACCTATAATCTATACAGACGTATATAAGAAAAGTATCGATTTTCCGTAATGGTTTGGAAAAACATCGCGTCGGTGTATTAAAAGTGCTTTTCGCGCGGAAATACGCCGCGGGACCGAGTTAAATTCGTCGTGAAATCCATTGAACTTTTTCCTCGTTTCGGCGGTATACGCACGTAGGTATATATACGCATAGGTACCTAATATTATACTGCGCGTTATATACCAATCCGGGCGAGTCATTAATTTAATACCTAAACAAGCGTTAAACGCGCCTGCGGCAAAAAAAAAAAAATAACGGTTTACCTCTTCGACTTTGGTGCATATCAAAGAAAACGCTTTGTAGATTGCTTCGGTAGTTCCCGATATCGTCACGATTCTTTCGGGACAAGAGCCGTCGGATATATTGATCTTGGCACCGGACTGTGGAGTAAAAACAAAAACTTAATCATATCGTTGCGTTTGACCTTATTTATTAATATTTAAGGGTAATCAAACTAATATTATTAATCTTAAGGTTCGGCAAAACAGACGGGGAGATACCCGTATCCGTAACTACATAATACATAATATTATACAGACGATGGCTTGTATGAAATATAATTTTAAATTGTACTTTGAGTTCAAATACAGATATTATTTTAGTTTTAAATAGTACAGTACCTATTTAAAATGTATATTTGTGCACGAGAATACCGATATTTTTCATGAATAACTATTTTCAAATACGTTTTTTGTACACGTTATCGCGTAAAGATAGAGTACTCTTTTTTGAATACCAACATTAGTTAAAATGTCAAATAATGTAACTTTCAAATTTACTTACACTCAAAAACTTAAAAACTTTCACTCAAATTATAAGTTTGTATATAATTTTTTATGTATTAGGTTTGGTAATAGCTATCTTAAGTACTTAAGTTTTCGGAGCCGAACCAAAGGTTATAGATTTACTCTGCAAACCCAATTATAACCTATATCTGATTTTTTTTCTCGATAATATAAATTTGTAAATTATATTTCTGTATCCGTTAAAAAAAAAAGAACAACAAAAAAACAATCGGCATGAACCCCAAAAAATATAATTTAGTAATATTATGATGTTTAAAAAAAAAAAAAACCTGACATATTTTTTTATAGATATTTTACGAAAACTATCAAATTTTTAATATTGTTGTAATGTCTGTAATAAATTTGTCGTTTATAATATAATCCGTTGGTCGTAAATATTTTTTTATCCTTAATATTATTCCATAATTTTTATGAAAAAGGTACCTGCAATTATTCATTTTTTCCAGCGATTCTAGTAATGCGAAATATACATATATACAGATAATAACCTTTGTATACTTTGTATTATAAACAAAGTATAATATATTAAATGTTTAAGTTAAACGAACAAGTTAATCCTTACGTAGTTATACTTACGGTACAAATACTAAATTTCGAAAAAAATTATTTATGCGAAGTATACAAATTGTTGGGGTATATAAAAATATATATTATCATAACCGGTGGATTTTGTTTTCGTTTTAATAATTAATACATGTATTAGATATATATATGAATAGATGATAATCTATGATGATTTGATAAAAAATTGGCAGTGCGAAAATGCTGAATATAATTAGGCCCCAAAAGTAACGTATGTAATTAGCACTAAATCAAATAGTATTTATTTTCTCGTTACCTAACACATAATCACTCATAATAGTTATTTAAATAAATTTCTTGTCCATCAGTCCGATCGATGATATGAAAGGATAAGAGTTCCGAATGTAGATTCGAATAAATTCAACGTGAAATATTCACTAGTTCGGTTAGGTCACTTTTTCAAATTTTAAGTCCGTAATTTGCGAAAAAGTGATTTTAAAATGTTTGGGTTTTAAACAATTGAGATAAAAAAACCAAAATTAAATTTTAAAAGCTTTCATACGGATTACATGTATAATTCACGCTGAATTCAAATATGTTTTCAGAATTCTTATCTGTTCCAAATATCGAACGAGCTGATTGATAACATTTTGCTTAAATTAATATGTGCTGGAAAAAGAGAGAAAATACTTGTTTCGAATCTCATTAAACGAAATAAAACATTATGACTTTTCGAAATAATCGCCATGTCTGTCAATACATGATTAGGTACTATCGATTTGGAAGCGTTTGAGTTGAAAACATGAAGGCCATCTTTATTGGGCTCGTGGACTCTTTGGCTTACTTTTTCACTCAGTGTATTCACAGCCGGGAAAACGAATTCATCTGAGTGGTTCTTTCGGTTTCGAAAATAAATCAAAGTCCTAGGGACTACTACAGGTAGCAGAAATGCTTAAATAGTATTTTCCCTGAAGGGTAAGTAACTCAATATGAATACACCGTTGTCCGAACACGAAAATATTATAATTAATTAAAATAAAAAATACTTTAAATTCACGGGAAATCGTTGATACTTTTACTATATCACCCTCGGTCATTGTTTGACTTTAAACTTTACAATCTAAAACTGGGATCAGCTGTCTATATCATATTGTTCAAGAACTAGAGCATGCGATACCTTATTTTTTAATCAGTGTTAAATACACAGAACAAATGTATATTTTTAGGCTAAAATTCTCATAGTGGTGAGAATATATAATATCCGGGGAGGAGGTACAACAATAATGACTAAGGGAAGGGTGATTGTTTATGACATACAACTATGAGAAAGTATTCATTCAGTATAATTTAGTTTTGAAATCTGGAATAGTTTAATTTATTGAATACAGATTTGCTTTATTGGATCTGGTTTATAAACTTCTATTGTCAAGTTAGATATAGAACCAATTCTACAATTTATTTTTGATTATTATTTACCATATATCCACTACTGTTAGACATTTCTGAGCAGTACTAAAAACTCAATATTAAGTATCTATGAAATAAAACAAATGCAAATATATTAAAATCATATTTCTATTTTCGTTCATAAAACTTTTTTGATTGCCATCAATGTCTACTTGTATACATACTTCTATGCATAGTGATTTAGGTTTAGTTCAGATAAACATTTATTTTCAATTTGGTTTATTATATCGGTTTCCCAAGAGTTGAGAAGCTTCTTTTAAATGTAGTAATTATTATTAGTAAACTAATTTTATAATTTCCATAAATCCAAGAAAGAAATTTCGGGGGAAGCGAGCAAATTACACCTTATGTATTCCATTATTTTCGAGGTTTTTTCCATCGTGAAAAGTATATTATTTCATAATTCTCATTTCTCGGAGAGATTCTATTTTCCTCGACCTCGTTTTCAAATCACCTCATGATTAATATCTCCGAAAAATCGTTTTCTATTAATCTTACAGTGGTTCGCGCGTGGAAGAAACGGCCGGTTGAATATTGTGTAAATATGATGTACATACCTCTTCTCTGAATCGCTTGACGATCTCGCCTTTTTTCCCTATTATACTACCGACTTCCTGTAAAAAAAAAAAAAAAATAAAAATAATATTAATACAAAATTAAATGCATGTGTTATACAAAATAATTTATTTTATCGTGATCTATCTGATTTTTTCTGAAGATTTTAAGATATTATCATCTTAACCCTATGCTACTTCTCCGATGTAAATTTGAAACTCTTATAACTCATAAATGGTAAATCCAGTATTGATTTTTAAACCGCACACAGAAAAATATTTTGTATTTAAATCTGTGTTTAAAGTTGGGTTGAAAGAGCGGAGCTAGTTTTTACTTATTTAATCAACGTTGACAAGCAAATTGCAGAGAAATGTCCGCATACAAGATATAAAGAAGGTCTACAAAGGGTACAAAAAGTGTTCACATCATGGGCACTGAAGAGGCGGTGGTTTCACTGTCTAGCATTGATGTTCACCCTCAAATATAAATATATTATATTCTACATTATTATCATTATTTATCTTAGTTTAATATTAACTGTTCCAGATTCTGAGTGGAGCGAAGGATTTATTGGTTTTACAATAATGTTTATTTTTATACTATATGTGAATAGTTTTTTTGTCAGAAAGCTTATTCCGATTATCAAGTGTAACACCTTTTCTGAAAGGAAATTTTTTCCCAGGTGGTACTTTAAAGAGGTAATTTTTTGAAATTCTCATTGATATTCGAGATAATGAGGAAAACCTGGTTCTTTAGGTTAAAAAAAAAAATGAGGTTGTCATTGGCTACAGCTTTTGTTTTTTTTTTGTATTCAATTTTTATTAATTTAATATTTTTTAAACAATATTTTTTGTCATGGAAACGCACATTGTTTTAATTAGTTTACCATAATATGACATGTATATTGTTGACAAAGCAGCACTATAAATAAACTCCGCTCAGAATCAGTTTTTCGTTAACAATGGTTTATCGTGACATTTTGAAATTATTTTAATCAGGATCATTAAAAGTTTCTATGCAATGACTGATAAATACCGAAATCAATGTTTTCCAAAATGTTTGTAGATAATCGGAACACTGATAAAAAAAAAAAAATCATTGTGTACAGGTATACATTGTATAGGTATATTCGCGGGTCCGTAACGGGCATTATCATATGAGGTTCATAAAAACTTAATGTATATTTTTAGACATGTTGTACAGGTAACGTTACAATTGCAAACCCGATCTGTAAATAAAAAGATTCAACAATTCTATTCTGATACCGCCCGTTGACATTTGAAATGAACTGGAGTTTGATGCCAACGGATACAAACCTATAAGTACGCGCATACTATGTTATACACGTATATTGACACCGACAGACGCCTATATAAAATCACAATATTTCAATCCGCCGATAAAATAATCATCGTTATACCGATTTTCAATTCCAATACGTTTTATATTAATTACGTAAGGGACGTGTTTAATTTATTGCGTTTTTAATTCGCGCAAATTTGTTTAGAGGAGTTTAAGTAAATCCGATTTGTGTTTTATTTTCCGATTAAAATAAAATTGTTTAAGCTTTTTTAAGCTTAATAAACTGTACAAACTGCAGTTTCATAAAGTGATAAAAATCATATTTTTAAATTTAAAATATTTTTTATTAAACTAATAGTCGAAAAACTCCCATTTATTCGTTACAAATTTTTAAATATACTATAATCAAATAAATAATAGAAATAAAACATTCTGAAAAATATTATAGCTAAAGATTATACCTATTACTATAATATTTGTATAATATAAATTTTTAACCAATGCTATTATAAAGGCCGTTCTAACTAACGTAAAAAAAGGCGTTTATCTAATTTTTAAACTAAATTTACGGTTGATAACCGACCGCGATTGGTCGATTATCTTATAAACTCCATTTAAAAATCAACGTGTACAATGAGAACTGGTCTAAATAAATAACTGTACAGTTTCAGTCTCTCGGTTTATAATTTATGATTATATTTGTCAGAATTAGATTCTCTGTTAGATATTTATTTTGTATCAAACACTTGCTATCTTTACATTCTTTAAAAGTTTGGACAAAATCTTCACGTTAAAATGTTTGATATTAAATTGCACTGGTATAAGATCTTTAACATTCTCTAAAAAATAAATTAAAAAACGGTTACATTCATTTGTCCATCGACTAAAAATAATGAAAAATATTTAATTTACTTAAATATTGGTTTTATTATATTACTGGAAATTTATTTTATCTTTAGCATAGTCCTATAATGAATAGTATCTATTTATAAAATGCTTACTTTCAACTTATGAATTATACGAGATAAAATAAACTTTGACTCAAAATTTTAACAATTTATCAGTTTCCTGTCCCACTATCAACAATCGTTTTGTCATACACAGTTTGAGATAGCATAAAAACATAGTCACGGTATAGAAGACAATGGCCATAAACTATCAATATCTATCGAGTTATAATACCTTTGTTTTAATCTTTATTATTTCTGTTTTTGATCAAAAATTATTAATACGAAAAAAGCGGATATTTTGAAAATTATGAAAAAAGAGACCCGAAAAACGAGGACACCCATAAAAAGATACCTACGTAAATCCTTATATAAAAAGAAAAGGACGTTGGATAACCTTATCATCAACTTATTATAAATAGAGAGGTCTAGGTACGCCATTGTAAGCCTAAGACTATAATCAAATATGGAACACATTCACATCGGAACTGCAATTCGGATTATATCGTGGACTGCTCGACTGTAGCAACAATGTAATAACATTAATTGTAAAGCCGTTTTTGACATGTATAATATTCCCTTAAGTGTCCCATACACACCGCGATAATATATAATATCCACGAGAGTGCTTATAAAAATTCGTCCGTTAAATCTGGTTCGACAATAAAATATTATATTATATTGAACGCTCCAGGGGCACAGCGTAAATTCGGGACCGAACAAACTGCATTTTTCGATTTACGTACAACTCGTCTCGTATAACAATAATGATATCTAAACCACTTTACATAAAATGAAAACTATACGCAAGCGTATCATTTTATTCTCCTCTCTGTATCGTAAAATTACATTTTCGAATAATATTTCATTTTAGGTATGAGGTTGCCTTATCCCTTGCGGCGACGTACGAGTATAAATGATTATACTCTTCCGCTAAATAACATGAGCAAATATTATCAATTTTTTTTTTTTTTTGAAACGATCACATCAGCAGAAATAAACACTACTAATATATTAAAAATGATTCACAGCAAATATAACTTATAAGCACTAACCGCTACTTTAGAAAATTGTTTTTTTCCTATAAACATTTCTGTTTCGATTTAATATATTTATATTACATGGTCGTTGTTTTTTTTCTTTATCCACTGTGATTTTCTTAGAGTATTTCATGACTTCAATTTTTTCCAATCGTTATGAAATTGTTTACGCCCTATTCTACAATTTTTATCCCAATTCCTTATGCCTTAATTTAGTTTTAAATTTTGATTTTTATTTAGTAACGTTTTATAATACGGACAATAGTTTTCTAAAAACGTTCATGCGCAAAACACAAATATCGATAAACCGTATAAAATTTCAACCTAAATAATAGGAGTGGGTATTAAATAGCATATCATTTTAGATAAAATATTTGCTTTTCAAATCCGGTTAGATAAGGCGAGGGGAGAATGTTTGACGTAAAAAAAAATTAAAAGTTAATATTTATTTATAGTATATAGGGGTGAACAATTGGAAATTATGTTAGAATAAGCTTAAACAACTTTCTTATAATCGAAACTGCAGTATGTATTATTAAGTATCAATCAGTTATTATATTTTTAAACTGACTACCCTAGATTACACTACTAGGAAATATTATTGTTTATCTACAAATATGTAATTATAATTATTGCCACGTATCTTATTAGACAATAGTTATTCGCTAAAAAACAATATTATCTCCTTTCTTGATACATACGTATATATATATAGCTAGGTAATTTAAAATGTATCTTGATACAACAATATGTATTGTGCGGTAGTAATAATATGTTGTTGACTTTAATCATATTTTGACTTTTCCTACGTATACGTACATCGTATACGCTATACGGTAATGTAAGTGTAAAACTTTACCGTTCTCTCGTGCCAATATATTATTTATGTACACATTGTATTTGCGATAGTACATAATAATAATAATACAATATCTTTTAGTACACGATGATGATGAAGATTTTACTTGTTTTTGTTTGATTTTCCCAGCACTTCCTACTTCCAACCCCCCCCCCTCCTCCTCCTCAGCACAACCACAGTATATTTTTAAAAGTTTTCAAACTATAATATAATATTATAATAGCATTTTCCGTGGTCGCGGAAAGTTTTACCGTAATATAAAATAAATCACGATTGTTACGGAATATTATATTTTAATGAAGCAGGTACCTAACGAAAGTAATATGCAGGATGTAAATTTGATAATGTATAGCCGCAGTGACCGCAGTGCAGGTGATTTTATGTGTATTGTTTATAAGAGAGGCTTTTTGAAAATTAATATGATTATTTTATTTTTTTATACTAATATAAAAAAAAAAAATGCGCGAACTTTAGAAATTAATTATTACACCGTATACTAGCACTGAAAATATAATAATAAACGTGAACGGACACAGTTTCGGCCAAATTATTCCTACTGGAAATCCTGCAATTTCGAACCCTTTTTTTTTGTTTATTATTCGCCATAAATTTGTTCTATATAATAAAATATTATAAATGATCGATGAAGCACAACCCCCCCCCCATACTTTTTATGCAACGACGTTTTATATATTATTATGGTCACATTTTTTCCAGAATAACAATGTACACGATAATAATATATCGGCGGTGTATTATATTATTATTGTATGATTATTATACAACAATATATTACGTATACACGTATAGAACGCATCACAAAAGCGTGTAATATATGGTTTCACTCCCGAGACTGAGTTCTAAAATAATGATTCTAAATGGATTATCGACTACAAGGTTTTTTTTTTTTTCATTATTATAAGGCTTCGTCGTCGATATAATAATATAGGGAAAGTCGTAAATGTAAAAAAATTAGTACATTATTATGTATTTTTAATATAAGTTTTTGAAAAAGATAAAAATTGAAATAATATAAAATATCATTACGGTGTGATTACCTTTCCTTGCATAATTAGCCGAAGTGTAAGGTTGATGTTCGAGTCATCTTTTGATTTGGCGTCCATATTTTTATAATTTTATTTTTATTATGTTTGGTCCTTTCGTTTGATTCCCTGTAATCCTTGATTATTCGAGTTACTGAAAAAATAAAAAAAAATATTAATATTATGTGGCACATTTCATTTATTGAAAATCGAAATCAAATGAACCAAAATTGATTTTTTCTAAACTAAAAATAACATTTTTAATTATTTCATACAATATTCAAGTGAAAATTCGATTACGATATAACGCGCGCAGTTATATAATAACTACAATTTTATAATGTTAAACGAATTGTTCTGGTTTCGTATACAATATTGTAAGACGCGAGATGAAAATACGAAAATAAATAATACGTCAATCTTTCCACAATTATATTTCAGTGGGAGGTGGAACAATTCAGGTAAGAAATATTATTTTTCAGGCTACATTTGTCCAATGTTTTCAAGGTCACAGCTGAATAAATATTTTGGGACGGGGAAACATTTGTTTTATAACCAATTAAATGACCTTTCTTAGCATTATAATTTATTAGTTACATAAAATGCAATTACAAACTACACCTGCTCATTCAAGATCAGACAGAACTGAATTAAGAGTTTTACTGGTCATGTTTAGCAGTTAATTTTCATTATAATATACAACATTGTTATTTAAATGTAAAAATAAAAAAAACATTTCTAACAGAAAAAATATTCTGAACGGAGTTCAGATGACAGTGATATATATAAAGATTTTTAGTAAAAGAATGAATTGAAATCGAAATTTATTTTATTTTAATATAACTCGGTCTATAATATTGCTTTTTCAACAAAATGCATTTCCATGACAAAAATGATAGTTTAAAATATATTAAAATAATAAAAACTTAATCATAATAAAAAATAAATAAAAAAGGTGGCCAATGATAACCTTATTTTTAATCGTTCAATCTTTTTAATCTAAATAACCAGGTTTTCCTCATTATCTCGAATATTAATAAAACTTTCAAAAAATACCTCTTTAAAGTACCATAGAGAACTTAGAGAACATTTCCTTTCAGAAAAGGTATTACTTGTTTAAGCTTTCTGATAGAAAATTATTCATATAAGATAATAAACATCGTTGTAAAACCAATACATTCCTCACTCCGCTCGAAATCTAAAAAAGCACTTCTTTTCATATTTGAACTCTTGAATCTTTTGAAAACTTCACTCGTAGATTTATATTTCACCATGCCCAACGATGAACAAAACGACAATATAACACAAACAAGGAAATAAGCATTTTATTTTAAAATACAAACCTCGTTAATAATTTCTAAGCATTTCTGTTCGGTCGAACAATTTTATCTACATTTTATCAATTAAAAACTAAAAAAAAAAAATCTCATAATGTCGAATGGCCAATAATTGGCTGAAATCACCAGAACGTTTTGAAAATTTTTCGTCTAAACGTCTAAACAATTCTAATTTATATATAAATATAATTTGGTCTCTTGTATGATTATTTGAAATCGAATTACAACAAAAAAATAAAATCGAAAATAATCAATCGTTAATGCTGCCGTTCTTATCTGATTTTTCCCAATTATTGAGAAAAGTACATGGAAAATAAATACATATATTTTTTTTGCACATCAACTAACTTTTATGCTGCTTACTTTTAAAATGCTGTACTAAAATTCAGACGCACGATTTTTGATAGAGAAATAAAATCAAAAAATTTAAAAGAACGAATACATTAATGCCGTTAATATTTGCACGGTTTTTCCCAATTATTATGCTAATCACTTGGAACATCATAAAATTTCTTTCCAATTTCAAAAACGATTTGACAAATAACGTCCGTGTTATTTTTTTAATTGGTACAATTTTTCTGATAGATGTGGTTCACAGAGATAAAAAAAACTAAATAACAAATTCGCATACATCGTAGTAAAATCAATACATTCGTCGCTGAATTCTAAACCTGAAAGTAGGGAAAACTAATGAAAATCTTTTATTCTTTCAAAGACTAACCAAATAAGCAAAAAATACTTTTATACTTCTAATTTAAACTCGTCGTATTACATGGTAAAAAATGCACAGTACTCTGCTTAATTTAATTACATACCAAAAAAATTAATCAATAATCCAATGCTATTTATTATACCCCGAGCCCTGGCGTGGAAATATGTGCAGTTTATGTATTTGACTATTTTCGGTCCACGTATTTTAATATAGGTATAAATAATAGGTGGCTACACCCGACACGGAACGACAATATTAATTACATACGATGTCGGCGATGTGTTTTTTTTTTTTGTTGTTGTTTGTTTTGAAACTAAAGGTATAGGCAGGCACCTGCTATACTTAAATAAACAGCGCGTATACGGACGGAAAGTGGCCAGAAGAAAGTCGCCCTCGGGGGACCGTTCGATTAAAATGATTAATGCGAACACCGCCGCCGAAAAGGGATATCTGCCGTCTACCCGATTCGGAGTATAGTGTTCGCGATGTGTTTGCATTGTGTTAAAATATACACGGAATAATAATAATAATAATAATAATATATACGAGCGGTGATGTGTTGTACACCGGTCGCGGTTTTTGTGCTGCAGTCCGCACGCGAATTTCCACAGAGCCACCAAAAAAATGGTATAATTGGACGTTGTTTGCTGTTCGAAAAACAATCGAAAACCATACCTATAGGGTACATGACGGAACCGCGGTTTTGTATCACTCCCTTTCTTTGCGGTAAAGTTTCCGAAATTATTGCCGGCAAAAATTAAAACAAATCGCGTCCGGAACTGATAAAATAACCATCCTCGTTAAAGTCTGATCGACAACCTGCATGAGTGTTCAGAATAATGTTCGAAATACCGATAAATTATAATGATCATGGGTAAATATCCATAATCGGAAATTTTTCACGGTTAATCCAGATTGTGATTCTACTATTAAAAACATAGACTAACACATTTGATCTATGCTATGTTGAAGATCAAATAACAACGCGTCACCCACTAAACTCGTTCATGCTGGTGACTATGTAAACTATCTAAGTTAGTTATAAATTATAATAATCAAATATTAACTACAACCGATCATATGAAAACGATTATTTATGGCATACGCGATCTCGCGTACCTGTCGCCATCACGTTAGTAAGTACCAATAATATTAATGCTGTTGATTATTTTTAAACATGTGGACAAGGCACACATACACAAAACGTGTAAATATTAGGTATTTCCCACGTGTAAGCTGATAATTAAGATAGTTTTACATACTATCTTATCCCTATTTTATAAGTTCGTGCACATGATTAGTATGTGTATGTAGAAGATAACTTGAAATGTGTAGTAGAAAATATGAAATACATATAAAATCGTATAATATAAAATTAATAAAATAAAATATTACGTTTACAAGTTATAAAATATTATTAAAATAATATAAATTATTATTACACGTTGGAAATTAGTTTAACACAAACCGAAGACCCAAAAAAACGAATTATGGATGCGTAAATGTAAATTTTATGATTAATAATGTTAAAACACCAAAAATGAACACAGATCGATGTTTTCGAGGTATTTTTAATAATATTCGCTAATAATTTCTCTATAAACATTAAAAGGAAATATATTAAGTTATGAAATGTTTGTTAGTTTTTAATCACATATTTAAGGGTGTTCTAAGTACAGTTAAAAGCCCCCCTATGGTTATTAAAAAAATGTTATGTTTTTATAATTTTGGTTATCATATATAATATTAATATTGTAAAGCTTATAATATCCATCACGGGCATTTGATTTGTCATGTGCAAGACCGTGCGGGAACTACTACAGTAAATCAATAAACCAAATAATATAATTTACGTATACGGTTTAAAACTATAATTATTTAATAGGGGAATTGTTTTATGAAAAAAAAAAAACAAAATTATCAGATTCAAAAACAGAATATATCCGAAGATTTTTGTGAAATCCAAAATCTGGTATCATACATACATGTAATAATACATGAAATTCTGAAGACCTGTTATAATTATTTGACGTTATCTACAGCAGGAATGTGGTGAATAAAACTTTATGAAATCGGTTTTTGTAAAAGAAAGAAATACGACATTTTTCTCGGCAAACTCACGTTCCGGTAAACAAAACTTTTACGTCTTAAACTTAGAACTTTATCGGCCAGCGCCGGAGTCACTTATTTTTTGACACTTTAGTATAAGGTGTGTTTAACCTCTTTTCGCCAGACTGTCAGAGTATTTTTTTTTTATCACCAGCTAACTGTATCCGCGATTTTAAAAACTAACGATGAATCTCGTGTTAAATTTTCGAACACATTTGTTGGTCCAATACCATTTTATCCACATAAACTAATAAGCCTAAAACATTTAATATGATTACAAATATCGGATTGAATTTTACCACGTCTTAAACGAGCTACTTTGAGTATTTGGTAAAATTAACTGAATTACGATCAAAAAAATAATATCGACACTAATAAAATCCATATTCCTAATATCCCCAATTTCTATAAGTATTTTCTTTCATTGTTAAAAAAATTTAACAATGAATGTACTAACTAGATTTAAAATGTGACAAGAAAGTGTACCTAAATTATACAATTTTTGAATGAAACAATATTTCTGGTCTAAAAGTTGTTTATAGACAAAGAATACATTTGAAAAAAAAAGCACACATCACAGTAAAACTAATATATTCTTTGCTACGCTTAGAATCGGAGTATTAAAAAAAAAAATTTTCGGACATCTACGGGATTAGGTTAAGCGGATTTTGTTTTATTTCGACAAGTACGAAAACAAGGAGGCTCGCAGGATAATTTATTATAAGTTATGTAAATTGCAGACTTTGTAAACCCGCCCGGTTGTCCGTTCCGTAATAAGAATTTATAATTACATAATTCGACATCCGAAGAACAATAAATTCAAAATCCAATCAAAACCCAAATTACATAATTTATACAATTGTAATGTTCATGAATAATAATAACACAATTAAATATCAATAATACGTGGTTTACGTATTCTT